TAGAATAGCCACAATTAGAGCGTTTCGAGTCTGCTATCGAAGACCTTTCGTATATGATGAACGTAACCGGAATTTGCAGGTGATCGGTTCGAGCGGGGTTGTTCCGAAAGGACCGGTCAAAGCCGATAGCGAGCAGAGGATCTCAAAAAACGCGACGGATCGAAACGGCGGGAACCGGAAGACGATCTTGAACGGGATAATGGGCTAGCAGAGAATGCAGAGAGGGAAATAGTAAAGAAAATAAAAAAGGGGGGCCCAAGGCGAAACAGTCCGAAAGGTTCACTGCAGGGTGCAGAATATAACCGGTATCATGATAATCCTGGGCTCCTCAGATAGCGTGGCGTCAACACGCAGTAAGCTGAACGGCAACCGAAAAGAAACGTCAAGCTACACTGCCATGCTGTACAAATCAGTACCACTGAGAACCGTACCCATCGTCCCGCTTCGCGCGGTTACCGGCAGGGCCATAAGCACCTGAAGCAGCAACCTTGGAAGCAGAACGCAGCCTAACGCCGAAGACTATGAGATTAGTCAGATTCTAGGATTCAAGCCGACCTCTACGTACGGGGTCATAGTAAAGCACCAAACGCAGAGGAAAGGGGTTCCCTACAACGGAACCTAGGTTTCAGATACTCACATCCTGTCACTCCCTCCCACGGCCCGGTTGGTGTCCGGCGTGTTGTCAAGAGTTCCACGTTCGATGACCTTGCGGCGCTGGCTGGAGATCGCACCAGGCTTGGCGGCACCAGGGGTACCCATGGGCGCCGCAGCAGGAACACCCTGACGGCGCTGCTGCTCTTCAGCCTCCTTGTCCTTCTTGTTGGCATCCACGATCATGGCGGCGTTCTTCTGGTACTTGTAGACAGTCCAGTCGAAGACATAGTCATACTGGAAGGACTCGCGGACGAATAGATCGCGGAAGATCTTGCGGAGGTAGGAGTAGTCTGGCTTGTCATCGAAGCGCAGGGAACGAGTGTAGTTCAGGTAGATGGAGAACTCGTTGGGGAATCCACGGCAAAGAACTTCAGTGGGCGTGGTCATCTTCTTCTCCATGATACGGTCGTACTTCTGCTTCTTAGTAGCAGCCTTCAGACCTTGCCAGGGAAGGGTGCCGCGGCAGAAGTAAAGCATGACGTATCCGAGCGACTCCATATCGTCACGGCGGGACTGCTCAACACCCAAGTGAGTGTTGATACTGGCGTAACGAGCAGTTCCGGTAAGGTTCTTGTTCTCGCGGTAGGGGATGTGGAAGTGAGTCTTAGGGTCGCGGTACTTCTTGGCCAGACCAAAGTCGATGACGTTGACCTGGTTTCCACGCTTACCGATACCCATCAGGAAGTTATCGGGCTTGATATCACGGTGGATGAAAGACTTGGCGTGAATGTATTCGATACGAGAAATGAGTTGGTCGGCAAGGAGAAGCACCGTCTTCAGCGAGAACTTGCGGTTGCAGAAGTTGAAAAGATCCTCCAAGCTGGGGCCGAGAAGGTCGATAACCATGGCATTGTAATCACATTCCGTGCCGAACCAGCGAACAAACGGAATGCCAACACCACCGGCGAGAGACTTGTAGACACGGGCTTCGTATTCAAGCTGGGGGTGCTTGGCCTTGACGCTCTCGAGCTTGATGGCGATCTCCTCGCCCGAGATGATGTTTGTGCCTGGATGTCCAATCAGCCAGCCGCTCTAAATGACCTATCCAACATCTCCAGGACTGTCACGCACCAAGGTAGATGTCACCGAAACTTCCACTTCCAATCTTCCGGCCAATGCGGTACTTGTTACCAACACGCAAATCCTGCCCAAGGTATGAGTTACTGTCGGTAAAAAAATATGGCATATTTAACACTGACCATGGTCGTCATCTTGACCGAATATGCACTCAGCTGACTGGTGTACTATGCAGACTGTGGAGTTGAGGTTGTCTGTCAGTCGCAGATCGATAGAAGAAACGAAAGATTTCGATCGTTCTAATGTGATGGAGAAAGTGGAACAACGAAGAGGACGGGGATGGATGGAGGGTAGGCTATCAGGGAGATTGCAAAGTCACCAGAGGCCCAGGTGCAGGAAGTCCCGGCGCGTAGTCACTTGGCAGAGTGAATCTGATGAGGCAGGTGGCCTGGGCGGGGAGTAGACCAAGCAGAGTGGCCGGACAACAGAAGAATGGTAGTACCAGCAAGTGCAGGTAGTAGAGAGACTAGAAGCGGACGCACCTGGTCTAGAAAACGGAAAGAGGAGATGAAGATAGCGGTGATGTCGACTGTTGGGGGGACCGACCGTGACGACCCGACCGGAAAGGCGAAAAAGGCGGAGAGAAAAAGAAAGGGGATTGAGCTGACAGACCTTTTAATGGCTGCCACGGAAAAGGAGATGGGGAGAAAACAGCACAACGAACCTGCAAAATGCAGACCCAAGGAAAAGGAAAAAAGATATATCAGACTCAAGGACAAAGCCTCGATGATGGGGAAGGTGGGTTGAGGGGGGAGGAGAGGAGGAGGGAGAGGGAAGGAGGAGAGGGAAAATGCGAGAGTAAAGAGCAAGGCCAAGCAGGTCAGCCTTCAGAGGAGGGGGCGGGTAAGGTAAGAGACCGTGATAAGTTGAGCAGGCGCCGGTGGTTGGTTGGCTGGCCGATTTGGCCTGTTCGGGTCTGGCTTTTTGGTTTTGGTTTTGCTCAGGCTGGTATCGTAACGTGGTATTTTTCTCTCCCAGTACAGTATCCAAGGCTACCTATACTACAACATCCGTCTCATTCAAAGCAAGGCTGTCTCCTTTCATAGGCGGATCTCTGCGGCTGGCCTACCTGGCCAGCAAATATTGGTGACTGCTAGGCAAGGATGGGACCAGTCACCTCAGCATGAATGCCAGTCTCCCGGGAAAAAGGTCAGGACAAGGCAGGCGAAAATTGCAATCAATAATAAAGGTGGCTTAGGTAGGAGTCGGTGAAGCAACCCAGCACTCTGGCAAACTTCAATCCTCTGGCCCCCTCGGAGGATTCACACAAAGCAATTGAATTTTACCATGGCTCGGGCGTCCCTCCAAGCTACACTGTTTAAGCAACTGATGCTTTTCTTAGTAACTATCAGAAGGTTGGCAAGCTGACAGCCCAGCAGGATTTAGGTCATGATGCATCCGGATCGTCCTAAGTAGTGGGGTGCCTAAGGCAGGGTTACCTACAGCGTAACCATCCCATACGGACCCCGTACAGATGGTTCAATGAAACCAAACGAAAAATAGAAAGGCGAACGATGGCTTCGATCAAAACATTCTAGAAGTACCCAAGACCGTGTCAGGCGGCAAAAGACTTGCGACAGTGGCAAGAAGAAGGGTAAGAGCAAAGTGAAAATAACCTAGCCCGAAGCATGTTCCTCCAAAGCTAGAACGCGGTTTGTGGCGGATTATTTCGCTCACACGCTACTCCATCCCACCCGCGCCCCCCGAAGACCTCGATCGATGATGAGATGATATCCCCTCCACTAAGACATTCTTTCCCCTCACCAAGGATTACCGCGGTAGATCCCTTAGCCTCCCATCTGCCAATCGCCCTTTTAACTTTCAGGTGTACGAACTACTACGAAAGAATTCTCTCATCTAATCACGTTGTCCCTTGGATTGCCTACCTCGGAATGGTACGTCCCATGGCCGACTGATCCCGGGCGGTGAGCAGATGACCCCGGATGCCGCATTTGCCCTCGTGAAGTAAATTAAATACGGTGGGCTTACGGGGCCCTCAATTAATGGGGTTTCTTGGGGCCCAAACGCGCCTTATCGGACCATCGATCAGTGCCTGAGACAGGCTGGATCGGAGAATACCTAACACGGCCTTCCTCCACTCCTGGGGCTTCCCGCAACAAACATACATTAACACCACTGGGCCAGATCAACGTGCAGCTCAAGTACCCCGTCGATTCATGAAGAGACACCTGGATAGCAATGGAGATCGACGCATTGGCATCACCTGATCCCTCAAGGATGACTCTGGTCAAGTCGTAATGTAACGGGGAGGATATTCGACCTTAGTGAGACTCCTCCGTAAATCCCGCAATATCCTGGGTCTAGTCAATGTGGTCTCACCGCTAACGATGATCCCAATTCAATGACCACACATAATGGCTGGTCCGAGATTTCATGGCACGAAGAGACTAAAAGTATTCTGTCAGTCAGAGTTTGGTCAGCACAGAGCAGTTAACTAACTATTGCCAAGGGCTCAAGCTAGTCGATTGTGGGGTGTTTCAAAAAACAATAGTTGGCATATGTAGGCTGGCAGTGCTCTCCATTCATCCACGTATGCACTACAGCATCCACACCCTCTCTCTGCATCATCACCATATCCTACATCTATGGATTCATAGCTCTAGTTGCCAGCCTCACCTCCACCCAAACAAACAACCAAATATGGTGTGCACCGATTGGTACCACATCTCACGCTTTTGTCTGCCTTATTCCAGGATTCTATACAACTGAAAGATCACCCTTACTTTGGTCCATTACCTAGGGCCACCACGCAAGCTGTGCAGATATCTGCATCATCGTCTTGGTACCAAGCAACCCACCTTATGCGGTTTCCCAGGTGATAAATTCAACCCCGTAATTAATGATGCAGGTAGCCTGCGTATTTTCTGGTCATTTCATTCAAACATTGGCTTGGTCAATGCCAGGAACCTATGCGCTCTACGCCGAATTGATGACCATGTTATACCCTTTGAAGGCGCATTGATCAGTCTTCACCCGTTTATCAATAATGTAGATCTCCTTGAAACATCATCTTAACCTGTCTTTCGGGGACCAAGATCCAAGCCATTCTCAAAAGAGTAACCTTTTGAGGCTTATGAGTTAGCACTGAGCGGTAGGATTTGGCCAAATTGGCGCATGAGATACTACTCAAGGTCACTGCGACAGCATGATACTGCGGGATGAGAGGGCCATGCAACAGGCTCAGTCAGCAAGGCGGCATCTTTTGTAACGCTACTGTGAATCATTGGACCATATCGGTCACTCCTGATAGAGACAACTGCTCCTGATATCTAGAAATTTATATCGAGAAGAACAGCATATCGTGATGAGTTCAGGGAAAGCCTCAAAGGCCGCTTCATACCTGAGATGACCAGATGGTCAACTTGATTGCGGATTAGTGGTCACTCGCATGTCCTAATAGTACCACACGGTTGTTAAAAATCCAACCAACGAGCAATGCATCCAGTCACAGCCAATGAGCCGGAAACGAAGGCCGAGGCATACAATCAGCCGAACATGCTTCATAACATACAAATCGGTTCATATTCAACTGGTTGACAGCGATAGGTATAATGGCTCATTCCTGAATCTCCAATGACTCCAGGGAGGACCCAACAGAGTCGCTCACTCTTTATAACAGACCGCAGTATACTCAAATAGAACTTCTCAGAAGCACTGTTCATATACTCAAAACAGATCCCAACGCCTATGCACCAAAAAAGTGATCCACAAGACAAAGCATAACATCGTAGAATCTCAGTTCACAGCAAGTCATCGTTACCAGAAGCTGCGCTCTCCTCAATTGCTTGGAGAACTTGACTTTCCCGAAAGGCGGGGCCCTGTCCATCGCACTGAGCAGTCCCCTGCAATCGACCCGAGACATCGCCAATGTTCACCAAGCCGCGCTTGAAGAGCTCATGTCCCTGAATGAGGTCCCACGTGGCGCCCGCATCAAGGAGTCTCTCGCCCGTTTTCCCGCAGACCGTTATGCGGTGGGCCGGAGCATGACCCCCACCGAGATCGGAACTGAGATCCGTGGGCGAGTACTTCATCGGCCCGGTGGTCGTCGGCTCCGGATCAGCCGAGTGTTGATTTGAATGCCGGAGCGAGGTGGAAGTTGCCCGGAGTATCTCATTTTCTGTCGTAAACCTGGCCAGTTCCCGTTTTAGTCGCTCATTGTCCGCCATAAGCGATGTTGATTCATTTTCAAGATTGCTGACTTTCTCCTCTAGTTCGCGCACATGTCGTTCCTTGCGTTCACGGAAAGCGCGTTGGCTAAGTCAGAGCAACAAGATGTTAGATATATGGAATGAACGCAATACGATATATGAAACTACTTACGCAGCTCTGTTCTGAGCCTTTCGTTTAGATTGCGCCGGTGTGAGGCTATCCTTCTCCTCGCTGCTACTCCGACCGAGATTCTGATCTAGGAGCTGGTCATCTCCATCGAGCGAGGCCTGATCAAGGTGCTGATTGGCAAAATCATTGCTTGAGACCGAATGCTTGGTGAGAGACTCGGGGGGCGAGTGTGGCGGGGCAACGAAGGAAGCGCCAGCGTGAGGATCCTGAAAGCGCAAGTTTGGGTCAAAGGACTGGTAATGTTGCGCCCCCTTTCCAACAGTCAGTATCATGAACAGACTGCACATCCAGCCTAGGCAAAAAAAAAGAAAGGCGAACCAAAGAAGCGAAAGTGCCCTGTAGGTTTTCGGCGTGAGGGGTTGGATTGCTTTGGTCGGGGGTGGGCAGTCCGTGTACGCCGTAGAGAGGGTAAGGCTGCTGGTGGGGATTGGAATAGAACGAGTAATCCATCTCGCCTCGTCCCTGAGGATGAGAAATGTTGGATGCGCCGACTCTGTCAATCGGTAAGGAGGGATAAGCCCCGGCAGAAGCAGAGAGAGACAGGAACTGGGATCGAGTAAGCCGGGCCTAGAATTGAATAACGGCACGATGCGTGGACTCGGGATGGAACCGTGCAATGACAATCCCGCCCGTGCCAGCACCTAGGCCAATCAAAAACCGGACTCGGAACCGCGAAGAGGGGATCACATTCCCCGCTGTCATTGGCCACATTCAAAACGGATCGGAATTGGATCGCGGTAACCGACACCCATACTCATCAACTCATAGGTATGAGCGATTGGTATACGGATTGGAGCAATAATGATTATTATGCCCAGAGTTACTCGAGATTGCGGTGATACCTGCTTATGCCTTTAAATGGCTACATTTCTCATTTTGCTTGAGGTAATTCTGTATAGTTGAAAGCCTTACGGAATGTTTGAATTTATCTATGCTCCTCACACCCGGAGTCATGGTTTGCGATCATGTCTACTTGGTATACTTCGGACCTATACCAAGATGAAAAATATTGTTGCCAGAATACAGAGATGATATGGGATGTGAACACACCTGCGTCAAGGAATGCGACCAATTGCCTACCTAAGCCCTTGTATGAACAGGTGGTCGGGGAAGGGGCCATATGGACCTCTACATACTGTGCCAGGATGTAGAATCGAGGCAGTTAGTAAATATAATCATCTGCCGGGAAATACAGCTCGATACCAGAATAAACTGTATGGTGACCACTGCTTGATTACCGTGCACATGTCGGCAGCAATGTAATATCGTGTTCTTTCTGTTCAAGGGTTCATTGTGTGCAGTCACACATGCGAAATTGACCACGATGTTCCATATTGAAGAATTTATATTTACCGAGCAGCCCTCTAGTCCCAGTCGTCATCATCATCCTCCACGGTGGGTCTGGAGGACTTGATTTTGGATGGACGTTCATCTTCCGACGAGTCCGACCTCTTCTTCAGACGAACGTCGCTTTCTTTGACAGCGCCCAATTCAAGAAGCATTTTCTCGAGATCTGCGAACCTCATTAGTAGGGAACGAACGAAAAAGCCGAAAGCATTCGGAAAGGGATATCTTTACCTTCTATCGTGGTCCTCGGTCCTTTCAATTCCCTCAAAGTTACTAGTTGTCTCATAATTTCACCATTTCTGTAAACCAAGATGGTAGGGGTGTTTCTTTCCGGATACCCTTCGATGCACATATTGCCTCGGATCTCGCAAAACTTTATGTCACCAAATTTCGCCGCCAGTTGCCTCCATAGCTCTGTTAGCCGTTGTGATTCAACGTTTGCGCTCGAAGAGCTCAGGTGAACCAGCACAAAGCAATTGTTCGAGGCATCGGTCACCTCACGCCCATAATCAACCTTTTGTAGGGGGTATACTTGATTATGGACGCTAGTTTGTTGGAGTGTAGATAGTTCGGCGAATCGTTTTTGGCTGGATGCGGTTGTCAGTGAAGCCGATCTTCCTATGTCTCATATGCCAGGGGTATGTAGGCGGCCGTCATGGTACCGGTAGTGTTCGAGGAATGCCTCATCTTCTTCATCCTCCAGAGCGTCCAGCTCGTCCAAATCCTTATCTTCTAGTCGATTTTCATATGCTTTGCGCTCTGCCTCTACCAGGGCTTCTTGAATGAGAGGTTCGGGATCCTGGGGCTTTTCGGGGATAATGCCATGCTTGCGGAGAATGTCATTCCTGCGGGGTGTGAGCCTGCATGTATGGCGGCGCTGAAGAGACAGCACAGACTAACCACTCAGTGTCCTCATTGGGGTTTACTTCGACCTGCATATTTGCAAAGGGGCTGAGAAAGTCTTCGAAAAGAGTTCAATCGAAATTGACAAGTTTGTAGTGAGGAGTCCGTACCTCGACGATAGCTTCCTGTTGCTTGGTCGGGAGACATGCCGCGTGTTTGCTCCGTTTGCAGGAACAGCCACACCGCCCTGTGGCTCAGCCGCCCACAGACGCGGAAGGCCACCTGGAGATTGTTGGAGGCCGTCGGGAGAGCTGCTGCTGCTGCCCTGGCCAAAACACCCATCCTCCACCTCCATTGTTCTGCTGTGCTCTCATTTGGTTTCGTTGCTTGGGACTGGGAAAGAGTCTCTATTTCTCAATCCGGGCCCATTTTTTTACTCTCTCCCATTCTCGAAAGATAATGAGGGCGCCGTAGTCGTGTACATACACCGCCTGCACAACGACTAACCCATCATACTGACCCGCCCTTATTCGTCTCCCATTGAACAACCCCCCGACGTCACTCGTACGGGGCCCTTTTCCAACCCAGAGAGTGCTATAGGAACCCTCTGCTGCTGCGGCAATTCCTGCAGCCCGTCACAATGTCTTACGTCAAGAAAGATGAGGATGCTGATCAGACCATGATCAAGCTGGATCGGACCTCCGTGTTTCAAGATGGTGAGGGCCCATTGATTTCGCCTTCCTCTTGAGTCGCATTAGAACCCTGAATGTGGTTGCTGACCATCTTGTCTTCTCTCTTGTCTTCCTGTAGCGCGACTGTTCAATTCTTCCCCCATATCTCCTCGAACATGTCGTACTCTCCTGACCAAGATCGCCGTCCTCCTTTTTACCGGAGAGCAGTTCCCCACGAACGAGGCCACCACACTGTTCTTCGGTATCTCCAAGCTATTCCAGAATAAGGATCCCTCCCTGCGACAAATGGTCTACCTGATCTTGAAAGAGCTCGCGAACACGGCGGAGGACGTGATCATGTCAACCAGCATTATCATGAAAGACACCGCAGTCGGCAGCGATGTTTTGTACCGGGCAAACGCCATCCGGGCTCTGTGCCGCATCATTGATGTAAGCGCATTGAGTCTTATGCTCTTGTTGTCGAGCGACATGGCTGATAACAGTTGTTATGATAGGCTACTACAGTGCAAGGTATCGAAAGATTGATCAAGACCGCTATTGTCGACAAGACCCCGTCGGTATCCTCCGCCGCCCTAGTCTCCTCCTACCATCTCCTCCCGATTGCGCGCGATGTGGTTCGTAGGTGGCAAAGTGAAACCCAGGAAGCCGCTTCGGGCGGGAAGCAATCGACCGGTTTCCTTGGATTTGGTGGCAGCTCTCAGGCTCATGCCATTTCACAGTCAAACTTCATGACTCAGTACCACGCAATCGGTCTCCTATACCAGATGCGCTCCCATGACCGCATGGCGCTGGTGAAGATGGTTCAGCAGTACGGTGCGGCCGGTGTGGTCAAGAGTCCCGCTGCTCTTGTTCTTTTGGTGCGGTTGGCGGCCAAGTTGGCGGAGGAGGACCAAGGCTTGAGGAAGCCTATGATGCAGATGCTTGATGGCTGGCTCCGACACAAGCATGAGATGGTCAACTTCGAAGCCGCAAAGGCTATTTGCGATATGAGGGATGTCACCGACGCGGAGGCCTCCCAGGCGGTCCATGTCCTGCAACTGTTCCTTTCCTCGCCCCGCTCTATCACCAAGTTTGCGGCCATTCGTATCCTGCACAACTTTGCAAGCTTCAAGCCCCATGTGGTGAATGTCTGCAACCCCGATATCGAGGCGCTTATTTCCAACTCTAACCGCTCCATCGCAACGTTCGCGATCACCACTCTTCTAAAGACGGGTAACGAGGCCAGCGTCGACCGCTTGATGAAGCAGATCTCCGGCTTCATGGCAGATATCACCGATGAGTTCAAGATCACGATCGTCGAGGCTATTCGCACCTTGTGCCTCAAGTTCCCCAGCAAGCAGGCCGGCATGCTGTCCTTCTTGAGTGGTATTCTGAGAGATGAGGGTGGTTACGAATTCAAGCGCAGTGTTGTTGAAAGCATGTTCGACCTGATCAAGTTTGTCCCCGACAGCAAGGAAGATGGTAAGTTTCCCCTGTGGTTTTGTTGATTGTCCTTGGTGCTAACTAACGAAACTAGCCCTCGCCCATCTGTGCGAGTTCATTGAGGATTGCGAGTTCACCAAGTTGTCCGTCAGGGTATTGCACCTGCTTGGTGTGGAGGGTCCTAAGACTTCACACCCAACCAAGTATATCCGCTACATCTATAACCGAGTCGTTTTGGAGAATGCCATTGTGCGAGCTGCCGCTGTGACCGCTCTGGCCAAGTTTGGTGTCGGCCAGAAGGATCCTGAAGTCAAGTCGAGCGTGTCTGTTCTTCTCACTCGGTGCCTTGATGACACCGATGACGAGGTCCGCGACCGTGCTGCTCTTAATCTGCGGTTGATGAGCGAAGAGGATGAGACTGCCACCCGTTTTATCAGCAACGGTAAGCTTTTCTTCAAATTGACTCGGCCGGCTTGCTAACTGTTATAGAATCTATGTATTCCCTTTCAACATTCGAGCACCAGCTCGTGATGTACGTGACATCGACAGATAAGGAGACATTTGCTGCAGCATTCGACGTTGCCACAATCCCGGTTGTTTCACAAGAGCAGGCATTGGCCGAAGAGCGGACCAAAAAGCTGACGAGCGCAACACCCACTCTCAAGGCACCATCTACTGGGCCCCCCAAGGGCAAAGCCAACGGTGTGGCCGAGGCCGTCACCGTGGCTGCCACCCAGAAGTACGCCGAGCAGCTTATGCAAATCCCAGAGCTCAAGGAATACGGCACTCTACTCAAGTCTTCTGCACCTGTTGAACTTACTGAAAGTGAGACGGAATATGTTGTTACGGCTGTCAAGCACGTGTTCAAGGAGCATGTCGTGCTGCAGTACGACATCAAGAACACCCTTCCGGACACTGTTCTTGAAGACGTGACTGTAGTCGCGACACCGTCAGAGGAAGACATCTTGGAGGAGGAATTTATTGTCCCTGCGCCTAAGCTGGCCACCAATGAACCTGGCATTGTTTACGTCACATTCAGGAAGGTGGATGGCGAGCACAGCGTTCCTGTCACCTCTTTCACCAACAACCTCAAGTTCACTAGCAAGGAAATAGATCCCACTACCGGGGAGCCCGAGGAAAGCGGATATGATGATGAGTACCAGGTTGAGGATCTCGACCTCACCGGTAGTGATTATGTTATTCCTACTTTTGCTGGAAGCTTCGACCATGTGTGGGAACAGACTGGTGCAAACGGCGAGGAAGTCAGCGAGACTCTTCAGCTCAGCAACATGAAGGGCATCTCAGGTAGGCTGCTTTTCTCATGCCAATGTTTAAGACTGCCAAAAGCTAATCTGGCCACAGATGCCACCGAGCAACTAATCTCCACGCTCTCCCTGCAGCCTCTCGAGGGCACGGACGTGGCCCTCAGCAACAGCACGCATACACTGAAACTCTTCGGAAAGACAGTGACGGGTGGCAGAGTTGCAGCCCTGATCAAGATGGCCTTCTCCAGCAAGACTGGTGTGACCACGAAGATTGTCGTCCGGGCGGAGGAAGAGGGCGTCGCCCCTGCTGTGATTGCGTCCGTTGCCTAAGCTCATGGACCTGTAAATGTGTAATGGAGGCATGTTCGCGAGGCGCACGAGTCCTGCATTATGAGATCGGACTTTTTGTTTTTGCACTTTTTTTTCTCCATCTATAATTCTGGAGCCGAGTTAGATGCGATGAATATCTTGCGTAGGCGTCAGACCCCTTATTCATTCGACCTTTTCTATCTTCCTTTACTTATATTGTCTCCCAGTCGATTGTATCATCTCCTTCTCCCCCTATTGTTTCCTTGGTCACTGTTCCTCTTTACTTTCTTCTAGCATGTTAGCATGTCTTGCTTTCTGTTCGAGCCACTTCCCATTCTTCTTGTCCAGGTGGCCGGTCGGATGAGAGTGGCTGGAGTCGTTATGTAGTCAAAAGCGTCTATATCTCCCACTTTTGAAAGACCATATATTCACTTTTTTTCTTCCCTTTTCCTATCAGAACCGCTTTGCGACTTTCTGGCTGACTTATGAGCTATTCATATATGTATGGAGGTTTAGACGTGTAGTCCTACATGTTCATGATGTTCGATGAATATACCTTATGCATGAATCTTGTCTAGATAAGTAGATATCTCTAGCTAGATTGTGGAGATGAAAGACAACCGAAAAAAAAAAAAAAAAAAAAAAGCCAGGCAATGTAAACAAAGAGAGCCAAGCGAGCATATCTATCAGCAGTAAAGCATATGTGGAAATCTTGATAACAAACACCCTGTGTCTGAATATAACGGACGCATGCAATGCTAATGTGGAACCATTCATATATAATAAACGCCAATCGTTGGGTCCGACAAGTCACTCTTCTCTATCCCATTCTGAAGGGATTCCGACTGTGGCTGGTTTGCCTTCGCAAACCGGTTATAGATTAGATCATCAATTTCCTCGTCTTCCAAGATCCGCTTGTTTGTACAGAATACCTCGTGGAAGCCCACCGAGCGGAGATTCGCTAGGCCGTATTCCATTGCTGTGGTCAACGAGCTTGTGCTAAAGCTCACACTAGCATCTATGCTGGGGAATCCGAACTCGAGCACCTCGAGCGGTAGCGGCGGGTGCATGTGGCTCACAATATCGAAGAAAGAATCATTGACCAAGTCACCGGGGACACTGAGGGAGTTTAATTCGGGAAGGAAAACGGGAATGGCGTTGATGGATTCAGGTTGGAGACCACGATTTGAGCCGGAGATGGTGAAGCGCTTCAGGGTGGCTAGTTGAGGGTTGCTCATGAGGCTGCCGAGGTTGGAGACGGAGAGGTCAATGCAGTTCTTGAGGGTCAGGGAGGTCAATGTGCGGGGCCAGGAAAAGTTGGAGATGACAAGGGGGCGGAAATGGCCGCTGAATTGAAGTCGGTGGAGGTTAGGGGGCCAGTCTGTTGTTGCTGCAGAGTCGCTGTGGCTGGTGAGTGTTGTTGTGCGAGGGAGACGGAGGGTGGTAAGTCTGGAGAGGTTGCTGAGAGCTTTCTTAAGGTTGGGAAAGGGGATCTGCTCGCCCACTAGGGAGAGATCAAGGTGTTTGAGGCTGGTGCATTTGGAGAGAGCTGGAAGGCTGTTGATACTGTTTTGTGGAGTCAGAATCGACATCTGAAGTAGGCGACGATGGGGTTGAAGGTCTGCAATAGAGCGTATTGATCTGAACTCACGCAAAGGAAACTCGTGGGGCAAGGAAAACTTCTAAGTTCTCCTTTACCCGGCCTAACAGTCGTGCTGTTAGGCTGTTGGAGCTATGATAGACAAGGCCACTGAGGTCCAGTCTGTGAACTAGACTGCCCAGGTGTATCTTGTTCTTGCGTGCCCCGATTGGTGGGCTAATTGTATCTGTGAAACTCTTGAAAGCCGTTCCTGCAGTCACCCGCGGCTTCTCGTAGAGATAGGGGATGGCAACTGAGTACCACTGGCGCGAGACGAGGCAACAGGCGTGGAGGGTGGACTGGCGGCGGGCATCATCTGCGGCGGCGAAGGAGATAATCTCCACCACGATTTCGGTGGGGAGATGGATCTGACGGGAGTGCATCAGGGGCAGTCATGAATGCCATGATAGGTCAGCATAGAAAGCTGTTCAGCATTTGGAAGGTATCATGCAAGTGTCCGAGGTCGACAGTCGTACTGTCGTTGAAGTCGTGGGCTTGGTGGTGGTGGTGGGGAAGAAATTGGTGGGTTGAAACAGCGGCGGAGAAGACGGGGACCAGATGATATCATTCCGCCGATCCTCGCCCGATTGTTATCTCCGCCTTCCGCTCTCCTCTTCCTCATTTACCCTGGCATCAACCGGACATTCATCCGCTTGAGGGATTCATTCGCTTCTGTTCCTTGCTGTGGCCAATTGTTTCTCATTAATCAGTCCTTATCATGAGATCGCAATCTCTTTGGCGGTCCTTTGGCCTGCTGCAGCGAGCTTCCACACGCTCCTTTGTAGACGCTGGTTCGGGCCGGCGCGCCTTTCAGACTGCCAGCTCCCGCATCCCCGACTTCGCCTTTGCGTTCGAGTAAGTAATCTGCTACCCTTCTCACACATTCAGCGGCTTGGAAGCTAATGGATGCTTAGCATTGATGGTGTTTTACTACGATCCTCCAAGCCCATTCCCGGAGCCGCCGAATCGCTATCCCTATTAAAGGAACAGAACATCCCGTTCCTCCTGTTGACAAATGGAGGTGGAAAACACGAAACAGAAAGAGTGGCAGAAATAAGTGAGAAACTCCAGGTGCCTCTGGATCCGGAGCTCATTGTTCAGAGTCACTCTCCTTTTGCGGAGCTTGTGCGCGGACCGGACGAGCAGAGTGCCCTGGAGAATAAATGCGTGCTGGTGGTCGGGGGGGAAGGCGATCGTTGCCGTCGGGTAGCGCAAATGTATGAAACGGCCATACTAGTCTTTTTCATGGGCGAAGTTTGATGCTGACTGAATTCAGGTATGGCTTCAAGAATGTGGTGACGCCTGGTGATATCTACATGGCAAACCCGTCCATCTGGCCTTTCAGGTCTTTCAAAAATTACTACGAGAATATCAGCAAGCCTCTGCCAAATCCTAAAGATCCCAATGACCCTTCGAGGGGATTGAAGATCGATGCGATCTTCGTCTTCAATGACCCGCGTGACTGGGCCTTGGACGCTCAGATCATCACCGATATCCTACTATCGTCGGAAGGCGTGATAGGAACCATCTCTGAGAAGAACGGCCGGACTGATCTTCCCAACCGGGGTTTTCAACAAGATGGCCAACCGCATTTGTACTTCTCCAACCCAGATCTCTGGTGGGCCGCGGCCTATCACCTTCCTCGTCTCGGCCAAGGAGGTTTTCGAGAGGCTTTGGAAGGCATCTGGGCTGCGGTGACAGGGGGACCGAGCAAAGGAGTTGAGCTGAAGAAGACGATTATCGGCAAGCCCTACCAAGGAACATACGAGTTCGCGGAGCGTCAGCTCCTGCGCAATCGTGTTAGGATGTTCGGCTCGGATGCCCAGACACCTTTGCGGAACGTCTATATGATCGGAGATAATCCAGAGTCAGATATATGCGGTGCCAACAGCTACCGCAGTGGACATGGCAGCCAATGGCATTCGATCCTCGTGCGGACTGGTGTCTACAATGGTGGTGAGCCATCGTGGACACCAAAGACCATCGCTGATAATGTACACAAGGCGGTTGAATGGGGGTTGAAGACTTCTCAATGGAGGGTCTAGGGATATAGAACGACTTTTCTCACTGGTTTCCTCTTGAGCGATTATATATTGAACAACCCGCATTTGCATTGGATTGCGGTCTTCGGACGGCGTGTATGCATCATGGATAGACTTTTTATATACCATAGACATGGTTTGTGTTGGGCATTCTTTTCAGTCAGTACCGCAATACAGAATGTAACGCAAAAATTGTCATGCGAAAGTTAGTAATCAAGAGATAAGGGGGACAAGATATACTGTCGAAACATGTTCCAACACTCGATGCTGCTGCAACAGCTTAGACGTTAATTATGCAGTGTATAATTACATAAGCGGCTTGATCAATGTCCGCATCAGGTGATGCCCCTCCTAGGGCTTAGGGCTGCGGCATCGACGGCGGGGTGACTCAAAAGAGAAAGTTGGAGCTCCGTCAGGCCGCCGGACTAGTACCAGATTGTTGCTCCTCCCTCTCCTCCATCCACTCACATACGCATCTACAGCACCAACCATGGCGGACTCCGAATTGCCCACTCGCCCCAAGCCCGAGGAAACCCCCGCCGCTGCGGGCGCCCCCGCAGAGGGTGCCGAGGCTACCAAGAGCGCCAGCAAAAGCGCCGCAAAGAAGGCCGCGAAGGAGAAGGCCAAGGCTGAGAAGGCCGCTGCTCGTGCTGCCCAGGAGAAGGCCCAGGCTGCTGCCGCTGAGGCCAATGACACCGCCAAGCATCTGTATGGCAAGCTCCCCGAGACCGAAGACGTCCTCCCCGCGACGCGATTCTCCGACATCACCGACGAGCACTACGAGAAGGAGATCACAGTGGTGGCCCGTGTGGATAATGCCCGTGTGCAGAGTGCCAAGCTGGCTTTCTTGATGCTGAGACAGCAGGGTCAGAAGGTGCAGGCGGTCATTGCTCTCGCGGAACCCATCTCGAGACAGATGATCAAGTACACTGGTGGATTGAACGTCAACTCCATTGTCCAGGTCACCGGTGTTGTCAAGAAGCCCGGCGTGCCCATCTCATCGGCTACCCTGAGCAACCACGAAATCCACATCAGCAAGGTCTACATGATCTCCGAGGCGGCCCAGATGCTTCCCATGCAGGTCAAGGATGCTGAGAGACCGCCCCCGGACACCACGGAGGAGGGTAACGAGGTCGATGCGGATGGCGTTCCTATCGTCACTCTCAAGACTCGTCTTGACAACCGGGTCCTCGATCTCCAGACCGAAACCAGCCAGGCTATCACCTGGATCTCCAGCGGCGTGGCCGAACTGTTCAGTGAATACATGATCAAGAGCGGCTCGCGGTGGATCTTCACCCCCAAGCTGGTGGGTGCTGCTACCGAGGGTGGTAGCAACGTCTTCGAGGTCAAGTACTTCAAGAAGAATGCCTACCTGGCTCAGAGCCCTCAGCTGTACAAGCAGATGTGTATCGCGGGTGACATGGAGAGCGTCTTCGAAGTCGCCCCTGTCTTCCGTGCCGAGGACAGCAACACTCACAGACACTTGACTGAGGTAGGCTTTAGGTTCACCAGAATGCAATTGCTTCAGTCCCCTTGCTGACTTTCTTAGTTCGCTGGTCTTGATTTCGAGAAGACCTTCCGTGGCCACTACCACGAGGTCTTGGAGTTCGCTGAGAACCTCCTTGTCTTCATCCTCACCCAGCTCAAGGAGCGCTACAAGGACCAGATCGCCGTCATCCAGAAGTCCTACCCCAAGGCCGGTGACTTCAAGCTCCCCAAGGACGGCAAGGCCCTTCGGTTGAAGTACATGGACGGTGTCGCTATGCTGAAGGAGGCTGGCGTCGATGTCTCTGAACAGGAGCGCTTCGAGAACGACTTCACCACCGCGATGGAGAAGCAGCTGGGCCAGATCATCCGTGAGAAGTACGACACTGATTTCTACGTGCTCGACAAGTTCCCGATGGCCGTCCGTCCTTTCTACACCAAGGCCTGTCCCGAGGACCCCCGCTTCTCCAACTCGTATGACTTCTTCATGCGTGGTGAGGAGATCATGTCCGGTGCCCAGCGTATCAACGACATCAAGGAGCTGGAAGAGTCCATGGTTGCCAAGGGTCTCAACCCCAACCAGGAGGGCTTCGAGGACTACTTGGCTGCTTTCCGCCAGGGCTGTCCTCCCCACGCCGGTGGTGGTCTCGGTCTGAACCGCATTGTCATGTTCTTCCTTGGCCTGCCCAACGTTCGTCTGGCGTCGCTGTTCCCTCGTGACCCCCAGCGTCTGCGCCCTTAAGCTGGATAGAGCGATATATCGACAAGACCTGTATCTGGACACAAAAGAATATAATGGAGCGACGAATTGAAATAATTAGCGTTGTGATATCAGTAGCACGTACAATCAGCAGACGCTGTGCAATCAGATCGTAGAGACCATTGATATTGATCAAAGCTAGATGGGAGCTATAACCTCAATAGGAGATAAAGAATCGACCAGTCAGTGGAGATTCCAGCTATAAAAACGAAACATGAATATTAATAAACTGATCCTTTCAATATGAATTAAGAATATCTAGAGCAAAAGCCCCTTTTCCTCCGGCAATTTCCACAGAATGAGCTCATTTCCGTGTCAGAACCAGGCGTCGATGAGCAATGACCACTGCTCGAAGCCGGAAGAGAAGTAGGCTTAATCAGTCTTCAAAATCGAGTAGCAGGATCTAGTAACCAGCCTGTCTGAATGACCGTATTCGTGGACGCGCCCCTGGATGAGTTTGCTAAGCCTCTGGAGAGAAACTCATATACTCTAACTCTGTACAATATATACAGATCCATAGTTACATAGCAGATCAAGTACTCCGTAGAGTTAGACGGCGTACAGTATCTACCCCAGACTGAGACTATAGCGTAGTATCCACCCAGACCCACCAGAAGTCCTGCTAGTTGGTCCCCACTCGACGCTATTGGTGGCGTGCGTATCTAGTTCTTCTCCTGGCATACTACTACAGAGTTGTATAAACAGTAGTGCAGTGTGTATATCTTCTTACAGTCCCCTCGACTTTATTCTATGCCCGATATCGGGGGGTCAGTGTTGGTCTCGCCCAGGAGGATTTTCGAAACAAGAGGGAGATTCTTCAGACCCCTCGGCTACTCGATGCATGCCCCTAGATTACTACTTGATCCACAGAGAAGAGATACAAGATTCGGATAATGAGGTGAGGTTCTGTGAGGAGTATTGTGAGATCTCCTTAAAGTTAGTGATGAGGGCGAAATCATACAGAAGTGGAGATATTATATTGCAATCTATAGTACAACCGACGCTTACCACCCACCTAAACACCCTCAAACCACCTGTGAGCCAACGCTTCACGAGCAGTGATCCGTTTCTCTGGATCGAACCTCGTCATAGCACATATGAGATTTTTAAAGTCTTCATCAATGCCCTTCCAGAGAGCAAACGGCCGACGCGGATTATCTTCCCCAAACCCATCCCGAACCACCTCGAAGACGCGAACCCAGGGGTTATCCTCTCTAAGGTACCTCAGAAAAGCATCCATCCCATCCGCATCGGCAAAATACGAGATCTGGCGCTCAATGACAATCGATAATGGATGCACGCCTTCTTCTAACTCGTCGTCCCCAACGGCAAAGATAACGTGCTTATACACGGCCCAAATACACTAAATAGGATGTTAATAACCAGGTCGTGGGGGAACTTATCCGTGCAGGAACTTACAACAAGGGCAAATGAAAATATATCAGATGGCTTATTTATTGGTCCCGATGCGTGGGCTTCAGGACTCCTCCACATCCAGTTACCCGCCTGTTTACCGATCATATCCGACCCAGCAGGGATATGCGCGGCATCTTCAAGATCTCCGATTTTGACTTTGCGGACAGAGATCCCATTTTGGTCTTCTTCCCAGTCAATGAAGATGTTATTGGCTTTGATATCTACGCAATGTGAGCGGCGCCTCAATACCTCAATGGAAAGGGACTACTTACCCGTGTGGACAATATCTTGATCGTGGAGCTCTGCGAGACCGCGCAGAGCATCTTTGAGTATCCTTTTTGTTGTGTCGATGGGTAGGTCTTTCTGGGCAAGGTGCAGAAGATGGTCTTTGAAGTAGTCAAATACAAACATGGACTTCTCGGGGATGGTATCTTGGAGAAGACGGACGTGTTTGGTGTTGCGTAGCCGGTTGTTTATGTCTTCGAGGTCCTGGTAATTAACAGAGTGGATGTACTTTAGAATATATTGTTGGTTTTCAGAGCTGTGCTCAATGGTTAACAGGTAGGCATGAGAAGTAATGGCAAAGGCCAACCTACCGAGCAAGATAAATATGTCGTATGGGAGATTTTTCTTCTTGAAGAACCCGTTCAACTTCATAGTTGCGGCCCGGACTTCCCAGTGTACTTCTTAGAGGCTGATGGTATTGAGTCAGAGGGTGCCGTGGTTATTCTTCGTCTAAGGTGGGCTACCGATGAAGGCCACAAATGTGATACGCGAATGGAGAGCTCCGGCACAGAGAGAATTGTACATGCTTGGTTCCTGCAGGAGCGAAAGGCCAGAGGTGAGAATGATCTTAATGCTAGCATAGGAGGCAACTATGGGGTATAGAAGGCTACAATGCATATGAAGTTAACATGGGGTAATCTACAAGACTGCGTGCCAGACCCCCTTCTGTATGTAGATAGATCCGCTTTAAGTGGCCCAAGCTCCCGGTGGAACTTCGATCGGCCGGCGTTTTCTCCGCCGACTTTGCTCCCTCAACTCAGCCCACAACAAACCATGGCCAGCATGCCTGACAAACGCAAACCATCCGGTTCCTTCTCTGGATCCACACCCTATGCAAAGCGATCTCGTCCCTCGTACGCCGAGGACGATGACGAGGATGATGCGACGCGGCCGACCGTGACCCCGTACGAACGCCCGCGCAATCACCCCGTGTACGGGCAAAAGAGCGCCTTTCCGGGTTTAGACGTCGCGGGGGAGGACGAGCTCTTCTACGGCCCAGCAGAGGATGGCATGGAGTATCTGCGCATGGTCCGGTAAGCTGACTTTCCTTGTTACTGCTTGTCTGGCTTTCTCTATTTCGCTTCCCGCTTGCTAAATGCCTGCGTGTTTCGGATTGTAGCTTGCGAGATATCTCATACGAGGCTTCTTCATGTACGACATCGTGACTTATTTGTTTACTTTGAATCTGGCAGGTCGGAAGCCAACTCCCTCCCTTTTCTATTCACGGCACCACAAGTGATGGAGCCACCTACCGAGATGGATACCAAGGACGAAGAACCCCAAGCACAGCCACAGGAAGAAGAGAAACCTTCACAACCTGTCCCTGAAGGTGTCATTGTCGACGGCGTCTTCTTTGTGCCTCCCTCATCCAATACCAATACCGCTGCCGCTGCCCCTCGCGCAGATGTCGCCGAAGAGGCCATCTCCGACGCCCAATCGAGCTACTACAATCTCCTCCACCATCGCTTCCTTCTCCTTCGATCGATCCTGAAATGCGTACCTCCCTCAGAAGCCATCGTCTCACTGGATATTTCCCACCCGATCAGTTTACCGCGACACGCGAGAAACGCGCGCAAGGAATGGCGTCGGTTACTGCTGGCGGTGGATCCGCAGACTGTGCAGTTGGCGTGTATGGACATGGAAACTGTGCTGGGGGTTCTAGGGATTATGGCGCGACTGATGTCGGAGAATGTACGGAGCGGCGATGCACAACGAGTGCGACGTATTGGGGCTTGGGCTTGGGGTCTGTTGGGGAAATGTCGCGATGTTGGACAGCTGGGGACGGAGGAGGTTGGGGAGATTCGGGAACTGGGGAAGAGAGCCGTGAAGATCCTACGGAAGATGAAGGAGGAAGATGAGAAGAAGATGGGGGATGCGTCAGATGAGGAAGACGATGAAGATGCAATGGAGCAGGGTGCAGAGGGAGAGGGTGTGAGCCAAATGGATGGACCGAGTGATCAGGATCACGATATGCAGGATGTGGAGCCTGCCGCTGAGGAGCTGGAGATTGCGAAAGCACGGCTTCAGGCGAAACTCCATGGCGAGGAGGAGCAATCTCCGGTCGTCGAGTCTGAGCCTGGGAATGAGGAAAATGCCATCGAAGTGGCTATGCAGACTCGCGCCATGTTGGATATGATCATCACGGTCGTCGGGGAGTACTACGGACAGCGGGACCTGTTGGAGGCACGCGAGTTGTGGAATGGGCCCGAGTCCACCGCATGACATGGGACAGTGGACTATTCTTTCTGATGACCATAATCAAATGAACAAGATACCCAGTGACATGTAAGAATAATTGGAACCGTTTGCCGCACAGTAAACAATACATCGTAGTCTATTCACACTGTACCACCCCTACATAGTAAAGTCCGGCCCGGGGACCTTGCGTCATGGCGGTGACTTTCTTATCGGCGCCATCCAATCCACCGCACCCACATCTCTCTCTCCACTTCACCTCCAAACCCAACCTCCTCACCTCCTTATCTCACCTATACTATACCCAGCAATGGAAGACTAAACCCATCACACCACACCACATACCTCCCCAATTCCCCCCCTCGAAAACCTACAACCAATATCTCAAAAACCCACCACCACGACAACCATGGCCCCAACCCTCGAAATCACCATCCCAACAACGAGCATCTCCCCAACCACCCCCCCCTACACCCTCTACAACATCACCCTCCGCCTGCCCCTCCGCTCCTTCACCATCTCCAAACGCTACTCCGACTTCACAACCTTCCACACAACCCTAACCACCCAAACCAACGCCCCACCGCCATCCCCCCTGCCCCCAAAATCCTGGTTCCAAAACACCATCTCCAACTCCACCCTCCGCGAATCCCGTCGCGAAGCCCTAGAAACCTATCTCCGCGCCATCAACGAATCCGACGATCCCCGCTGGCGGAATTCCCCTGTCTGGCGCGCTTTCTTGAACTTGCCTAGTCTACCGAATACGAATGGGGCCGGGGCGGCATCACGTCTCCATGCTGCGATTACGGACCCGGCGGATGCAGAGGGGGGAGGGATCACGGATCCGATTCTCTGGTTGGATTGCTTTCGGGATATGAAGGGGCATTTACATGATGCGAGACTGTATCTTACGAGACGGGATCAGGAGACCACGCCGCAGAAACAGCATGAGAGTTCGGCGAGGGCGAAGAGTGAGCTGGTGAGGGCCGGGGGGTTGATTGGGGCGTTGGAGAATGGGTTGAAGAATTTGAGTAGTTCTGCTACCATTACTGGGAGTGCAGGTACAGGGGCGGGTGAGGATAATGGTGCTGGTGGGGGAGGGGGATCCAGACCGGGAAGTAAACTAGGGCGAAGGAATACGGCCAGTACGATTGCGACATGGAGTGTGAGTGGGAATAATACGCTCGGGGAAGGGGAGATGCGACGACGGAAGGATCTATTGATTAATGCGAGGAAGGAGAAAGATGGGTTGGAGGATTTATTGAATGCCATGGCGGCGAAGAGTCGGATTGATAGTGCGGTGGCGTCGATTCAGGATAAGGAGGCGTTGATGGGGACGAAAGGGGGGAAGAAGGCTGTCAGGTCGTCGGGACGGGTGCTGGGTCGGGAGACGGAGAGGACCCGTGAACTGGATAATGCGGGGGTGGTGCAGTTGCAGAAGCAGATGATGGCGGATCAGGATATCGCGGTGGATGAGTTGATGCGCATTGTCAATCGGCAGAAGGAGTTGGGCATTGCAATTAATAATGAGTTGCAGGTGCAGAATGAGTTGTTGAGTTTGGCGGATGAGGATGCTACGAGGTATGTGCTTTCTTTCTTTTCTTCCCTGTCCTTGGGGATGTTGTTTGTGGCGTGTATACTGACTTGGACAGATTGGGTGGGAAGATTGATATTGGGAAGAAGAGAATCGGGCGGATCTCTTGATCTGGATTGTATGGTATATCGGTGGCATGGTTCTTTGGTTCGTATGTAGTCTGGTCTCGGTATATGTTATGCATGTGTCATACGGTATAGCATGGCTTGTACGGTCTCGTTACTTAGCGCAGTCGTTGGTCTTTCGGATTGATTGTCTGGGTATTGTACTCTAGCGAGCACGGTCTTCTCAGCATTGGATTTTTTTTGTCATTTAGTGTGGTATTAGTACTGAGTACGAGCAGCCTCGAGCAAGTTATTAGTGATCTAGGCTATTCGCTTGAGACTTCGGTCCCACAAGTATCTATCCTACTTCACTTCTTATCCTATCACTTCGCAGACATAAACTCCTTGGCCTCTTCCTCCGTCACCTCTGAGCGTTCCGACTGTTGCTGATCAATCAAGCCCAGCTTGTTCTTCCTGATAAGCCACCATAGCTCACGCCGGTCTCCGCCAAGCTCCTCCTTCAACAACTTATTCTTGAGCTGCTTCAAGAAGTCATTATACACAGCAGGCTCCTCGTACGCTATGAGTTCTTCCCGCATCACGCCTAACCCCTCGGTGACCCGATCGTAGTTGGCATCGCCAAGACTATGCTTGACTTGATTCTGGATGATGGTGCTCATCTGCTGCACGGCCTCCTTGACTATCTCAATATTCTCCGCCTGCGAGAGAGTCTGCTTGAATTCAGGGATGGCATTGTTGGGCGAGATCTTGGTGCGCTTCTCTTGGTGAAGGAGGGCATCGACGTCCAGACCGGAGAGTGGCTTCTCTGCTTCGCGGGTGCGTTTGCGGCCTTTGGTTTTTGGGGGTACTGTATGCTTGTGAGCGTAGACCTCAGAAGGATGGGAAGTGCAGACCTTTCTTGACGTCGGAGACTGCGATCAGCTTGTCTAGATGCTTCTTTGACTTTTTTACTAGCTCCTGGGGCGGGTGGGAGAACTTCGTTAGAATTGGTGCAGGGGGAGGAGCTGGGTCTCGGGGATGAATGGCACGGTGGCGGACTGCCGCATCGATTCGATGCAGGACCGGGGAGAATGAGTCGTCGATGGGGAGAGATTCCGAGTCCCTTTGCATATTAGCAGGAGGGTATTCAAATTGTTGGCGGCAGCCTCACCCATTCTCATCTGTATCGGCAAGCTCCATGCTCTGGACGTATTTGTCCATAGCATCCAATAGATCGTCGTTAGGCAGATTTCGATGCTGCGTTACCACTTTACCAGACACTGTGATGACTCTGTCGAGTGGAGGAAAGCGGTAGGTTCGAACATCTTCCGCAAATGGCAGCTGCGCTTCGAGGAGACATTCGTAGTCGGGTTCGATTGACGGCGCAAGCAAGACGATGACCGGGGCTTTGTTCTCTTTTAGCACCATGCGAGCCACTGCATAACATTCCAATTCGAAGAGCGCGTGGATAAACGAGGAAAGGGCAAGAGATGCTTTGTCATTAGCACGCTGTGCAATTATGATGTTCGTCGTAGACATGTGCATGTATCGGTCATACTGAATAGCGACTCCACTTAGCTTGACACAACAGAGATCTCGGGGGACTTACAGTCTCGCTCTGAATAAAGCCAAGAAGTTCAATAGCCGCATAAGTCTCCAAAATTGTGATGTTCTGGTCGGTCTCGCTAATATAGACCGCTGTCCGCCCGTACTCGTACCCTTTGGCGAGCTCATCTCGCTCCACGTCTCTTTTCCCACCTGGGGCAGTATCATCGGTTATTTGGTATGTTCTGATATTGCGAACACCTGTAAGGGAGCTACCGTCTATCGGAGATTCTTGCGTGCCAGCCGCAGCCGCAGACAATTCGCCTTTTCCTTGACGACTTGCTGACTCTGTAGACAAAGCGAACTGGCTTGCCGACGGGGCTTTGGCAACGTATGTCCTGTAGTACCGTTCGACTGGAATGCGAACGGCCGTATCGTATTCCGCTGGGTTGCCCAGCTGAAGATGACCCTTGAAGGTTGCCATTATTCTGGTGCTCTTCACGCGGGGGATCTCCAGCTCTGCCACGGCTTGCTCCAACGTTCCATAAGCTCCATCGCAGTCTTCGGCAAGACTTCGCAGGAGTGCTTCATTCTCAGCCTGCAGTAATGTTATAGATAGCCTATGCGTTGTAGGGGGGGCGCAATACCTTGCGTGGGTCTTTGTCTTCCTCCTTAACTCCGTATTCCGGATCATCAAAGTCAGGTCCCCTGCGCAGGTCAGATCTTCATTCTAGTTCATCCATCACGAGACACTAACAAGATGATGAGTTCTATATCGTCCTCCTTGATTTTCTTAGTTATTTCGCTAAGGTTATCCGGATTCATTGGACCCTCGCCGTTGGTGACCAGGACGATTCTGCGCTTGTATTTAAGTTTCTTGCATTGTGTGATGATCATCTGAATCGCAAGCACGAGGGCGGATATAGCTATAGATATCAGCTCAAACCCATACCAAACATATAACAGTAGAAACATGCTTACCGTCACCCTTGTTAGTCTTGCTAGGCTTTATACGATCGCTCAACTCCCGAATATCAGGCATAAGAAACCTATACTTCATCAGCGACGCCCAGACTCGAACCACCATGATGCGTCATACTGTTTGATGCCAGACAGCACCGAGATGTGTGAGTAGTCAGGATCATCCTCCAACTCATTAGAGGTATCTGTTTCTGTATTAGTCCCGCCCAACTACCGCATCGCAAAAGCTCACCATCGGTTCGGAACCCGATCACGCCAAGCAGTGCCATTTTGCGTCCCGTCGCAACCTATACAAACAAATAAGGATATAGAAGTAACAGAGCTAGATCATGGTAGAGACCCACCGTTCCCGTAATGCGATCCCAGACATACTGCATGGCCCATTCAAGATCCGTGACTTCGCGGCCATGACGCCGCTCTCCCATGGACTTTCCAAAGTCCACGATGTAGACTGTTGCCTCTTTATCGGCCATGTTTGCGTAGGAGATAATGATAACAAAGCAACTCCATCCGACGCCGCAACCGCTAATGAAATAGCACCCGAGCTCAAGGCAGAAAGGTGTGTGACGCCCAGGCAGACGCGATATTTCCCGATTGGGACCTAGGCGGAACGCGAAAGCACATGACATCATGCGATAAGGGGCGGAAGAGGCTGGCAGAACAGTGGGGCGGTAAGGGCCTGTAGATTTCCCTCAGTGATCCATTTTGATCTACTCCCACAATTGTGAGAGAAATAATTGTGTATATGAGTGCTAACTTGTGTGAAGGGTCTTTAAGATGATTTGCTTATTTTAGGTCACGAGCATAAACCCAACAGGAACCCAAGCAAAGTCTGGGTGGTGCTTACCGGATCTTACCGGATTCTTTGCATTCACAGCGGTCTACACATGGTGGTTTATGTCAAATCTCCGAGTCTTCCTTGAACACCGTACTCGAGCTCCCGGAGTTACAGTGAATAGGCATATCTCAGTAACAGCGTCATGCCGGGCAGCCATGGGCTCCGTATCATGCGCCTATTCCAAAAACTATATAAGGGGCGACGACCACGTCCTTCGTTGGACTTTTAATCTCCATCTTCTAAGGCGTAAAGGAACCCTCATAAGACCATCCCAACGCGAGAACCACTCCCACTGAACCTTCCTAAACTTATCCGAGCCATGGGCCCATCCATCATGTTTGAGTCATCGCCAGAATCCGGGAATCAAGACGGTCCCATCGCCCGGCTACCAACCGAAATACTCCTCATGTGTTCCCGCTATATGGACCGAAACGAACTGAACAGCCTCATACGATCCTGTAGGTTCTTCCGGGACGCCCTAGGCGATGAGCTACTCCGAGAACATGCTCTGCCGTCAGAAGACTGCTACCGGGAATGGTGTTCACATGACAGTGAAGGGAAGACGCATGAAAACAAGGGGAACATCTCCGATGAAGACCTGGAAATGAGAGATAGTTGGGAGATGCCATATGAACCACTGGTAACAGCCATATCAGACGGCAATCACGACCTCGTTAGACGGTTCCTAAAATCCGGCGTGAATCCCAACGCTTTGAGCCTAACTTCATTCCCTATGCTTCATCTTGCCATACACAACCATCATTATGCAATAACCGAACTACTGCTAGACTCCGGCGCTGACCCGAACATCGAATGTCGAGTCACTAAGAATCTAGCATTAGACTCCGTGACTCGAAGTTATAACCATGCATATGACTGGGTGGACTTGCTTCTTTCCCATGGAGCGAAGTTCACCACAACCGAGACCTTTGAATGGTTCTGCGAAACGGGAAGGGGAGATTTCTTTTGTCGAGCATCCAGAAATGGAACGAACGTTATTGAGCTATATAATCCTAGACATCTGTTTGGCTCAGGGAGACTGATCCATGCAATGTCCCATGCATCAGCAATGGTGATTGATATTCTCCTGGATATAGAACCCCGCCTTATGTTCGCAATAGACGGAAACGGTCTTTCGTTATTACACCTCGCTCTTGAGAAACTCAGACCAGAGGTTGCGTTGCGGTTAATTGATAGGCAATTTAAGGTGTTCACTAGGAAGGATCCGTTGTTTGTGCGTCATGTCAAATGTCTGTATACGCGGATTGCTAGAGCTTTAGAAGTCAAGCGAGATTCGGATCCTATTTGGACTAGAAATGCTGAGGATCTGTTGGATATATGTGATCAGGAAGCATGGGAAAAGGGTGTCAGTCAGCCTGATAGGTGTATGTGTAATAGTTGTTGTTTTAGGCTCTTTAATTAAGAACGTTCTTGCTGGCGTCTTTGCTGGCTCTTCATGGCTTCAAGCATTTTTTGCATCAATATTACGAAAAGTCACTTCTGTCGAGCGCCTTGCCTTTCCATGTACATACCTTTGAGGACACCAAAGGGCCTGGTCAATGATGGTGAATATGGGACTAGCAATCACGGTATCTATATCGTACTTTGCTCAGCATTAGTTATCATCGGAAGCTTCCTGACGTCGGTATTCTAGCTTCACTTGTCAGTCAATAATGAAACCACCCCTCCTCATGACTCGTAGTCCCAAGCGAACGATCATATAAAGCTCCGTAACTATCATTATTTTCAAGAGAGTCGACTTTGGCACAAGTATCGATGATACATGCTCAGTCACAGCCAAACATAATAATTTAAACAAGGACAGCATAAACTTTTGTTCTCTGTACATCCTCATACCAAATCCTAGAATTATAAAGATAACCAGATTAATACGCCACCTTATATGCCTACCCAGCCAAGACGCGAGTCTATACAACTCCAAACCCCTCAAAACAAACCCCCCTAGCTACACCCTCCCCCGTAAATTCTACCCCTTCCTCCTCCAACATCCTCCTCTTCATCCCCACCCCATCCTTCGCATTCTTTGCCCCTGACTCGCCCCCCGAATAACCCACCAGTAGCTTGCCTCCACCCCCCAGCACCCGATGACAGGGTACCTCCGGCGCGAAGGGGTTCAACCGCATCGCTGCCCCAATCGCCCGTGGACTAGTACCGAGATGCTTGGCGAGCGCGGCGTAGGTGGTCCACCGACCAGGGGGGACCGAGAGAAGGGCGAGGTAGATTTTACGGCGATGAGGGGGGAGGGTAGGATGGGTGGTAATCTTTCTGGTCATTCGGGTGTGATTGGGTGATGATAACGATGCTGCTGCTGCTGCTACTATCGTTGTTTGTGGTTGCGTATAGGACATGGTTGGTGGTGTGATTGATTGAGCAAGCGGGGTTTAGTTGATCGAGAAGATTATATTTAGGCGATAAGGAGGGGGCGTATTTCTTTGTTTGTTTGGGATTTCGGCGGGTGAAAGATGGAGGGGTTGGGGAGGAGTGAGATATCTTTGTCTTGTAGATGGTGGAGTGGAGTCGATGAGATAGGTACCCGCTCTGCTTTCTGCTTTGCTTTGCGGGATTAGGTTCATTGAAGAGACACAAGATGATCTGTGCGGTGCTGTGTTTGTATTAGTTTGATCTTTCTTTGTAATGTGGAGGCTATATTTATACTTGCGGTTGATAATCGTTGTGGCGACCGTGCAACGTCCGGACGGCGTGGATAGGTGCGATTAGGTGAGTGTGTCTAGAGTGAGTCTGCAGGGAAGGAGGTGGAGGTGGAACGTAAGTAGCACGAGATCTTTCTTTATGTGCAAGGGCCTGGGGACTCCGCAACGTTGCGCTCGAATTGACGAATCGGGTTGTTCCGTGCTCATGACTGCCTAGATTCTGTACTCGAGTGAATTCAGAGTCGCTAGCAAGAATTACCTATCTCTTTACGCTCTTTATGTGTTTCGGATTATGCTAGGGGATCTTGAGTAAATATGTCTTGGGGTTTGACCCAGAGATCACAGCGTGAGAGGCACAGCCCTCCTGTTTGGTGTGACCGGTCGCGATAAAAATAGGGCCTAGATGGTAGGCGAACCGTTGTTGGTTACTCGAGAGTAATGATTCTATCATCTTCACCAACAGAGTGTATTGATGTAGATGGTCTTATTGATTGTGGTTGGTATGGCAATGCCGTACGCGAAGGTAGTGATTCTCGTGAGATAATGGTTTCAGACCAACTTTTGGTCTTTCGAGAGTTAGTTCCGTCCTAGGATTTCGGAAAACATGAATATTGAGTATATACCGCCAAAATGATCGCGAAGCCATGGATGTAACCGTAACTGAAATCAAAGCGTGTGTCTAAAATGAACGGGTAGGGTGGTATAATGGCAGGTAAATGTATTAAAAGCTGGTGGTTGGTACACGCAGTGTCTATGGTATATCAGACATCAAGAAATAGAATGGTATATGCCAAAGTAGAATAGGAAAGAGCCCTGAACGCCGTGCCGTCCTTAGGTCATAGACACATAAAAATAGCATGAGCATGAGCATGAACATGAGAAACATAGCAGACATAGACGGACGTAAGTACCATGGTCATCGCATGGCAGGAAACAGAAGGGTATATTCAACAGCATCATGACGCAAGAGGGTATAATGACAAGGTAAAAGCATCATGACACTAAGCAGTCCGCGACCGCTTGGTCGTTCGGCGCTTAGGCACATCCCAGTGGTGAAAGGAGCGCAAATGTTCGATAAGATGGTCGCGTCGAGGAAATCCATTGCCGTCCTTGCGCAGACACTCCTGCACTGGACAGTCCTGAAACACGGGGTTGTGGACGCTTGTGTGATGCCGTTTCAAATCGGCCGGACGGGTGAAGGCCTTGCCGCAGTCTCGGCACGAAAACGGCTTAACAGGTCTGCCAAGGAATGTTAGCGACGGTCGGAAACTTGTTGGTTAGGTTGGTTTGCTTACTTGGTGTTGTCCAGCGTGTCGCACATCTCCTCCGGAGAATAAACAACCTCGTTGACGGGTGTAGTGGACTGGGGAGCAACCCACTCTCCGCTGGGTACTGCGATGGGTGTCGTTTGGGTTGGTAGAAAGGCATATGCTTCCGGCGAGTACATGAGAGAAGGGGTGTAGTTATAGTAAGCGTTGAAAGGCGAAGAAGTGATGGATGGTGCGAAGGAGGATGAATCGTATGAGGATGGCTCGAAGGAGGGCTGGGTGAGGGGCAGGTCGCCCGCTGCCATAGTGTACATGGTATTATCGAAATATCCGAAAGACGATTGCATTGAATCTTCGCTGCTGGCCGAATAGGACCTTTGTTCTAGGGGCGGGCATGCCGGGATGTTGGGGTTCTGCGCCGGCACGGTCAGTGTGAGTGAAGAGCGACGAGGAAGTGGAGACAGATCGAGACCCTGATGATCGGGGACATACCATTGCAGTGGAGGCGAACATGATGTGATGGATTGAGTTCAAATAAATAGGTTAAAGGAGAGACAGGACCAGCTCAATGGTCAAATTGTTCTGGAAAAAAAAGAGAAGCCTGCCTGGCCATCGTGACTGGGCCCCCGGGTTTTTATAACCACATTTTTCTTCAATTCTTTGATCCAGGTCAACCTACGGGATACGTCGCACTTGCATTAGGCCAGGACAGTGGTCTCCACCATGGAGCCCAAACCGCCAAAGCCAGACGGTGCTAAGCAACACGAACGCACCCACGGCGACATCATCAGGTGAGCCCGCTCCTATGATCTTCCACTAAGAACCCGCGCAGATTGGAGGGGGGAGGCCGGGAATGCAGGAGGAATCGCAGCCAACACACAGCCCCCCCGGCTCTGCGAACTGATTGGTGGAGGGGAGCCACGAAAGTGAAGCAATCCTGGCTAGTGCTGACGCTAGAAACGACGAAGAAGCATTCGAAACTTCTTCCAGTGTTCTAGGGGCGATTGGCCGGCTGTGATTGGGGAACGCCGAGTCTTGGGACGGAAAATAACCAGCGACGGTGTCCACTCCGGGCCGAAAGAGGAGCCAGACAAGGAGACGGACTGCCTCTGGCCTGCTGAAGAAGGGAAAGGACCGGAACGAGGGTCTGCCGTGACACGACAGCGAGACCGCAATATCGTCATAGGGTGCGATCCCCCACAACGACAAAGAGTCGGTGGAGACCGTCGGCCGCGCTGGAGCCTGGGTTGGGCTTGGGAGTCTGGGACGGACTGACGATGATGACCGGTGCTTTGGATCCAGACGCCAATTTCCTAGTCGGGAATATGTCCGTTGTTCGCCTTATTATGGTCCGACGTGACCATTCGTCGAGAGGCGCGCGGACCGTTCATCGGAGCCCTCCGATGGAAGATCCTGATCGATTTCACCCACGGTCACGAGTGATATCCGCCCGGGTCATTGACAGCGGCTCCCAAAAGTACCCCGACGTCGGTCACGAGAGCTGGGTCAATCTTGGGGATCTGGTGGGAGAAGTCACTGCCAAATCCAAGGCGTGTGAGTGGGTGGTTGGTCCTCTACGGCGCTGCAGAGGTCGCCAGTTCCTGCTGGGCCGGAGGTTCTCTTCTCCCGACCGACCGAGGATGGAGCAAATCGGCACGGGCTTCCGAGCATTTCGTCGAACACCTCCCACATATTCCCACCCGCCAACTGCGCGATTCACAGCCTTGTGGTTGGCGCCAAGCGGCGTCTGTCTGGGGAAAGCAGCAGGGACTGGCAGACTCAGGCTCGATGACGATGATGACCTGGGGGAGGCGATAATAATATCGCACAGCCCCCCTTGCGGCCGGGGTGAGGTTGATGATGACTGGGCTAGTGTGTGCAAGGCCATTCATTCCGCTTAATGCAGGTGTAAAATGCCTCATGCCGGTGCTAAATACATCGCTCAATTCCCCGCGCGCGATATTAAATCGACAGAAGGTTCAACAAGTGAGGCGACTGCGGGATATTCTCCAGATTATCTCTCATTGCCTACTGCGAGATTGACGTTCTACAGATTCGGATGACAGAAGCATCAACACCACACCACCTGCATTTGGCTTAGCCTGTCTAGTACACCGCCTTCGAGATATGAGCCGTGGGATCGAGATCTACACACAACACACCAAACTCAAACTGAGGATACGAAATTGCTCGAAGATGTCTTATATGTGGCATCAGTCTGTTCAGTGTATAAAATATGAGCCATGTGCTCATTTGGCTTGGATGAAAGCAACGAGAGAAGTACGGCGTAGAGGCTGGTATTGTGTATGGGATTTGACAGGCACATCCCTCCAGCCCTAGTAGGCGGTGAAGACAAGCTACACTATCCTGCTTTCGGTGTCGCAAGATACTTTTCCAGGTTTTGCGAACACACTAGTCCGATTGATCGTGATAATAATAATTCCATCGAGAGTCGGGCAATCCACACTCCACAGAGCCTCGCACGGAGGACATCATTCCGTAACTCTATCGCAGACAGCTACGGGGCTATTGATCGCTATCTGGGATTTCCGCTTTTTTCCAGAAGCTCGAGCAGGTTATGGTACTTTTGTCTCACTCTCTGCCTTATTTACTTTTTCCTTGGCTTCACTATTGAATTACGTGATGACCATCCACTCTTTACAAATGCGTGCTTATTTTTAATTACTTTGTCCTTTTCCATACTAGCGATCCCTGGATTCTTCATCCCCACTCTTGGGCTTTTCTTCAACCTGGCTCCGTGGTTCGAGTTTCGACAGGGTTCCCCAGCCGCTCATAGGCACAAAAAGTTAGTCAAGTCCGGACTTGATTATTCCATTTCAAATGGTCCATGTACGGTAATCACAAGCATCACTACCTAGATAAGTCATGGCTGCATCCCATCAACCATCATGTAAGAACAGCACAGAACTCCCGTGTCTCGTAGACTCGTCCCTGCATGCTCCAGGAAGACTTGGATGAACAACAGATCGTAAACAGATGGCAACACAATACTAATTGCATAGACAATGATGAACTGAACTCCCATATTTCCGCGCATCCTGCTAAAGCCAAACCCAACCGACCGAGGCACTTTTCCACTTATCTTCATCGGACCAGGCATGTACAAAGACCTTGTGTGTCGCCGATCACAATTCGTCCTCCAGGTATTTGTAGACAAACTTGAAGTCAGCCTTGCGACGGTTCATCCTGTGACCTTGTTAGCTTGGCTCTACACGAGAGACTGAGTCTCAAGACAGGTCCTCTGAAAATTTCGGTAACACTTACCACGTGCTTTCATAATCGAAAAAGCGATATGTACCCTGTTCGAACTCCTCCGTGATCGTCTTAGGCTCTTCGTGGCGTTGGAACCATGTCTGATACTGTTTGTGGAAGCGCCAGCTCTGGTTCTTGAGTGCCTTGGCGGCTAGATACTGCTGGTAGGCGCCCTGTCGGTAGTAGAAAAGGTAAAACAGCGTGTCGGTATCAATGCGTCCCGTTTCGTAGAGTCGCGGGTCATCGAAGATGGCGAGCGGTTCCTGGGGGTAATAGAGAGGCGTGTTGTAAGGGTTTTGAGGCTTGTAGTGGCGAGGCTTCTCCGCATCGGCGGGCTCCGGACAGTTGGTGAGAGACGTGGCAAGCATGCGCTGCACCGACGGGGAAGGGTTGGCGGCACTTGCTGAGGCACGAGACCGCGTGACCTCGAAAGACTGAATAAGATCTTGCAGGCCGGGCGGCAGGTGGAAGATCGATTCCTCACCGTCCTGTTGCTCTTCCTTCCCGCTCGCCTCACCGTTCGTCGCGGGTTGTTCCTTGGCACTCGGGGCCTCGACTTTATCCATCGTGGGTGGTGATGTGTTCGCAGCGGCAACGTTGGGACTGACGGCGGGCGTTTTCGATCGGCCGGCGGGCTCCTCCGCGGCTATCGTGACGGCCGGCGTGGCCTTCGATGCAGGTTGTGCAGATGCGACACTCGGGGAAGCGGTGGCCGAAGCTTTGCTTGCAGGTACAGCAGCCGGGAAAGCGGGGCTGGCACCTGGAGGTGGCGGAAGTGGTGCAATGCCCACCCCGTTCTTGTCACTTGCAGCAGCGGCAGCGGCAGCGGAAGCGTACTTGAGTGTTTCTCCGGGTAGGCGGGTAGGCGGTGGTGCAGGTTTCATGCCTGAGGCGGCATTCGTGGAGGTTGACGGGTGGAGTGTTGCTAGCACGGGCAGAGGGGACTTCATCTGCGCGGATGGCCTTCGAAGTCCTGCACTCTCGCTCTTGGCCTTGGGTTTGATGTCCGGCTCCTCATCCTGAACCGACTGAGTGTCTTGCGACGACACCCGATCGTTGTCCCCTGTCATTCCGAACTGCATCTCCGTCTCGTTATCCAGATTCAGGTCGTCGTACAGAGTCTCGTCCTCTCCAGAGTAGTCGAGGTTATGACCATCCTCCACATAGTACTTGATGCTTTCCTTGATGTCCAGTACCTGACTCGTTTCGAGGTTGCCATTCTGCAGCGACCGTAGCAACAGTTCCAACTTGTTGACATGCCACTTATGGCGCTCTGTTAACCGCGTGAGATCCGATAGGCGATTCGTCTTGGCCACGTCCTTCTTGCCCTTCTTCACTTGCATATGAAGCGTCTCCTCTTCAGCTTCCATGGCCTCGATCTTCTGTTGTAGCTCGTCCACCATGTTTGATAGGAAGTCGCAAGTCTCGACCTTCTCCTTTTCTTTAGGATCTAATCTCGATGCAGCCGACAGTCCTTCTTTCGAATATGCCTTCGTCTTCATCTCTTTCTCTACCGCTTTGAACTGTTCCATGCACTATCAGATAGCTCGGTTAGCAGCCCCTCCTCGAGTAAGCGCCTCAACAAGGATCGAATAGCCCACAGTTTCAATGGCCCTGCGTTGCTCTAACAGCGGCCCCTTATCCTTGACCTCATTGCCTGACGCCCATGACTTGATCTGATCACGATATCGTTGGAGCTTTTTGATCTCGCGCTTCAAGTTCTCCTCGAGCTTATCCCGCTGCGTGATATTTGATGTGGATCGAATCTTCTCGTAAATGCCTTCGAATGTTTGGATACCTTCCGCAACCTTTTTGAAGGTCTTGTCGATCTCCTGCTGCGTTTTTCGAGACGTCATGGCTGCTATCCACCACGAACAGGTCGCTCGATCTCGAAGGCTGGAGAGGATACGGAGAACAGGAGGATAGGCGGTTGTCAGACGAGGGACGAAGAGGAGGAGATGATTGCGTGCACACAGGAAAGACCTTTGGGATGCGTTGCCAGGCAACTCTTCACAACAAACGCGCGGAGCGTGCCTGTATCCGTGAAGCTCTTCAAGCGAGTGAATCTCCTGATACCTCGTCTGGTCGTCCAGAAGCTGGGATAGAGGCCTAAACGGGTAGGCGGTCACAGGCGCTCATGGTCATGCCCCCATCGGCATCCGAGTCTCAGCTTAGGTGGAGGCGAACCACGACAGTCGTTCTTCCATGATCGTGCAGATGCTCGTGTCTGTCTCATATTCTCTGGATTTGATTGATATGCCGCTGTTCTAGTCCAACAGCATGAACAACGTCTTCCTCCGGTTTCGCTAATATCTTGAGAATATTGGGTCTGTGTGGTCCCGTTTTCAGTATCCCGCCGCATTTGGGGTCCGTCCGATGATCAAGGCACTGACAGACCGATTCCATAGCACGCGCTACACCTCTGTTGACGATTCTCGAAGCTCAAATTCCTCAATTCTCATTGCCTTTTTGAACTTACAAATTCGCCCAATCCACAACATATCATTATGAAAGGTGCGCAAGACAATCTTATTCGACCCTGCAACCAGTGACTGATGCTCATTTCCAGCCGTTTTACAACGAGTCAAGTCCGCCTCGGTCACCGTGGACGGCCACCTAGTCTCCAAGATTGGTCAAGGAATACTCGTCCTGGCCGGCGTAGGAAGGGAGGACACAGAGAAGGATGCCGACTCAATGATCGGACGGATATTGAAGGCGAAGCTATGGCCCGACGAGAACGACAAGGCTGTAAGACGCGAGCAACTTATGCTCCGGAGAGATCATATCCAACTAACTTTATTCCCAGTGGAAGAAGAATGTCCAGGATATAGAAGGGGAGGTACTCTGCGGTATGCGACCCCGATGATTGGGCCTAATTGGCCAACCAGCCAGTCGCTAACGTATAGTCCAGTATCCCAATTTACACTCTATGGCCATTTGAAAAAAGGCAACAAACCCGACTTCCATGAAGCCGCCGATGTGGAGACCGCGCGCAAACTGTATGACTACTTTTATCAACGGTTGTGCGAATCGTACAAGCCCGAAAGGGTGAAGAACGGGGTCTTCCAGGCGATGATGGAGGTCGAATTGAAAAATGATGGGCCGGTGGGTGTAGATTACCGCAGTGAGGATGCGGTGGTAAAGCTCTTGCTTCTCTTCCTGCCATCCCCGATGAACCTGGTCAATGCTAACGATTGTCTGGTTAGGTCACGATCGAGATCAACACCCAATTGCCGAAAAAGGAGAAGAAGGAGCAGCCAGGACAAGGCCAGGCGAAGGAGCCGCAGACCTTTGAGTTCAAATTACCCGCGGAGTTGATGGAGTAAATGAATACCTGGTTGCCCTGTGATTATGTTGACGACTTCTACCAAATTGTATATATGAGATACCAATAGATGCGGCGGATAGAATGAAGTGCCATGTAAACAGCTTTTGCTGTTCATGCTTATAACCTCTATTAAGGCAATCGTAGAGTCCTAGCTGTACAATCTGCGCGCGTAAACTCCAATTAAATGCCAAACTTGGACCACTACGAGCACGGTCGTTCCTCGAGGCCCTGGAAAAACAATGATATTGTGATTCAATGTATAAGTGGTTTACCACGATCACCTGACTACAGTGGACTGTACAACTATGCAAGTTCATATCTTATCGACTATTATGGCTCCGATTGCGCAGCGCATAACGCCATTCTCCCTACGTGACTTGATTTCTTCCTATTTGTACAGAGTGCCCTGTCTGGTCCGCTAAACCTCATGACCTAATAGGTATTGAAAGCTACCTCGAAGCGAAGCGCGAAGTCCGTCCGTTGATAACCTCCAAGGATGAACAACGTCTTTGATAAGAAATCCGATGGTGCACCATGGAACCGATGTATTGGTGGTAAAGGAGCCTTTTTTTATGCAAAGCCGGGAATTTAGAGAAGGAAAGGTTAAATCATGCAATCATGAATCATGACGTCAGTCTCTCATGAGAAGAACTTCTGAGCGGTAGCCCTCTCTTTGGCCTGGCGGTCCTTGATAGCCTTCTTAACCCGGGCAATCTCGGTGGTGATACCGGCGTCGCCAGGAGCCAGTTTAGAAGCCTCCTGGAGGTCGTTAAGAGCCTCATCCTCCTCCTTCAGACCGCTGTAGGCGACCGCACGGCGATAGTAAGCCTTGGCCTTATCGGCATCCTTGGCGTTCGCAGCAGCAGCCACTTCAAGCGCATAAGTAGCCCAGGTCTGGGCGTTCTTGAACTGGGCAAGCTTATTAGCGAGTAGGGAAGAGTTCGAGTGCAGAGTGAAGCGGAGCGCCTTCATTTGGGGATCCAAGTCTTTGGGGTCCTGCTCATCCGGCTCCGGGAACTCATTCAAGTAGCGCAGACCCTTCTGGTACTTATCGAGACCGAGAGCGTGGTTACCGCTTTTGAAGGCAGTGTTTCCGAAGTTCTTGAGCTCGGACGCGATCTTGAAGCAGACGGGGGCACTCAGTTCCTCTCCCTGGTGGTCATCGGGGAAGTCTTCGTAAGGGTCGCCAGTCGCGTCGGGGATCTGCTTATCTGCGTTGTCGTAATCGGAACCGGTGAGCTCGCCACACTCGACGACAGTAACATCGGTGGTGGGCTTGTCAGCCTGGGTGGACATGTTCTCAATCTTGCGGACAACGCTCTTGCCGTTGATCACCTCACCGAAGACAACGTGCTTGCCGTCCAGGTGGGGGGTTGGCACGGTCGTAATGAAGAACTGACTGCCGTTGGTGCCGGGGCCGGAGTTGGCCATGGAGAGAAGGAAGGGCCGGTCATGCTTAAGCTCAAAGTTCTCGTCCGGGAATTTCTCGCCGTAGATGGATTCGCCGCCTGTGCCGTTGAACGCAGTGAAGTCACCACCCTGGATCATGAACTGCTTGATCACACGGTGGAAGATGGAGCCTATTTGGTGGGTTCGAGTTAGCGATGTGACGGTGATTCGGCCCCGCCGTAGCGGGGGAGGGGGAGGAAAAATTGAAGTTGCCGAGTTGGACCACCATACCCTTGAAGTGCAATGGCTTGCCCTGAGTTCCTATGCCCTTTTCGCCGGTGCAGAGAGCACGAAAGTTCTCCGCGGTCTTGGGGACGACTGGTTGTTCATGATTAGAAATATGCACGTAATTCCTCTAGAGGAGGGACAGCACGGTACCATCGTTGAACTGCGCAGGCGGGGTAGTTAGCGAAACTGTGATGGCCGGGTCGGGCAAATGAAGACAGGGAATGCTGGGCAAGAACAAGGCGAGCTCACCAATTCCAGAGCAATGCGACCGGTCTTTTGTTTACCGATCTGAACGTCGAAGAAAACACGAGGACGACCTGCGAGGTAGGCGCGATCAGTACTCTGTCGCTGAGGCCGCTCCCCACTTGTGAGATGAACATACGCTGAGACTCGGCCATGATGGCGATTTTGAGGCAGTAGTTGAGATGAAGGGAAGGAAAAGAGAAAAGGTTACACCAAGGGCGAAGCTTTAAAGACAGGCGGAGGGCAGGTAAGGGAAGAGGAGAGTGCGGAGGCAGACGAGGAAAGAGGAGGAAGGTGGGCTGGACCAGCCTTTAGCTGCGATGCTTCAAGAAGCTTCCATCGCATCTCCCCCCGTCCCCGGCCGCTTCCTTCCGCTACAGGCCTGCGATTTCCCCTCACTTCTCCTAATACCACCTACCATGGTAACAAGGAAGTAGCTGTCACAATCGTGCGATTGAAATTAGAATTGAGCGATCTAAATTCAACCATCCGTTAAACTCCAGTGGAGCATTGGCCTCCTTCCTATCTCTTAGTCTGGGGAAATGGACGACTCGGATCTCACATTCCCAAATTGTGATTCTAATTCTTTCACAGAAGAAATCTTCAGCTTCCGAAACTTCAACCCGAATCTTTTCATCAACTTCTCTGGGGCATTCAATCGCATCCAGGTATCATTAAAATGGTGTTGGCTGGACCCAATCAGAAGCCATTGGCTTTGACACACCCATCCTATCGGATCGCCGCTGAAGCTACCAGGACCATTCTACTGGCCCGGGATGGCACGGTTCTGCCTAATCAGGAAATTCCTCTTTGATGTAGAACATCATTTCTCGGTTCAAATTATATGCGAGACAATCTGAATCAACTCAACTTCAGGTCTTTCTAATGTAGAATCGTAATTTGCCTGGGCTTTGTCTGGTTAAAGCTTTCGCAAGGAATTGAGTATACTAGAGATGACAGGGCGCTTTCCCCATAGGCTCTTCAACCAACGGCTCTCTGCGAGAGTTATTCCTTTCTAAAGAAGACTCTGATGTAATAGAATTTATACAGTTATTTCCAAATCTACTTACAATACTAGTCGTTTAATCTTCACAACACCATAGACAAATGCTCTTGCAGAGTATTCAGCTCTAGTATAAATCTACTCTTCTACTTCTGCATGATTTAATCATATTTCATCAGTTGCTATTACTGTTAAGTTAAGCACTAGCTATCCTGGACGTGCAGTCACTCTGCTCGTCTACAGACTGTCATAGTCGCTTTAGATAACTTATAGCAACTGCCAAGGCACCCAGAATTCTTTAACCATCAAGACAACCAGATTAAGATAACCTGCCATACAACTGCATAATGATCAACCAAAAGTATCAGGAGAGTTTCCTGCTTATAGGGAAGCGGAGTCTGAAATCCTGCGCCAACCGGCAACCGCGGTCTCCAGCCGATAAACCCAAGAAAATTAAGGCTCGGAATCCTGAGCATTCTGTAGCCATGGCGCAAGGAAGTGCAGATAGCTATCAGCAAAGGTACCACCAAGGCGGCCTTAATTGCTCTAGACTCCCATGACGTTACAGTCAAAATACATCAAATTGAAACTCCCGGTAGGATGAATGGGTATATCAGCACTTCGACACGGACTAATTTCATATACACTGTGGCTCGCTTATAGCCGGCTTTTGATCTTGGTCCATTCAGTTTCTCCGACCTCTTGAAAGTCCATAATTGCATCCGGTCCTCCAAAGCGGTTCTGAGTCGCTTTCCAGTCTCTATCAACCGCGGTTTCTGGTCTCCACCGAACAACATGCTTCAGCTCTTCCTGCAGGTGACCCTCCAACGCATCCACAATGAATCCTCCAATAGTGGGCATTTGCATGGCACCGTTTCCAGATGCCCCCACAGCTACTAGTAGCGAGGGGTGATTTGGATGCTTGTCGATCAAAAAGGCGCGATCAGGCGTATCAGCATCCCAGCAGACACGGGCAAATGCGAGCGGGCGGTCGGCAAGATGTGGCATTGTGTCCCGAAGGAAATCCTTAACACGAGCTTCAGCTTCAAGAGGAATCTGATGCTTTGCGAATGGAATGCTTCTGACTTCACCGGATCTCTCAGGGTCCGGAATAAAGTTGCAGTAACCGGGATGCTCATCACAGATCTTGAGCTCGTTCTTGTCCTCATCGGGTTCCATGAAGAATCCTTTCGCGATGTTGAACAGCACAGGTAGATTCTTGTACAACTTAGCCTCCTCGGGAGTCATCTGAATATGGCAGAGCGTCCAAGCGGTGGGACGCAGCTGTTTTTTGAAGTCTAAGAGACGGTCACTGCCAGCACCAGCTGCCAGAATCGTTTGATCTGCCCGATGAATCACTCCATCGGAAGTTTTGGCCCCGACCACATCTCCGTTCTCATATACCAGTGACACGACATTTCCTTGAGGAGAGCCAGTGACGAAGTTGACGCCCAGGCGTTTGGCTTCCGTATATGCAGAGAACATGGCCTTTTTGGCGTGAATCCACCCGGCACCGGACTTATTCAGCCAGCCCTTCCAGCCGGGGAATTCGCCAGTGAGAACACCTGGAGGCATCGTGTTCCGGAAGTCTTCTGCTGTCTCCAGCTTGACGAAGTCTGATACGGATGATTCGATTTCGTCTTTCCGGATGTGATCAATGAGTGCCGGGGTATGGCCAGAAATGATCAGACCGGTTTCATGGAAGTACGGCTTGAAAATAGGGTCCGTCCGCCAGGCACTCAAAGCAGCGCGAGTACATGTCGCAAATGCAATACTGCGTGGACTTGTTTCACCTTCTATATGAACTGTCAGAACTAAATCAGGTAGTGGGATAAATCAGAGATCGGAAAGCCTACCCTTGGGCTCTTTGTGTTCCATGATTTTATTAATATCATTGCCCGCCGCAATTGCAGATGGGATTGTGTAGGGGTCTAGAACAGTGACATGCTTGTATCCGCGGCGAGCCAAATGCAAAGCAGTGGAGCATCCCCAGACCCCTGCTCCCACGACGAGGATGGTGGAGTCATGAGTTACCGTCGAGGGCGCCATGGTGACTGTTAAGTACTTGTGTTTGGCTGTGCGGTGTTGAAAAGGAATCTCTTGTCCGTTGCAGGGGATTTGCATGGGCACTGGGACCGTATTTCAACGAGCCCATAGATCAGACAACATCAGCAGCATTGGGCACCATGGTGCCCTGGCTGGACCTGCATCCAGAGAGCCAACTGCCGCTGAGATGGAACACTACCAACAAGGCAAGATGAGCTCCGATACGGGGTCCGTCGCGGGAGTTCCTGATACGGCTTAGCGTACCGGTTGGACCTTCCTTGAGGCCTCGTATCAATCGACATCTCGTCCATCCTCCACTCGTCGCCTTCAGAGTCGCCAGGCATCATCGCGTCAATGATCCTCCGGAATGTTTCCGTACACGCTATCAAGGTTCTGACGGCGATGTAACCTTCGCGTGCGGATGATATCTACTTCGTCTCATGTCCAGGCCTTTGCTAACCGGCGAACCCATGCAGCTTCTCCGCATTTCCCTCCGGCTCCGCAGGCTTAGTCGATATCAACTGCTTAGATAGCCTTTCGTTTGGAGCTTCCTGAATGCCTTTCACTTATCTTAAGATGACTCTATCTCCCCTTCCACTGGGTGGCTGTCTCGTCTCCACCTCTGTCTTATCACCTCGGGTTTATTCCATTCAGCCGACTCTTCGTCTTTTGCCGCAGACTTCGGCAGAGACGTGGCGGACGAGAGGAGGCAAATGATCACCCCCTCTTATCGTCCTTGGCCGAACTGATATGCCCGGGGTGGCTGTCCAATCGGACGCCAAACAGGGGTCTTGGAGGGCTCTTCATGCTTCGACGATCTTGTGGATGGAGGTTTAGCAGGGTGGTGTCCAATACTAGTTGTGGCCAGCTTTAAAAGACCGCCCAACCCCTCTCATAGCTTCTCTTCTGATTATCAGTTCACTCACCAAGTCAAGATGGCTCGCTCGGATGATATAGTGACCGATGTTCCAGGAACAGTGTATCTCATTGATGGCAGGTCCTTCTACCCTTTGACATCGTTTGTTACTAACCTAGAACCTAGCAACGGGAGACTTGAGGGATGCAGCTCATGCTGGACAGCAGGATATCCTACTCATTCCCCAGCCTACACCTTCCGCAGCTGACCCTCTGGTGAGTATAAAAGTCCATTTCACCCTTTATCGGTATTCATGCTGACGTTTTCCTTCAGAATTGGCCACTCTATAAGAAATACTGGACTCTTTTCCTTATTTCCGCTTATGCATGCGTGAACTCCTTTGGTGAGAACAACTGGGGTGCAGCATGGACGACAATCTCGGACGATACTGGTGTCAGTATATCGAATATGAACGGTGGCTCCGCCCTTAACTATCTCATGTTGGGTTTCTTCAATATCATCTGGATCCCCACAGCAATGAGATACGGACGCAAAATTGTCTATATTCTCAGTTTGCTGTTCGTCCTTGGTAGTGGTATTTGGGGTGGATTCTATGAAGGAGTTGCGCAGTATTACATTATGATGACTATCAACGGGATTGGAACTGCGGCCTATCAGGCATTGATCCAGCTCACGGTATGCCAAGCCCTTCGGATTCTCAGAGGCCTTCCGCTAACTGAAAGAAGATCTTCGATGTATTCTTCACCCATGAACGTGGCCGGATGCTGTCCATCTACATCTTCTTCCAGCAACTCGGTTCAATTCTTGGTTTGATCTGCGGTGGCTACATCTCTGATGGAATTGGCTGGAGATGGAGCATGCCTATCGTGTCAATTGCGTGTGTCAGTACACCCTCCTTGATTCTGCCATAGTGTGGAAGAGCTAAGTAATTACAGGCTATTTTGATACTGCTATTTATTTTCACATTCGATGACACGATGTTCCCGAGGTATCGCTTTTCGGGCCAAACGCCTACGCGAACCACGAAAGTCGAGGATGAAGCTGCCCGCGCTCCATCTGATACACCAACTGCCAACGAAAAAGATCCTAAGTTCGAATCTCCTATATCGGTCGTAGCCAGCCATACTGTCGGTGAAATCGACATGCCCCCGCGGACATATCTCCAGACAATGTCTCCAGTTCACTACTTCAAAGACGATCATACAAGCTGGTACCAGTACTTTCGACGCCCATTCTTCCTTTTTGCCTTCCCGAACATTCTCCTGGCTGGTATCCAATTCGCATTTGGCTGTACCGCCGGCATCGTCTCGTTCAATACCATCTCCGAGATTATGACGGAGGCACCATACAACTGGAGCGCTGGCTCCGCTGGCTTGATTTTCTTGGCAGCACTCGTTGGTAACTTCATCGGGTATGTATCTGAACTACCGTGGCCGTGAGACAGTGCTAAATTGTTCTAGGATGGGAATTGGATCACTGTCGGATTGGCTCGTCGTCTTCCTTGCGCGTCGCAACAAGGGTTACAAGGAGCCCGAAATGCGTCTATGGGCGTATGCCCTCCCCATCGTCCTTGCGGCCGTTGGCTACCTTGTGTACGGCTGGGGTGCCACTGAAGGCCTCCAATGGATGTCTATTGCAGTTGGTCTCTGTTGCATGATTGCTCAGCAGGTATCTGCCACCAGTATTGCTACCGCCTATGCAATGGAATGTTTTGAACAGGTAAGGTTTCTTCATTCACCACGCCTGAACTTGATGGCTAATTGCTCCGGCTCAGATTTCTGGTGAACTGGTTATTGTACTGGCATGCTGTTCATCTGTAATCAACTTTGTGGTCTCCTTCACTGTCCAGGATTTCATCGATGGTACCAACTACGGCTGGACCTTTACATTCTATGGCATTATGGTTGTTCTTTCCATGGCCATGGGAGGTCCAATGATTATCTGGGGCAAAGATTGGCGGCGGAGATGTAAGCCGCGGTATGAGAAGTTTTTAGCTGAGACAGGCCGTGAGCAGTAGACGTGATTATCCCCCTATTTGAATGAATATTATGGCATATTGCTTGTTTAATGGTTGAGTGTTGAGTAGCTTTGCATCTCCTAAAAATCTGGCTGTAAACCAAAGAATAGATGTGTTCTTTGAAAATGAAGGCCTGGTTTAGTACAGTTGCAGGCTGCATAATGCTCCAGGGGCTTCATTGCCACTGTATCTCGGACTTGGTAACAATTGGAGACAACCATCCAGGGGGAATTTATTCCGTACGGTATCAGACACAGTACATTAAAGCAATCCATGCAATGCATTTTGGGAGCTTGTTCCTACGAATTAGTCACATAACGCTTTACTAAAAGATGATGTTAGAAAAGATTGCTGGGCAGCTCTGGCCCTCAACTCTAACACCCAATCACTTCTTCCATGCTTCAACAAGGAAAGCTTTATCCAGTCCATGTCGTGTACCCCCCTATTGAAGATATAATCCATTTCCCTGTCAAAAGCCTGGTCATATATCACTGCTACGGTCCCTCAATGCATCTGAATAGAATGAATGAGAGACTGACAGATAGGACAAAAGCTTCTAGATGACCCATATGATGCCTCGCTAGAGTATCACATTCCATTAGACACTGCATGCCCGCATGATGCCACAGCATGACGTGTTCCTATGCTAACTATGTAAATATCCCTTCTATAGAAATCAAAAGCACATGACTCTATGAACATAATACAATCTCATCCTTCCATCATTGCAGATTAAAATCCCATAAAACCATTCAGCATCCAAAAGCTCGTTTGCCGTAGGTCTGTCCCGAGGATCAAGTTTCATTATCTTACAAATGAAGTTCTTGTCTTCTTCTGAAATCTCCCGACGACTAGCCCTCGAAAAGGGCTTCATCGCCGTGGGCGGTATGGCGCTCTTGATCCAGGATAATATTTCCAATGTTTCTTCATCAGCAAGATCCGAATACGATGACGGATACGGTCCGAAGAAAATGTGATACTTTATCAGTATTTTTAGTTCATAATCTTCACTGGAACGAGGCACATCAGGCTTGAAGATGAAGAAATTATCACCCCAAATGAGAGATATGAGCTTTGAGATGTATATCAGCAAGTGTACAAGTTGAGGTGGAAGATGAGATACCATTGTGCCGAATGACCATATGTCAGTCGGTGGACCCCATTGTAGACCGAGCTGGGCTTCAGGGCTTCGCCAAATTGGAGTACCGATTTCATCCCGATTTATGCAGAGTCGTGACTCAGTGTGGACTGTGCTCTCTAGGTCGGCTAGTTGGACATCTGTAAAGCGCGATTCAAGGCCATAATTCACCAGCACGTTGTCGAGCTTGATGTCTGTTGTATGGATCAGTGATTAGCTTCTCCAATACTTGGTACATTCAACCTACCTGTATGGACATACCCAGAGTCATGGAGTACCTTCAGTCCCTCGAGGATCTTCTTCGATACGTACTTTATCTCTGGTATGGTAAGTCTTTTTGCAGCTGAAGCTTTAAGCAGGTCGTCATCCAGGTATTTTAATACAATGGCTGGTGGATCATCTGGCTCTTTGATTTCGTCAACTAATGGCCGTAGAGAAGCAGTATGTGACTGGAATTTCTTTAGAACGTTTCGCTCATTAGCGATGTGTGGATGACGAGCGCTTTTTATCAATACAGTTTGCTCGGATTTGCTTCTGTTGGTTGAATGAGACTCGATCAACGTTGAATGGAGGGAGCGTTCATACTTTGCCAGCCAGAAGTATTCACTTAGTTTCTTGGTCACAATGTATGTATTTCTATTGCCGATAAGTGCTTAACCTAGCTCTAGAAATGGACGCATTATATGACAGTTCCTCTTCCCTGGGAGTTACAATATGTCGATATGGAAGTTGGCTGGAATCGATTTTGTTGTTGAGATAAAGTAAGTGCATTAACAAATGTTCAGAACATTGATGGTCTGTTAGGCACTCATGTTGTTAGAAGAAGAGCATCCCGATATGCACCCCTGCCTCAAGGCGGATCAATCTTGAGCCGAAGCCGGCGTTTGGGGATAAGTATACAAAACTTATTTCTTAAGTATAAGTTGCCAGTATACCTTAGACCACCTATTTTCAACTTAACCACATCGGTTCGATTTTATCGTGGCATAATTGTTTCACAGCTGGCCATTTGCGAAGTTCCGAACACCAGTCATATGGGCCTGTCTGTCACTAGGGGCTAGTGTGCTTAATTTTCCAGTATACTAATTTCTCATTACTACTGAAACTAAACATGAACTCGGTTGTATCTAAAAGGGTGCCTGGGGATATGGACAGTATGACAACTGGACAGGATTCACCGGAATTAATTCACGAATGGAGCGTGAGTTCACTGCTATCTTGATCAAGAGGTGTGATTTCCCTAAAAAGGAAATCCCAAACGCATTTTTTTTAATTATTTCGTACTTCTTACTGTAGCCTAATGCACATTACTGACAATATCATCAGAGTCATCAACTCAGTTCATAAACCATCGTCATCAAGTCCGAGGCACGCCCGCGCTACCTACCACAAGTAACAACATACTTCAGTTCACCCCACCACTAACCTCCTTCAACCTCTCCGCTATAGGACTAGGATCCAAATAGACAGTAAAAAACCGCATCTGATCCTCATTTACCCGCTTCCCAAAAATCGCGATCCCATTGACATGGATGACCTTCTTCTCCGGATCGGCTTTCAGGACGTACTCGATACTCGCCTCCTGGTAGATGCGATCAGGAAGAACGTCAAAATGGCCGATGGTATGCTTCATGCTCTCGAGAACCGTGGACTGCTGCTTGAAGAAGTTGATGATCGCTTCTTGGCCTTTGATGAGAGGGCGTCCTGGGAATCGGAACTCGCAGTCGGGGGCGTAGAACGGTGGAACGGCAATGTCGGGGTTGAGCTGATCGCCCAGGAGGTGGTAGTTCTGGAGCCATAACTTGGCTGCGGCGGTCTGGGCGTCGAGGTCGGTCATGATCTAGACTGGATGTTGGTTTTACTATTGGGGAGGCGAGAGCGTCGATGAGGTAGACTTACAAGTGATGGGTGAAATGAATGTTGAATTGGATGCTTCCGGTTGAGAATGCTCTGTCGGTCTTGTAACTGAGGATTAGTGATCTTTATATAATGTTTTACTCCAACAAGGCTCATTATCACTCATGATGACGAAGAGGCCTTTTTGGGTTTAGGTTGATGACCAATGGTATATCCATTGACTGTCTGAAGAGTTTGATTTGTAATGTCTGGCGTCTAACTACTACATGTAACTGTGTCGATTGGGCTGTGTGACTAGGTAGCTTGTGGTATTGATTGGAGGGAGTAAGGTGGCTGGCTATATGTTGCTTTTTCCAAATCATTAATATGCCGTATTCAATTTCATAATTGGGAGTTCAATCAAATTGTGAGCTTTAATGATGAAGATTTCACTGTCACAATTGATATTAGTAGGCTAGCTGGGAAGACCTTGACTATCATTGGTCCCGGAACAAGACTCATTATGATTCTCACAGTATTCATAATTACTCAGATATAATCGTGTCCCATTGTAACAAATCCAATAGGGGAGCAGGGTTAAAAACCCGATAATCATAAGCAACACAACTTACAGTGATAGGCAATATCATATTGCCAGCAACGTTCGGTTCTCGAAACGGAGACAGGTACTTATAGTAGATCTTCCTGCACCATATCTTGAACGATTAAACACTTAGCCCGCTGACGACAAGATTGAGAAGTTAAAGAACAGACAAACGAAACAAGCAGCGAATCAGATAACGCAGTGGTTTGCAGCTCCAGCATCATTGGTCTAGTGGTAGAATTCATCGTTGCCATCGATGAGGCCCGTGTTCGATTCACGGATGATGCACAAGGATTTCTTTTTTCTTTTTTCTTTTTTTTACAAACCACTGTCCCTATGATCGACAATTGTTAAATTAGGTCAAGTTTATTGACCAGATCCACAGAGCTGAAGACATTGAGGTCATTGATCCACGTTGTGCGCTGTCGGAAAGTGTGAATATCTGCAGGAGGAAGAACAACACTTTCTGCCCGATGGCCATTATGGCTTGCTGTAGGCACCGGCCGAGGTTTCTTGTTCCATCTCCTCGCCAAGAAGCTTCTCCGCAACACGACGGACAGCCGAGGGTATACTCCGTACATCCTTACGAATCAGATGTCATCTCTAAGGACTTCCCTTTTTCCCTTAGCTCCATCTATTCAACTATTCCGGGTCTGGTAGGTGGACGCACCTTTGCGCTAGAGCCGACATGGACTAGACAACAAGAGCACCATTGCAAAAGGGCCATTGGTACATACACCTCGTAATCTCCAAGCATACTACTGATAACGATTTATTGACACAATTTCACCGAACATCTTTATGGCTAATGAGACAAGTACTGAGGCTGTCTGCTGGCAGGACCTGGTCGCCCGAAAACGCCGCGAATGCCAGGAGAAGATTCCCTCCGAATGGACATTGAGTAGAGATCTTCTGGCCGTGCCCCCGCATCTGCTAGAATATGACCTCCCGCGCCGTAGCGGTATATTATCTGAAGATGAGTTGGATCTCACCGAGAATTTCTCGGCCACGCAGCTCCTAGCCAAGCTAGCCTCGGGCCAGGTCAGTTCGCTTGAGGTCACCACGGCATTCTGTAAACGTGCAACTATTGCACAGGTGGTAAGTAGGATCCTTCCATTCAAAGGGAATGACAACTGACTTATACGTCTTTTGAAGACATCTTGCCTTACGGAAACATTCTTCTCTCAGGCTCTAGACCGAGCGCGCTTTCTTGATGCCTACTTAGCGCGCGAAGGGAAACCCATCGGTCCGCTGCACGGTCTACCTATTAGCATAAAAGACAGTTTCTGTGTTGAAGGCGTGCAGTCCACCGTCGGATATGTATCCTTTCTACGCCGTCCACCAGAAACCAAAAATTCCGCCCTCGTGGAACTGCTTCTGCACCTCGGGACGGTGCTCTATGTCAAGACTAATCTTCCCCAGACCGCAATGGTAAGCCACTTAATTCTGAATGGCCGATTATTCGGCTGACAGCCTGCCAGACAGCGGATTCTGAGAATAACATCTTTGGACGCACCCTCAACCCGCATAACACATCCTTAACTGCCGGCGGGTCCAGCGGCGGCGAGGGTGCACTGGTTGCATTCCGGGGATCTATCCTTGGGGTAGGCACCGATGTTGCAGGCTCTATCCGTATCCCCTCGCTATGCTGTGGCACTTACGGTTTCAAGCCCACGGCCAACCGCGTCCCATATGGCGGACAAGTTCAAGTGTCCATGAAGGGACTGCCAGGACTCACTGCAGCTGCCGGCCCATTAGCGCACAGCATTGAGGACCTACAGCTTTTTATGAAGGTAACAGTGGGGGATGGTCAAGCATGGGAGTACGACGAGACGGCTGTTGGGGTCCCATGGTCATTTGATGCCCAGATAGCCAACAAGAGGAATGGGAGCTTAAACATCGGTGTGTTGTCTGAGGACAAGCATTTTCCGCTCCATCCACCCGTCAAGCGGGCGTTGGAACGTGCGATCGCGGCCTTAACTCGAGATGGCCATCGCATCATCCGCATAAACAACCAGGACAAAGATGAGTTGTCCGTGGCATATGCCTCTCGCCTTGCATACCAGTATTTTACTTACGGCCCCCGAGCAAGCATGGATCTTATTAAGACCAGCGGCGAGCCGCTTGTGAAATCAGTGGCCAGGTTTGATAACCCTCTGTTCTCAGGTCCTTTACCCGTGGACCAAGAAATGGAACCATTCCAGAAAATTGGGCAATTGCATATCGCTCGACAGCGCGTTAGCGATGCCTGGCGTCAAGTGTGGGTGGAGCAGAAGCTGGATGCTATTCTAGCCCCAGGTGCTCAGAACACGGCCGTGGGCCATGACACCTATGGCTGGCCCCCTTATACTGTAATATGGAATTTATTGGATGTAAGTAGATGCCCACCGCTTCTTTCGCCTGAGATTGACGTGACTGATCCTATTTGCAGTATCCGGCCTGTATAATTCCGTTCGGTAAAGTGTCAAAGGAGCAAGACCCAGAGATTATGATTACAGGAGATGACGTGCAGCCGGACTGTAGGTGCTTAGTAAATCTTACTATTGAGCCTGGCTGACAATACTGCAGATCACCCAGACGAGGTGGACGGTGCCCCATGTGCTATCCAGGTCATTACGCCACGATTCCAGGATGAGAAGTGTCTCTGGGCAGCGGATATTATTGATCGATCAATTCACGCATAGACTATACCGCCGAGACACTCTGCACCAATTGAAATAGTACATTTTAGTAGTGGTGAAATCCCATGGCAGATCAGCTGCCTACCTAGATATCAAATATCGAGCCCAACAACTTGATTGGATGTATCCCCCTATCTGGTCGATATTATCCTCAATCTTGAATTTTGAATGATGATGCGCACCATTGCTGGGACCGGGCTAGGACTAATAGTCGGCAGCACCTTCTGTATTGAGTAAGGTCAACACGAGTCACGTATCTGCGCAGGGCTCCTGCAAGGCAATATTGCAGACGAAACTCTATTAGCTTGTCGGCATATATGCCCTTGGTAAATGCCGGCACAGCTATCTACTTACTCCCATCAGCTGGCTCCCATGCCATGCCGCTGACCCAATGTCTATTTGCAATTGGAAGAAGAGATGCGAACCTCATGCACTAGCAGACCAGCATGATGCACCCCGAGCAGAACCCCGATAACAAATGACCATCAAGCGATCATCAGTGTTATCGATCCCGCTTGAGAACTGAAAATAACCCCGCATTTGCTACTCCAACCGGCTGTTATCTATGGTCTCTTTCCTGACGCGCTCATCTAAAGATAAGGCCTTTTCGAACGCATATCCCTGCATGTCCAAGTGGCTCCCGAGAAGATGGGCGGATAAAGATCAAGATAATGCGAGAACTTAAATGCGTTTACCAGCCCGGAGTTCCATGTCTTGATGACTGCAACTTCGCGACAGGGGCCTTGGCTTCCGCACATCGAGCATGTCAAGTGACCAGCTTGAAGAAGAGCTCTCCTGGGCTCCGGGAACAATTACCCTCGAAGATGGTGAGTGATTTTCTATCAAAGCGTGGACAGCGCTGACCCCAATCAGTTCACAGTACCAGAGTTATCCTCTTCCCCACCCCCTCTGCTGATCCTGATGATCCTCTCAATTGGTCGAAGGCACGCAAAACCCTCAACTACACCATCGCCAGCTTCTTTGTTCTATTTACTTTCGTGGAACTGGACATCGGCTTCACCGCATGGAGCCAAATGGAAACGGAGCTTGGCTTCACGGTGGACAATCTCAATGCCGGGGTGGCGGCCAATTATGGCGGCCTGGCTATCGGGTGCTTTTTTCTCCTTCCTTTAGCACGTAAATATGGTCGTCGCCCTATCTATATCCTCGCTTCGGTTCTGCAACTGGCCTCTTGCGTGTGGAATGCCGAGGTCTATTCTTTTGGGAACTATATCGGAGCGAATCTGGTTTCCGGCTTGGGTGGTGCTATCAGTGAGGTCATTGTGCAAATGACTGTGGCAGACCTTTTCTTCGTGCATCATCACGCTACGATGAACGGTCTATTCGTGCTCTTTGAATCAATCGGGGCATTTCTGGGTCCTGTCGCGTCGGGATATGTTGTGCAGTCACAGGGTTGGCGGTGGACATGGTGGTGGTGCGTGATCTTCTTTGGCATCATCTTACTCTGCGTCATCTTCCTCTTTGAAGAATCCAAGTTCGTCCCCGTCTTGGATGCCCAGGATTTTGCCCCGGCTGTTCGAATAACGGCTGGAGAATATCCTGAAGGCTCCCGACATCCCAAGTCTACACTCCCGTCCGACAACAAGAAGACTGCTATTGAGCCTGTGGGAGATGACGCACCTTGCCCTGGAACCAATCCAAAAACCTACCTACAGAGAATGGCTCTCTACACATCTTCTAGCGAGTCCATATGGTCGCATGTATGGCAGCCGATTATAACTCTGTTCACCTTCCCAGCTGTTTCATATACCGCAATCACGTACGGTTCTACGTTGTGCTGGTTTGCTGTTATGACATCGCTTCAGGCAACATATATGATCCTGCCGCCGTACAACTTTAGTTCTATTGGCATTGGCCTGATGAATGTGGCGCCGTTTATTGGCGGCCTACTAGGCTTCCCATTTTCGGGCTATTTGAGCGATAAGTCTATCCTTTGGCTCTCGAAGAAGAACGACGGTATTTACGAGCCCGAGATGCGTCTCTGGCTTCTGCTCCCTATGATCATTCTGGGTCCAGGATCGATCCTGATGTTTGGCCTTGGACTCGCTTATGTACGTCTTAACGATCCATGGTGGAGATCAAGCTGACCTCTCTTTTCTCTTAGGGCGCTCACTGGTCCGTCCTAGCCGTTGGTTACGGTATATTCGGATTCGTCTTTTCGTGTGTTTGTGGTCTCTCGCTGTCGTACCTCATGGACTGCTACCAGGACGTAAGTACATTCCAAATGAATCCCACAGTACATTCGAGATTCTAAACAAGCATTACCAGATCATCGGTGACACTTTAGTCGGTGTGGTTTTCGTACGAAACGTGATTTCTGTTGTCGTCCTCTTCGCATTGACTCCCTGGGTTGAGGGCATGGGCCTGCAGGGTCTTCATATTCTGCTCGCCATCTTGGCCTTTTTTATCTACTCGCTACCGATTCCTCTTCTGATATGGGGGAAGAAGGCGAGGGCTGCTACCGCATCAACTTATCGGAAGATGGCGGCGAACCAAGTTGACAACCGAGCAGTATAATAGAATCCAACAGTGCCTGGGTTAATAGCAGTTTTCTTCTCTACCAATAAATATAGCAGATACGCAGATATATAGAAGCATACGGGGCTTACGGACCAGGCACTCGGTCAGTCGTAGTGAATTATTATGCCAGTGATCAGGTTCAGATGACTAGACCCAAAAAATAACTTAATATGGAAAACTACACGAGTAAATTCCGTATGAGCATGATATAACTCGCCTAATTTAAGAAAATTCCTATACAGATATATTCCACGAATTCCTTGAAACATGAGAAATTGCTAATACAGTTCGCTACCCCTGACGAACATCCGACCCAATCTAGTAAATCTCTCACCAACGCAATCAATAGCCGTCTTCTGTTTCTTCCGAAGGTTGCAGTGATCAGGAGCTCTCGAGCTGGTGCAACCTCCTCCACACCTCAGCCACCGACCCTCAACCTGCACATTGATTTGGCTTCGGAGAGCACGCCAGCCCTGAGTCCCCTTGGAGAACCGACACGGGCAATCGATTCCCAGACCATCTTGCCTCGCCAAGTAATGTGGCTCCCAAGAACTGCCAGGATTAGAACATCGCCTCTTATAAGGTTCAGACGGGGACACAAACGTAAGTATCCACGGCGGAGGGCCGGACGAAGGACAGTGAGGGATTGAGCAGGCCTCAGCATCAACATCGACGCCTTGGGGATCTAACCAGGCAGTGAAACGAGGACCATTGATCTTCTTCTTCCAGAGAGACTATCCCATCCCCAATGAGGACACGAGCAGCATGCCATTCCTTCACAACTTCAACCAGGTACAGTAAACTGAGAGTATCCGTCAGCCACGCACCGAAATACTGGTATCAATCATTTCTTCTCCCCTTCTTGATGCCATTCTTAATAACCCTCCCTCTGGTAGTTCTTTTCTCATCATGCATTCCTAATTCCTCTGTTGTCCCATTACGGTAAGACTCCCCCGGACAAACTGGATGCTCCGAATGTTCTTAAACATTTTGCACCCACAGCAATAGATTTTTTTCTGGCTGATATAAACTCAGAATCTTCTTTTCGACCATCGAGGTTATCATCTCCACTAGATTCTAGAGACGTTCAATGTCCTCCTCCTTCTCCAGTTAATTCGGAAAGACCGAGCCATTCCCAGACTGGTCATCTTCGGTGTCGGTGTCTTGGCCCTTTCGCTCTCGGCGCTTTCTGTTTCTTGACACGGTGCTGTAATAAATATCCTTCAGGTAAGCGTACATTCTTGTTGCTTCTGTACGTGAATACCTCAGCAGAAATGCTGACAACCAGGAACCGTATACAAACACCATGATGACTTTCAACTTCGCTCGGCAATTCTGAGCTTTAAGGCTTCTGGGGGATCTCAAGTGAGGTCTATGACTTGTTGTGGGTGTTCTTCTGGATTCGACGTCTGGGACGCATCTTCGACGGCCGAGGAAATGTAAAAAGCGTTGATGATGAATGGGAGCAGTAAGCACGGCACATAGGATTGCGCTTCAGAATGTGGTTGTGATATTTTCACCCCCTGTTGTAGAAAGAGATGGGCTAGGAGGATATGTGTCTCGACCGAATTTCCAGCCATGAAATATTAAATGACTAGTTCTGCGAAGACAGACCCTTATCAAATAAGAACATGGTCGATCACATGCGAGTAAAGCTAATGTGACTGTATATATCAGTACCAAACATCTTCCTCCACGGCATGATCACATACCGATCGTCAAGCAGGTGTATGATCTTGGCTAATAACCGAGAACCAGGATGGGAGGAATGTCTTCAGGAAATACTGTCGTGCTCAGACCATCCCTCCGTGCCTGCCTTGGTTATGGATTCTGTAAGTACTCGATTTTTCGAGACGACGTTACGGGTTCCAGAACACTAGGACTCGGGGTTGGAGAAGATGCAGCCATACTGGGACCGTTGGTTTGTAGGTTCTTCCGATGGTTTGGTGGCTTGGGTAGTCCTTTGTAATGACGAGGATGATAGCCAGCTGATCGACGCCGGTGTATATGATGGTATAGATATGGGAAGAACAGCCCCGGTTGGATTCTGGGGAGGTATTGACGAAGTATGTTTAGACCGAGTTGGTTGATTCCGTGTCAGGAGTGAGGTTGTCTGCTCTGCTGTAGTATACGTTTCGTTGGTTTTGTTGTATGGCTCGAAGATAAGCCCGGTTTTGGAGGGCTAGTAAGGGGTTTGGTTTAGATGGTTTTGGAGGATGTGGTGCTCAGATGCCATTTTTATATTGACGCATTCTGAAGATGGAATTGGTATGTTGTGATTGAGTATACCTCTTGAGATTGAAAGGGCTGCTGAGTGTAGATGGGGGATTTAGAAAGATGTTTTTCTGTCGATCCTTCTGTAATGGAGTTGATTCGTTGGGTAGTGCTTGTGTGTGCTGTTGCGAGTCTGTATATAAGAGGAAGAGAAAAGAGATTTGAAAGGCGTAGAAGGCTTCCAGAACATATCAGAGGCTCTGAGATGCTGTCCGATCAGTCCAGTCACTCTTGGGGCTTAGTTGGACTGCATTGAGTGCAAGATGGTTGGGAAATGCAGTCCCTAGGATGCAATCCCTAGGATGCAATCCCTAGCAAAGACCTCGAACCTGTGCGGATGAAGTAGAAGGAAGCATGAAAGACAGGAGTATACGTCTTATATGTGCACTATTGCTTGTTTTATGCCGAGAAAATGGGGATTGTCTCCTTGGTGTTGGCAACTTCCATCGGCTGTCTTCAACGGTCAGTACGGCTACATTCGGGACATCTCTGCATTCCATCCTGCATATTAATTGAAAATAGGCAGGAATATCGAGATAGATTCATTCGTTATATCCATCATAAAACATCAATATACCAATACCCATTTCACCAATATCACACTATTTACTGGTAAACGCGCAGGTCCCCATATCTAGCTTCACTGCATCCGCCTCCGGCCGAATGTCAAAGTCAAAAATATCCATTGGCACTCCCAGCGTGGTGCACGCATTAGGGATATCCACCAAGCCCGCAATATGTCCCTGAACAGGGGCACAGCTGAGCAGAAGATAGATCTGATAGTCGCTGTACCCATACCGACGGAGATACTCGATCACCCGGAGACAGGTTTGACGATAAGCAACCGTAGCATCCAGATAGTGCTGCTTGCCCTTCTCGTCGACAGAAAAGCCCTCAAAGGTCAGGTACCGGCCGGGACCGAACTGGGGCTCGACAGGTCCGGGCTGGAAGATCGGGGACTTCATGCCCATCTTGGCCATGCCGTTCTTGATCACGTTGAATTTGATGGTGATTACGCCGGCCATCTCGATGGCGCCGCAGAAGGAGATCTCTCCATCGCCCTGGGAGAAATGCAGATCGCCGACGGAAAATTTGGCACCAGGAACGTGGACCGGGAGGTACACCTTCGAGCCACGAGAAAGATTCTTGATGTCGCAGTTACCTCCGTGTTCGGGGCGGCCCTGTACTTATTAGCCCTAGTACACATGAGTCTGGAAGGAATGTTTGAGCGTACAGGGATGGTGCGAGCGCCTTCATTTGCAATCTTCGCCTTCAGGCTCTCATCCGCACTACCGGCGTGCGCACTTTTTGGTTCCGGGGGTTTCGCAACATCGCGTGCGAGTGTATTTGCCGCGATAAGCTCTCCTTCACGGCGGTTCCACTCTGCCAGGACCTCTGCGGAGGGTGCGCAGCCCAAAATTCCTGGATGGATGAGTCCTGCAAAACGAACATGGGGAATGTGCCGCGAGGAGCAGAAGATTCCTTCGAAATCCCAGATTGCCTTGGCTCTATATAAAATCAGTCATCAATAATCCAGAAAGAGAAAGGTATCCTACGCTTCTGGATAAATCTCATCCAAGAAACCACCTCCGTTCTCTGCTGCAAAGACTCCGGTGAATCCCCACGGCTGCTCCTCAAAAGGCTGGACATCCTGGATCTCCACGAGAAGCACGTCACCAGGCTCTGCAGTCTCGATCTCGAATGGACCGGATAGATAATGAATTTGGGTTAGGTCGACGTTCTTGATGTCGTCGGCAGAGTCATTGTTCTTGATTTGTCCTCCAGTCCAGTCCAGACACTCAATCTTGACGACCTCGTTATTTGCAATTTTGGCACAGGCAGGCACTGTTAGATAATTCAGTCAGAATAAGCCTTAGTGATATCGAAGTTGACTCATCGGCGTACCGTCGGGGTGCCATCGGTTCTGAGGGAGTTGAGCATCAGCGCATCTACTCAGGTTACTTCATGGGCAGAGGACTTACATGCAGACCAGACTGCTCCCAGGCAGGCTTATTGAGGTCGACAGTAAGTGCAGTACGGATTTTCTTGTGACCCATGTTGATCTGGCGATGTTGCTATGTGGTAGTGGATGGTGAGGGGAGATGAATTAAGGTTGCCAACCCCCCTCAATTAATAGTTGCATGGCCGGCTTGGTTCACGGCGACCCCTCAATCCATTGCCCTGAACTTCCCCTCACCAATGGCCGGCGGACTCCAACTCTGTTTATCAAGACGTCAAATAGGAATTACGGAACGCCTCTGGCTGCTTTATCTTATCATTACTATCATGCTTATCAGCGGGAAGGATGGCTCCATTTTATTTCTGTCTATGATAACAATATACCGAAGCCCAATAAACAGAACACAGCGTGCAATGTCCAGAACACCTGAGAATACGTTCCCGAATGGTTACCATAATCAACTTTTGTAGGTTGGAAGCCACGCTCCCTCTAGGTCTCTCTCTAGGTCTCCCTCAACTTCCTGACATCAGGCGAACTTCCGGCCAGGGCCCTCGGGCGCACTGGGCTTTTCCTCCTCCTGCGCTTTATTGAGCTGGTCGATATTATCCAACGACAGCCGCAGGAACTCATGCTTATTCTTCCAGGTCACCTGGGTCTCAGCGAATCCCTCCTTCTCGGCAGGGCTCGGCGGAGGGTCCGTGACCTTAGTGACGAGATACGCCGTGGCTGCTTGTGCCACACCATACAGAAGAACCCCGATGAAGGGAGTCTTCAACACAACGGTAAAAGCAAAGGCAAACCCAAAGAGGACGCCCTCGCGATCGGCAAACCAACGTGCTCTCTGCTCACGGGTGAAAGGAACGCGGCTGAAGTAGGGATCGAGCTAGGGATTGGGTTAGACATGTTTGACGAAAGAAAGCGACTCAACTTACCATCTCGCGCATAAGAGTGCGGGACGCATAAAAGCTGTGCAGGAAGGAAACGACATAGCTTTTCGGGAAAACCAAGCCCGCTCCGAAGACGACGGCGGCAGGGGTAGTTCCCACGACACCCTTAAAGGCATAGAACGAGGCAGCGGGCGTCGCAAACCGTCCGACGACGGGTACAAGTGACAGGATAGACACGCCCAGAAGCAAGGCGGCTCTTTGGCCAGACCTCCGAAGGAATAGAAAAATTCTTTCCTTGGCCGGCTTCTTCGGCTCAGTGGACTTGACCTTGCCATCGGTGGTTGAGTACAGTGAGAGGTTAGGATAGTACATGGCACGCAGAGTGTTGGGGTCCTCCGCCTTGTGTTTGTCGACGTAGGTAGAGTCCACCCATTTCAATGACTCCATGAAGCTAAACAATCAGCACGCGAGATCACATTGCTGCCAAGGAGCTGACTTACATCTCATCGAGTGTAGGGGTGATGTATCGCATCAGCGACATAATCAAGAAAGGAACCTGAAGAACAGACTTGGAGAGGAATTCCAGGGCATCAATGAGGGAGTCATCCCAAGTCACGCTTTCGAGATCGATGATCCATGAGAGGAACCAGAGGATGAACTTGAGTCCGATAATCTAGAGGGACCTTTAGTCTCGAAGTTGTGGGGTAATTTGGAGGTGAACCATACTGGAATCTGAATAAGAAGCTCGACAGCCACTCCGACTGCAACTGCAAATGCAGCCTGTCGGAAGTGATCATATTTGAATAAGTCAGGATTCCGCAATGCGCGGACGGCTGTAGAGCTGCGTTAGCACCGGGTACCATCTTGCCAAAAGGGACCAGACGGGTAGTAGATATCTCAATGGCTGCTGCCGATCATGGAGCTAGGGATTTCTGGGGTGCCGAGCGATTGAAATTCAGCACACCGATGACCCCTTATGTCCCAGACATCTCGCTCCCCCTGTCGCGCAAGGAGAGGCCAGGTCACGCAGCGATTGAGCTACCCGAATGTTCCGGATCTAAAGCGGAAAAGGAGACTCACTTGCAACAACCGTGAGCTGAAAGCCGCGAATCACGGCATTGTGGTCGAAATTGCCCATATTGAACCCAAGACTCTCCTGAGTACTCACGAGTGTCAGGGACAGGCTTGCAGAAGGGGTGAGTCGTCGTACTATTTATAGTTGTGCGTTGTCTGCCGAGGGGGAAACAGCCACAGGCAACCACATATTGGAAACTGAATGACGCGCTCAGCTGTGGCTGCCATTCCCGATTGGCGGTCTACCCGCTAGCCGCCGGCGGAATAACCGCCGACCCCACCAGGAAGCGTAGGGCAGGTGACCGGCGCAAGGTTGCCTGAGGCAGTGATCGCTCTCCGCTGGGTTAGACCCGATTGGGGCCAAAGAACCGGGAATCGGGAATCCAGATGATTATTATTGAGTTCATCCAGCCAAGGGTCACTTGCGCGCGCTGCATTATCTCACCACCCGTCTCTCATTGTCTCTCCTCCCCCTGCTGATCGTCTCTCCTTATCCCTTCCGGCCCCATTCTTTTGCTATACTCTACTTAATTCAACCTTACTATATTCAATGTAATCTTTTTTGTCCCTGGCCCGTTCTTCACTTTCTTTAGTCCCCATGAACGAGAATGTCTAATCTCTCGGATGCGCCATTTCCTCAGACCCATTCCCTTCGTCGGTCTGCCACCCTTCCCTCGAAACTGAACCCCCGGCCGCGTCGGCAGTCGGAGTCACTCAAGCCATCGGAGAACGATCTATTCTACCACCCGTCCGCGAAAGTTGTCCATTTTGCCCCTAGAGCACTCGCCCCGATTCCATCCAGCACTTCGCCCTCGGACTTCGATTACCCGGTCGATACTGTCGAGACTCTTCCTTGGAGGTCCCCCACAGAACGGACGGTCGCCCTCGGACCACTCCGGTTGCAAAATGTTCACGGCCTTACCGTCTTTCTTAAATGCGGCAATGTCGTGCATGCGATTCTCAAGAATTCGCAATGTTGGTGTGTCGACGGCGAGTCGACCTTTGTCTTGCGCATTCGCCCTCTGACGTACTATCGCATCGAGCTTCCTACTGAAACAGAGAACGACAAGGTATTGGTGGTAGGGATGAAAACGGTCTTGCCAGGGGTCCTTCGCTATGAGGTGACCCCGTGCCCTTTCAAGAGGGGATTCACCGTTGAGATACCGGAGGAGGCCAAAGCGCCCAGAAGGAAGAGGGCGTGGCGCCCCAAAGGTCGTCGGGACAGCGCTCCAATCACTTCGACATATCATCAAGGTGAACTCAAGTTGAAAGAGGACCTTGCGAAAGTCCCTCCGAGTGCTGGGGAAGATACGGATGGAGATGCGACGGATGACAGCGGCTTCACCACGAAGGACAGTAACAGTACCATCTTGGAGACTATCCCGGATGATGATGAATCTCCTGAACTGTTTCAGACATTCGAACCGGTGGATCTGCCCGGGCGCTCAGCGCAAGAAACGGAACAGAATTTTCAAACCTTGCTGGCAAGATTTGAGGAGAACTCTGAACAACAGGTTGATCCTGAAACGTCGTTCTCATCGAGCGTCGAATCTTTCCATTCCCTTGGACCCTCGTTTTCTACATTACCGGACCTGGACGCATGCTCTACGCCTACGTCGACTGAAGGTACCGAGCAATTTCAGACCGAACTAGGCAATAATCCATCGCCATCAGAAGAACAGCCCTTTCGGGAGACAGAACGCTCTAGAGATCGACTATCCGTGTATGTGGACTGTTGGGATGACTTGTCATCTACATCGCAAGATCTGTCGAGAGATTTCTCTCCTGAGCGGGAAGCCAAACCGATCCCGAACGTAATTCCCGACATTCAGCAGCCAGCTTTAACCCGCAATGGCGCGACCACCGCCACCGATTCGAATCCAAATCTCAGCAGCATGAGCGTAGAGTTCCGCCGGCGCTCCAAAGCATCCCGCGAGCGAGAAGTTTCCCCGATGCCACCAGCGTCCTCACTCGCCCTCACAAGGCCCGAGAAACACGACGCGGCGTCGCTCATTCAGAAGACCTGCACGCTTGTCCTGGTCCCTCCTATTCAACTGCTGGTGGTTCTCATTCACGTTGCTGCGCGCATTGTCATCGGCCCAGCCTTGAACTCCGCCATAGGCGAATTGAACCGAAAGATCGAGTATGGAGTCACCGGCTCCCAGGACACAGTGGATGATTTCGACCTCCCACTTCCTGACCGATCTAGGGCGTCGTCTGCCGATGAGGATACTAAAAACTAACATCTGTATCGACTCGGGCTTCCGCACCCTTGCCGTCTTTCGTTCCGTGATCCTCTCACATTCCACTCTTTCTCCGCTGACCATGCACCTACTGTTTCTGTCCGCATCTGATGACTTGCTCGATTCCCTCTCATGTACTCTTCCAACTACGATGACGCATTTGTATGATCTCACTTTGTCTCTGTCTCCACCTATTTCCTTCGGTTTGGCATCTGTACGGATTGTGGGTGGGCTGTCTCTGTTTCTTGCACTGGATATGTACCCGTAATGTTTTCTTTGTATTCTAGCGATATCATCAACACAGTTAATCTGATATACTGTCACCCTACAAGCATAATTAGTATATTTCTTGAAGAGAATGGTTCCATTCAGCCCGATCCCTCACCCATATCTACACAACAAAGACCAGCAGTAAAGGGCATGAACATACCCAATGAATCAAACAAAAGAGACCCATAAACGCCCATAATGCATCCATAACATCACCAGCAGCGATATATCTACCATCCTCTTCCGCATGGTACCGAATAATCCCAGCCTCACCTTCCCCAATCAGCCCACCAGCCACGCTGCCACTATCCCTACCCAACGGCTTAAGCCTTAGTAACCTTTCCCGCTGCACCTCCCTTGGCCTTCGCCTTGCCCTTCTTCCGATCCCTCTTCTTCAACCCCGTCATTCCTGCCTTGCACACCTCCGCATACCGGGCATAGAACGCCTCCAGCTCCTCCGGGCTCACCACCGTCGACAACTTGACTTTCGGGGGGGCGGATTGGGCCTTCTTCCCTTGGGGCGTTTTGGGGTTGGGGGCGTTGGTGTTGCCGTCTGTTGCGCGGATGAGGATGGAGGGTTGTTCGGAGGTGGTGGTGTTGAGGAGAGGTTTCTGGGTGAGGTACACGGAGCCTCGGGTCTTTTGGGAGGTGGTGGTGAGGAGGGTGGTAAGGGAGGTGAAGAACTGGATTGGTTAATTTGTCAGTATAAGAAGTGGTATTGAAGGGTGGTAAGTATGTACCTCCTCGTGACCCAGGTGTGCGGGCATCTTTGCTGGATGTTGCGTTGTGTCGGAGGTGTAAGTTCTGGGTGTGTGGTGTTGCTGTTGGTCTTGGGGAAGTGTAGATAAAGTTAAGAAATGCGGCTGCAAAGTTCTACCAGTGAGATTGGGTAGAAGGAAGATCACCGCTTAGTCCTATGCTCCAATGATTGGAATCCACATGCAGTCTTAGACTCGATCTCGACGAGTCGGTGGGGGACACGAATCGAATCTCCGCAACTGCGCCCTCACCGCCTACGGTGTCCGCCTCCGCGGGACTTTTTTGAGGCGGCATAAAAAAAAGTTGCGCCAGTGCATCTATCGGAAAGGCAGATACAAGTCGATCGCCCATCATGCGGCGTCCTATGCATAATACGACCTCCTTGCCGAGGAATCTGCGCACGGAACTCGGAATTCGAGATACCTACGGTGATAAGAAGAATAAGCGCAACGGACCAGCGTCGAGGAAAGAGCGCCGGCGGGAGGAGCGGTCGGGGAAGAAACAGCGGGCACCGGTTTCGAAGAAGCGAAGCTATCATCAGGCTAAGGAGGAGGATGAGGATGAGGAGGGTGATTTTGATGGATTCGGGGATGACTTGGATTTAGCCGAGTCTGACGACGAGGTGCAAGCGCCGCCGCCCAAGGCTAAGTCGGAAAAACACCCCAAGCCTATCCTCAAAAAGAAGTCGAAGGTGGCTGAAAGCTCCGAGTCCGAAGGCGAATATGACGATGATGAGGATGATGCCGGAACCACGCGACGCCCTATCTCGAAGACGGTCCAAGGGAAACTCGAGGAGGATGATGCGGAAATTGCCGCGCTGGAGAAGAAGCTGGGTCTCAAGAAGGGCAAGAAGCTTCCCAAGTCTTTCGACGAAGATGGTCTAGGTGATCTGCTGGGCGATTTGGACGACGATTCTGCCGATGAGAACCGGAAGCGCAAGAGAGAAGCTGATGAATGGCTACGGAGCAAGCGGAGAAAGGCCCAGGGCTTGGAGCCTGAGGAAGAGTCAGAAGATGACAGTGACATGGGCGAGGAGGACGGGCTTGAGGATTTCGATGAGGACGAGTCTGTGGGTGGCTTCGATGAGGATGATGAGGGCGATGAGGACGAGGATGAGGAAGAAGAGCAGCCCGCTCCAAAGAAGAAAGAGAATCCCTACGTCGCACCTGTTCAAGAAATCAGCGAAAACCGTCCCCAGAAATACATTCCTCCTTCGCTTCGGGCTGCGTCCAACTCTGAATCCGAATCCCTTGTCCGGCTGAGAAGACAGGCTCAGGGTCACCTGAACAAGCTGTCTGAAGCCAACATGGTCTCCATCGTTGCGGAGTTTGAGAAGCTCTACCGTGATAATCCTCGTCAGAACGTCACATCGACATTGATCTCGTTACTGTTCGGGCTGATATGCGAGAGATCCGCTCTTTCAGACACTTTCATCATTCTCCATGCAGGATTCATTGCTGCCGTGTATAAGATCGTCGGTATGGATTTCGGCGCGGAGATCGTGCAGAAGATTGTCGAGACCTTTGACGCTCGCGGCGATGAACGGGGTCAATTTGAAGGAAAGGAGACCATCAACCTGATCTCCCTCCTGGCACAACTATACAACTTCCATGTTATCGGAAGCACCCTAGTCTTTGACTACATCCGACTCTTCCTCCAAGAGATCACCGAGGACAACACGGAACTACTCCTCAAGGTCATCAGAAGTACGTCCTAACCCTCTCACAACCCAAAGCTATACTAACCAGGCCAGACTCTGGACCCCAACTCCGACAAGATGACCCCTCAGCCCTCAAGGACATCGTCCTCCTCATCCAACCCGCTGTCGCCAAAGCCGGCGAAGCTGCTCTCTCCGTCCGCACCAAATTCATGATCGACACCATAACCGACTTGAAGAACAACCGTCTCAAATCCAACATGAACTCTAGTGTCACCTCGGAGCACATCACCAAGATGCGCAAGATCCTCGGTTCCCTCAACAACTCGCGGGTCATCCGGGCCTCCGAACCCATCAGCATCTCCCGTGACGACATCCACAACTCCTCCAAGAAGGGCAAATGGTGGCTCGTCGGTGCCAGCTGGCGCGAAGACCCTCTCGAATCCGCCCGCAAAGAGCTCACCAACCTCCCAACCAACAACGCCCAACCCGACGCCTCCGACAGCGAAGACGAGCCCGACCTCGCCAGCATTGCCAAAGCCCACCGCATGAACACCGACGTGCGCCGCTCCATCTTCGTCGCCATCATGTCCGCGACCGACTACCAAGACGCACACGTCCGCCTCCTCAAACTGCGTCTCAAACGCGCCCAGGAATTCGAAATCCCCCGCGTCCTCACCCACTGCGCCATGGAAGAAGCCGCCCACAACCCCTACTACACCCTAATCGCGAAACGCCTCTGCGGCGAAATGGGCCGTCGCATCAAAGTCTCCTTCATGTACACCCTATGGAACATCTTCAAACGCATGGGCGAAAACGGCGACATGGACGATGACGAGGACGACGACAACGCCTTCGACGACGAGGACGACCAAAACAAACTCGAAATGAAATCCATCGTCAACCTCGCCAAGATGTACGGCTCTCTCATCGCAGACGGCACACTGAACCTGGGCGTCTTGAAAATCCTCAACTTCGCGTACCTCCAACCGAAGAGTAAGACCTTCGTCGAGCTGCTCCTCATTAGCGTAATCCAGCAATCCCAGAAGAAGCGCGGAGGCAAAAAGAAGAAGGAGACGAAGTCTGCAGATGCGGAGGAAGGTCGGGATGAACAGGCCTTGATGGAGATTTTCCTACGCGCGAGGGAGACGCCACAGATTGTGAAGGGGCTGATTTATTTCTTGAGGAAGGTTGTCGCGAAGACTGATATTGTGCCTTCGGAGAAGGAGATGAAGGTCGTGAAGTGGGGATGTAAGGTCGCGACGGATGCTTTGAAGGTGGTCGTTAAGGAGGGTGGCGCGGAGTGATTGCATATTGTCTGGCGTTTGGGTGGTATTGGAGGTGGGTTAAAAGCTTGTATATAGTTGCTCTTGTTCCTTCTATGGAAGGTTAAATGTTAAGCATGATGGTACATTAGGATTGCATTCGTCGTGTATTTGGGTATCATAGTAATGTATTGTACATCAGTGCTACGGGTGAGGCTACGTGATTAGTTCCCATTCCATCCCGACGTGCCATTTACCTGCGGTCTGGAGGTGCGAACGGTCTGACGGGGAGAGATCGTTGAGACTCAGGTCTGTTCCTGAGACCTGAGCACTCTGGTGCTCTCCTAGGTCGACTTCCCATGCCAGACCCCGACAGACCCCGATCGTATCCCCCGGTTTAAGCTCGGGGATGCGAATCGCTGCATGACGAGACCGCATGGAGGACTGTCGAGGTGGCCCGAAAAGAAGCACATTCTTCATCTGGGTTTCATTATGAGTATCCGACTCACTAGTTTCCCCCCGGGAAACCACAGGGTGTCCCTGCACAAACGCAAGAGAGCCACAACTCCTTAGCGCCATTTGACGAGCACTGTGTATTTGGACAGCAATCGAGTACTTCCATATGTCCGGCAAAGATGAATCTGTTCTCTGGTTATAGCTCGGACTCGTCTGTTGCTGCTCTCGTTTTGCGCCCATCTCTAGAATCCAGCTGCGCACTTCTGCAGCCATGCCACCAGGGACATAGTTGGGCGTTGCGGAACGGTGGCGACCGCGACGCCGGAGCGCACGAGACGAGGGGGAAAATGGAGTGGGAATTCCGGTGGGGTCATCATTGTCCCGTGTGGGGGACGGCGAACGAGGCAAGACGAATGCTGGTGTCCGTCTTTGCGAGGATGGGATTGGAGTTGTTGTAGTCGAAGTGGGCAGCCTGATGCCGGGTTGAGTCTGGCTACTTGGGGGTAGCTGTGATGCTGATAAGACAAATCGACGGGGATGAAGGGAAGAGGGCCTGATGCTGGCCGGGGTGATGGGTTGGGGCGTCTCTGTAGCGGGTGGGACGGGTTTCAGGAATTGTGGTTCTGGGCGTGCTTGGTTTGGCGTGTGGTAGGAAGCTGACGGGGTTGGATTGTCTGCTGACGGTGACGGGGGAGGATCCGGTGAGGATGTCACGATTGTGTCGGCGTGTGGTTTCCGTTGAGTTGAGGGGGTGCCATCATTGTTGTTGTTCCAATAAACTCGACGTCTCTTTGTACGGTCCCTTGTAGGTCCAAACAATTCCTCGAATGCGGCGTCGATCTCCCCTAGCTCTCCTGGCAAGCTACTTTGGGGTTCCTCGTCGGAGATGCCCTCCTTTGTGAACAGATGTGGTGTAGCGTCCTCGTCCGGCTCGGCCTCGGAATCTTCGATGATCTCCCTCTGACGCGGGGTCGGTACATGTGTTCTTACGCGTTTGGCAGCACGCGCCGTCGGAACAGGTGTGGCATATGGAAAGTCGTCATGGTCTTCGACATCTTGCGATGCTCTTGATGAAGCGGGGGTTTGCGAGAGGAAAAACCGAGGGGTTGACGCGAACTGCGGGCCTGCGCTGCGACGGGAGGAGGCACGGAAGGGCGTCTGGACGGATTTTAGCTATGCGATTGCGACGAATGGGGGGAAAGACGCGTACTGCTACCGGGGGCATTTAGGACAGGCTAGTGGGGAGGAATTGCGCGACAACATGTCGGGACGCGTGAGATGCCAGAAGTTGATGCATCGAGCGTGATATCATCTGACATGTAATTTAGCTTCCTTCTTTGGCAAGCGGTCTACATGATCCGGTGACATGCCCTAGTCCCGATACGGAACAGATCGGCTATCGGGTCTGCTTCGTATGATTGGCTTGTCGATATCCCTCTGCTTCATCCATCATCCCAATGACCAAAACTCAAATTTGCTATGCAGGTGCCGTTGAGCATGATACAGTTCAGAGGGAGCACGTGCCATAAAAATAAATGCAGATCTTTGATTTCATCCCACCAATTGTGGGCGCATCTTGACGAATAATACAAGCATAGTAAGACTCGTTACCCCATTAATCATAGCAACCTGTACTCCATCACCCAGGTATAACTCCATCACTGTTTCTCATCGGTGTTCGCATCCGGGGTCATCGATTTCCGTCTGTACGAATTGTTAGGTTCTATCTCACTGTGCTGTGTGTAAAGGCAGAGAGGTACCTGTTGAACTCCTCAATCATGGCCGCCATATTCCCCGCACCACTGGATCGTCGGTCCGGATGGTCGTTTGCTGCCCCTCCAAAGCTTCCTAATAGCGAGTTGATAGCTTTGTTGCAATCATCAGCAAATGTCATGAAAGGTCTCTTTGCAGGTGTGGCAAACATACCCATCTGATTCTGGTGGCGTTCCTCTTCCGCAAGTTGCTGTTGCAGAGAGCTCCGGCGTCTGTCGTGCTTGAGGTGGCCAAACTTCTGAACGAGATCCATGTTGATATTGATCAGTCGGTTGTAATAAACGTAAGAATAATCTGAGATTCAGTAAACAGGGGAATAGGTAGACATCTGCAACACATGGGTGGCCATATGGGGGTTATAAGTGAAGTGGTCCTACCCCGACGTCATTGCATCATGGGTCCCTTGCACCATCATATGATTGCACGACCAAAATTTGCGTCCACACGAGGGAGAAATCAGAGCCTATAGTCTACAGAAAATATCCAGCAGATCGCCATGCAATGCGTCATCCATCGTATTGCCATCCAGGCCTCGACTGACCGTGCGTCGGGTCTACGGATATGCTTGGCAAATGTTAACCAGCTGTCAAGTGAATAACAGACGCATTACGGACGGGGATCTTTGCAGGCTTGAATGGGAAGCTTGTCGGTAATATATAATGCTATTGATCATTTAGCTCTAGGCCTAGTACTTGGCAGGGGAACACATCTTATCGTTGCGGGTGCGTGCTCTTAGCCTAACTATATATATGGAAGCCTCTGCCGTGTACCTTCACCCTCAACATTGAACATATTCATTTGCCACAAGTACATACGCCAATATAACCGTTCTACTCACACTTCCCCAATTTCTGCACAGGATTACCTCCAATACGAATCAAATCCCCAGCGACCGAATCACCTCGCCATCTCGTGTCTGCACTGCACCGCCACCCCGCAAAAGGTAAATTCCCCTCCAGCCAGCATCAACCGCGGCACGGTAATCATCACCCGCAAGCACTCGCTCCCAATCACCCTCCTGATCATTGTAGTTCTCCACCAGCCTCGCCAACCGCTCAGCCACATCGAAGATCATCGGACTGGGGTTCTCCTCCCCAGCTTCATACCTGCTGATCACCAGATCGACATCATTCACCATGATCCCATTATCAAGACCACCACCAGCATCAGCAGCAGCCTTAGTAGAAGTAACATTATTTATTCCTCTCAAAATCCGGCAAACTTAAACTCTCACCCCCTCATCTCATCCGCCATTCCCCTCCCAAGTGACCCCAGCAGAGCAAGCACCCGACATCCGAATTTGAAACCACACCGACAACCACCTTTTCAACACCCTTCCCCGGGCCAACCCCCTTACTCCCATCTTCACATCCCTCAACCGCCCAAAAGCCACACCCCCGCATCCTCAAAGCGCGTACCCGCCCCGACTCGCAAACCGATCTAATTACCTCTGCACCAGTCCATCTCGGTTACAGATACTATGTGATCCATCACGTTTATCAGTAGTAGGTGAAGTCTCCGCCAAACCCCGTTCGAAGCCCCGGATCACCTCCTTCCACTGTTATCGGGGCCCGTTGTATCGTATTGGTCGCGGAGGACTTCCGCGCGGCCGTATATAGTAGATGGGGTGCAGGCGGGACTGTGCCTTGTACTATGTAGATGGATTTGAAGGCGGCAGGGGCGATGGTGTTGCGCGGTAGGTTGGAGGTGTAGGCGGCCGAGACGTATTGGTTGGGATGGGGTGGCGCGGGTGGATGATTGTGTTGAAGGGGTTGATGGTGAGGGGGAGGGTATGGGGACGTGGTATGTCTTTTACTGTGTACTTAGGTTGTTGGGTTGGGGGGATGGATTGGTGGATGGATTGGGGAAGCTGGGTGAGGTATGGGAGTTGTTTTGTACGATGCTATTATGTGGTAGGTTTGTTGGATTTTGGGTCGTGTAAGATGTGTATGTGAGAAATATGTAGAGGGTTAAGGTGTGTTGATTTAAGGTGCATTGACAGAGGATAGCACTAGGATGGGATATGGTGATAGCAAATTCAGGTTCAAGGTACTATGTAGCCTGATATCAACCACGAGTCATGCGACTAACCTGCCTGCTGGGAATAGATCCTGATATTCATGACTGCACGTCGTATCTGATCTCAAGATACAGTTTGGTCTTCATCCAATGTATAGAACCGTGCATATAATCCAAGCAACGTACTCTTACGCCATCTGAGCATGGATGTCCCACATGCTCGGAAATGGGCATTCCGATGGCACCGATGCCCGATTGTTAGCTCGGGGTTGATTGCTTCTTCAAGATGAAATGTCCGACACTGAGGCCCGACGTCCGATCCCGAGCGGTGGAAGAGTTTGGTGGCAGATAAGATTAGATCGGAATTTCGATGCACGTACATAGTCCATACGAAAATGCTGACAATACTTACTAGTATGACAACAAGCAATGAGGTATTGTGTAGATGTTCTGGATTGAACCCGGCTAATCGCGTCAAATACCTTTGTTTCTGTCGGGGGCCAATCAACTGGCTTGCCACAGCATGTCAATCGGCTCCTCGCTTCTAGGCAGCCATATTCGGTAAGGCTTAGACGCTAATTTAGTGCCGCAAGTCTTTTCACCAGCAATTTGCCATCCCGACGATGGGACGCGCTCCATGGATGCTCTCGAGCTCGGTATTGTGTGGCCGGTAGATGCGCTCTCCTCACATGCCCGTGCCTTAGCCCCGAGTCCGATGTAGAACCCACGATTGGCTCTCCACCACCCCTCGCAGTGTGACCTTGAACAAGAACTCTGACCGCCGATAGCAGTCTGCGTCTGCCAATCTGGAGTGTCCAACTCGTCGTAATGTGGTAGGGAGCCACCGTTAGTCCCAGCCCTGTGCTGACGCGTCCCTTAGTGCGTATGTCTAGTATCAACCAACGCCGAGCGCTTCTCCTATCTGGTCCTGCGCCGGTGCCTAACTGAGATGGCTATAAATCGACAAAGGTCCCACCGATAAGAGTCGGCCTCATCGCCATTTTTGACACCACCCTCAACAACAGGCACCATGGGTGTCAGACCACTTTTGCTATCGACCCTCCTGTGGGCCGCTAGCACCACCGCCGTGACAGAGTCGACGCCATATGCAAACCACATATTCAACTCGATCCATTCCTCCATGCGGCAATGGGGATCCTCTTTGCAACACAACGGCATGTCCTTCTTCCTGGCGACCGTCCCCGCCGGCACCCAGTTCTACCATGGCACGTCGATCGCTGAGGCCGTGAACGGCACGGAATGGCTCGCCTTCGAGCCGGAACATGCCATGGTCTTCGCGAGACCCCACCATCCTCCTCCGTCTACCGGAAGCGAGGATGACAAGAAAGATCTGCGAAGACGCGACCTGGAAACCGAAGGAGAGGAACTGGAAGCAGGCTGGCTACACACTTATAACGCTGCCAAGGATCTGCGGTTGCTGTACGTCGATGGCATGGCAGCTGGCAAGACCTCCAACGGAACCCTTGACCTGGAGGATAGAATCTTGTTCCGGGATTCTCTACCGGACGGGGCGATGATGGGGGAACGCGAAAGGGCTAACATGTTCTGCCGCATGGCGCGCGAGGAATGGGACGATCGTCTGGACGGTTTGCTCCGCATGGAGGCAGGGTTTGAGGTGATCCTATGCGACTTTGCTCGAGATCTCCACGAAGTCCGTGTTACCCAGACCAAACCGAGCACTCCCTTTGCGGGTCCAGGAGGAGGAAAGAAAAAAGGCGGCGGTCCGGGAGACGGAGGACTGTGGTTCAAGGCAATCGCTGCACGCTATGATGGAATCGGAGGCAACCGGGTTATCTTAAATTATGACAATTTCGTGTCTGCGTATACCTATGGACTGGATCTGTTCCACTCAGCCAACGAGACTTTCACGTTGCCGCGGTTGAAACAGTTTTCTGCCCAGGAGCTGGACCCGATCAAGGAGGGACTGAGTGAGCTCGTCCTGAAGCATGAGGCCAAGGAGGCTTTGTTCAACTGGCAGACCATCACGGACATGGTGGTGGAGAGATACGCGCGCGAGATCCGCTATCTCGCGTCCGGCCAGGCGTCGACAGTGGAGCAGCTCCACGCGGAGATTGACCTGGCCCTGGGGCCGTTCATCGACTACGGGGATCGTGATGGACAACAAGAGGTGGATCGCTGCTCGATGCAATTCATTCCTGGAGGGCATCTGGGCGATGGTATCGCTGCGACGGCAGTACACTCGGTTACTCGTAGCATTTGCTCGACGATGGTGGAGGCCTGGCAAGAGACGGACTACAAGACGGCCATCGGACTCTTCCAGGACCTGATGGAGTACCTATCCTGGACGACCTGGAAGCAATGCAGTGGATGCGGTGACCACGAGATTTGTGTGGTGCCGATTTGGCCGATGGGCACCGTAGAAGACTATAACAAACCACAATGTCGTGATGCATCGCATCCCAGCAGCGAAGGCCAGCGTTATTGGGGCGGGGGTCCCGGTGGCCCCGGTGGTCCCGGTGGTCCCGGTGGTCCGCGTCCCCCGTCGTCTTCCTTGTCGTCCGGCTGGATTCAGGGACTCATCTCGTTCCTGCGGTCGTTCTTCGGTGCCGCCCTGGGAATGCATTTCTAAGACCTATCTAAGTGGATGAGCGTATTCGAATTGACTTGTTTTCGGGCACAGTATACTCCGCTCAGGGGCGAATGGATCCTTAGCGAATGAAAGCGAACAGAAAGCGAAAGAAGAAAGGAGAGGAAAAAGCAACGGTGTCGAAGTGCCCGGTTTAGAGGCTCGGGGAGGAGGGGTTTAAAGTGGCCGAGGCCGTCTTTGCCCGTGCTGGTCGTGCTGCTTATCCGCGCCACTTCGATAGTGTCTGCAGGCCTGCATCCAGCACCGCGCCGATCAGCTGGGCCTAGACAAAGAACACTTCTGTCATCTCGCACATCCTGTTTTTTGGTGCTTCGCCTTATCTCAAATTGTCGGTAGATGCTTTTTCCTCTGTGGTCGAAATCAGGCCGCAGTGTCCCACTCTGGGCAGCCACCTCGCAGCAGACTCGCCAGCTGAAGGCCAGCCGACCAGGTTAGCCAAGTCAAGAATCCTAGGATAGTGATACTGAGAGCTTCCCAACCCAACACCGTGAGGCTTTACTCGGCCGCCTTCTCCCCAAAACCCCAGGTTGCCTTCCCCTTGAAGGTTGTTTGCTAAGGCTAAGCATATAGTTCCCTGTTGGTGCCTGCATGGACCCCAGCGTAATGTGTCATGGACTCATGGCAGCGAACGTGTTGGATCAATCATCGATCGGATTTGGCTGCCAGTGGACCCCTCGAGCTCCCCGATCGCGCAGAAATGCCGTCGGTCTGCCGATCCTCCAGATCCTGCCAGGCACAACCGGGTTCGCAGCCGATCAGCCACCAGAAAATAGACCTGGATAATGCCTGCTTGGCAGGAGACGCATGAGACTCGATACTAGCTAGATGGGTCGACAGAGCAAGGAAAAGGAGAGCCACCAGAGACCGAGTCGAGGATGCAAGGTATAAATATGCCCATCTGCTGCCTCTTCTCTGGTCATCGCAGGTCAAGCAAGTCTTTCCTTTACTTCCGCCTTTGCTTCTCTTCCCTCGCTTGACGACTACCGTTCGTTTGTTTGTCGTTCTGTCCTTCCTTGACTCTCCCAACATGAAGGCGTCTCTCGTAACGGCCCTTGCCCTGGCCGCTTACACCCTGGCGAGCCCCGTTGGCCAGCCTCACGCTCGCGGCAACGAGTGCACCTGCGGTGGTTCTGGTCCTGGTGGTGGCTCGGGTCCTGGCTCCGAGCCTACGCAGCCTGCACCGGAGTCTTCTGCTTCCCCATCCAGTCCCTCCGAGGTGTCCCCCTACCCCGGAACCTCTTCCTCCTCTCAGGTTCCGACTCTGCCTGGCGACCAACCGGCTCCTACGGTTACTATCACCACTACTACAACCGTGCCTTACCCGCTTGCGAGCGAGTCCTGCACCTCTTCGCAGGCACCTGCTCCTACCGCCCCGGCCTCCGGGTCTCCTGCTCCGGAGTCTCCTGCGCCTTACACCGGCCCTTCAACCTCTCAGCCCGCTGGGCAGCCTTCTGGCCAGCCCACAGGGCCTGCCGGACCTACTGGACCTGCCGGTCAGCCATCTGCTTCGTCTTCCTCTGCCCCTGCTGGCGAGCCTACTGGTGAACCCTCTGGTTCTTCTGGATCCCCTGGCCCCTCTGGGCCCACCGGACCTGCCGGCCAGCCATCGGCTTCTTCCTCTGTCCCCGCCAGCCAGCCTTCTGGTCCTACCAGCCCTGCCGGCCAGCCCTCTTCCTCTAGCCCCGCTGGCCCCTCGAGTCCATCTGGACCATCTGGACCGGGAAACACTGGTAACCCCGGCGGCTCTAACCCCTCGTCCACCTCGTCGGTGCCCAGCTCCTCGACTCCGGCCTCGACTCCCTCTTCAACTCCCTCATGCGAGAACGGACACTGCCACGGCACCGGTCACCTCATCCAGGACCTGGGCCCTCAGGCCGATCACCTTCTGACCGTGATCGGTAACGGCACCGAGCAGCTGTTGATCCAGCTCAGCGACCCCGTTGCTGACCTTCTCTCTAGCCTGGGTCTCACCGGCCTGGCTGAGCCCGTTGGCCACATCATCAAGGACGCATCTACCATTGGCGAGCTGATCACCGATCTTGGCGCACCCGTCGACAACCTCCTGATTGCCGTCGGCAAGGACACCGGATACCTGTTGATCGAACTCGACCACGACGTCAAGGGCCTTCTGAGCAGCATTGGACTTAACTCCCTGGCTGACCCTGTGGGTGACCTTCTCGGCGCCATTGGCAGCAGCTTGAAGCGTCGTGAGGACGCCTCCAACCCGAACGGCCTCCTCGAGAAGCTGGGTCCTGTTGTTGACTGCATCTTGCGCGTCACGGGTGAGGACGCCAAGGACCTCCTCATCAAGCTCAGCGACCCCGTGGCCGAGCTGTTCAAGGGCCTGGGTCTGACTGGTGTCGGCCGCAGCGTTGGTGAAGTGATCAAGTCGGCCGCGTCGGTGGGTGACTTGGTTGCCGACCTGGGCCCCGTGGCTGACTGCCTGTTGACGGTCGTTGGAGATGACGGCAGTGCCCTGCTGATCAAGCTGGCTCCTGATGTTGCGGACCTGGTGAGCAGCCTGGATCTCCCCGGTGTCGGAGAGGCTGTGGGTGAGGTGCTCTACGTGATCGGCAAGAACCTGTGAGATAACAGATCCAACCGCTACGATGATAGATTTGCAGCGCATTCGCGAGTGATCCCATGAGTTTCTGACCTTCGGCGCTGATTGAGGGGTAACTTGAGTATACCTACTATAGTACTTGACATAATTACCATAATTGATAATCAATGATACCTAATTCGCTTTCCACCTGCTCCATGACTCCATCCGACCTTGCTCCCACCCACCAGCCCGCTCTCGCCGTTTCCCCGACACTCCCCCCCCTCAGTGTACGTAACCGGACAATAAGAATACCCGCTTGCCAGGCCAGTCCAGTCCCCGGCTGTGAATTGAATCGCCCCACGGGGTCGACATGCCGATGTGGAGAAGCACACGCCAGTCCGGGCGACACGAACGCCTCGCCCTGAGGTAAGCCAGACTACGAGACATTCAGGTTTCCCGGGGAAAGCGTCGCCTCACGCGTGGCCCTCGGCCAGTGAAACGGCGATGAAATCATGGCGATTGTGGGACGTGGGGAAGCCATCCCCCCCCGACGGGTAAGATTTATCCCGCCGTACTATGCCCGATTGCCGGTCGCGGTCAGTATTTAATCCTCCTCGCGACCGACCCAAACGAGTCTCTAATTTTTCTCCTGGGTCAGTCAGTCTCGTCCATTTCTTCAATTCAATAGATACATCTCCTCTCCTATAATATATCATGGCGCAATCTCCGAAGGACCTTAGAATCGCCATTCTGGGCGCTGGTATGACTTGTCCTATTCCTGCGGGCCACCCGGTATACTAACGGCTCTCCACCATAGGCATGGGTGGCTTGACCTGCGCCTTGGCTTTGGCTAAGGAAGGTTTCAAGAACATCGACGTCTATGAAAACGCACATGATTTGGGCTTCGTCGGAGCTGGTATCCAGTTGGCCCCTAACATGGCTCGGGTGCTGGATCGCCTGGGTGTGTGGAAGCAGATTGAGGCCGAGGCTGTCAATATCACTGAGACTAGTGTGAGAGGTATGATTATTTATTTTATTTTATTTTTTTTTTTTTCAATAAGCAATTTGATTTAGCCGAACCCCTTGCTAATGAGCGATCCAAACAGTTGGTGCGTCGGATACGGAACTCGCCCACGTTCCTCTGGAATATATCCACGATACCTACGGATACCCCCACATGGTTGGTCACCGGTCCTCGCTCGCCGGCGGGCTGTACCAAGGTTGCCTTCAGCACCCGGACCAGATCCGCTTCCACTTCGCCACCACTGCCGATAAGGTGACTTTCGGCCCCAAGCCTTCCTTCACTGCCACTCCCCGCGATACTACCAAGGAACCCTACCGCGTCGAGGCCGACATCCTCCTCGGCTGTGATGGCATCAAGTCCCAGACTCGCGTGGCCATGCTCGATCTACTCGGCATCGAGGCCCATGTCAAGGACACTCACCAGGCCGCCTATCGGATCATGATCCACAAGGACCAGATCAAGGACGACCCGGAGCTCCTGGCTCTCATGAACAGCAACAAGGTCACCCGCTGGATCGGCGAGAAGCGTCACATCATCGCCTACCCCGTCTCCAACAACACCATCTACAACCTCTCCACCACCCAACCCGACATCAACTTCGCTGCTGCCACTAACGCCACCTACACCACCCGCGGTGACAAGTCCGTCATGCTGGGTGTTTTCTCCGACTTCTGCCCCATGGTGCAGCGCATGCTGGGTTACGTTCCCGAGGGCGAGGTCTGCGAGTGGAAGCTCCGCGTCCACGAGCCCATCCCCACCTGGGTGCACGAGTCCGTCGCCCTGGTTGGCGATGCCTGCCACCCTACCCTACCCCATCTGGCCCAGGGTGCCGCCCAGGCCATTGAAGACGGCGGCGTCATCGGTGCCGTCCTCGCTAAGCTCCCCGATACCTCTCCTGCCTCCATCACCAAGGCCTTGAAGGTGTACGAAAAGGTCCGCAAGGACCGTGCCTACGCACTCGTGGAGCTGGCTGCTGCGTCCGGTCGCGCTCTGCACCTGGGTGACGGTGCTGCCAAGGAGGAGCGTGATCGTCAGTTCGCTGCTCTGCGCCAGGGCAAGGGTCCTGTGCCCGACAAGTGGGCGGATGCGGACGTCCAGCGGGAGATTTACGGGGTTGACACGACCGAGATCGCCCGGGAGCGGTTTGATGAGCTGTTTGCCGCGTAAGACCTCTTACTGTTTTGCACGCACGATTGCGATGTACTGTATATAGAGCTGATGGATAGAAGGTCGGGTCGTGGTGCGAAGCTGGCTTGAGGGTGAGCGGGGGTTTCTTTTTATGGATATCTAGCATTGCTGCATTGCATACAATGATGAGTTATGATTCTTTACACCACGTTCAGGTTTTCATGTCCGTAGCGACAACGTAGAAGAGTAGCAGGAGCAATTGAGATTGGGGTTGGCTGGCTGGTCCTTGCTTACTAGTATGAAGTCATCACCCCGGATTTCCACCCCTCAGGCTTGGTCGCTCGGTGCCCTTCCACAGCGCCGGAAAGCAGACCCCTCGTGTTTACCTGCTAGCATCAGGCATCATACGATCACTCGACCCCTATGTGCCCACCGAGTTTCTCTTGCGGGGTGCGTTGTACGATGTTTGCTCCGCCCCCGCGAGAACCGTAGATCCCCCAACTCCAAGGGCAGGCTAAATTAACCCACCCCCGCATTTTCCATCTTCGTGGCGATATTTCTCATGGCCAGGTTGCTCAGTCAATGCAAGGCCTTTTGACAAGGCCTCTAAAATGAGCAGTGGGATTGAAAAGAGGCCGTGCCGCCTCAGAGTGGCGATGGGTGCTGGGCGGGCGTGTGTGTAGAGCTTCTGGAGGAGGAAGAGAGGAAATGAAAAGGGGGGGGTTTTATACTCGAGAAGCTCGCTTCTGCCTCAGGTTCCCCGCCACAACGCATCTCCCGCAAACCAGGACGTCTACGAGGCCGAGCTGTGTTGGGAGTGATAGTGCCGTCCTACATGTTGTCCTGAATGTTCCTTCTCTTACCCTTATTCATGGCCCTCGAGCGTACATTGGGGGTGTTGCGAAGCCGAACAATATCCATGGTTATATGCTTGTAACAATCTATGTCTACAGTGCATCGACAGATACTTTCATGGGGAGCCGAGGAGGAGCGATGTATAATAAGTGGCTAGCACGGTTGAAGAATGGAATTACGCTGCGTGTAGAACTACGAAAATACACAGTAATAAGCTGCATCGTACTGCTGCAGTGTACCTGATCGGCGCATGTCCTTGACTGGGATGTCATGTGGCAAGCTTTCAGGGCTGGACTTGGCGAGGTGGCGTGAAATGCAAACAGCTACGGAGTACGGAGCACTCTAGACGGAATGTGACCCGTCGAACCATAGAACATCACCCGCACAGCCAATCGTGACATTCTTGTTGTTCTGCAATGACGCAGTTGTCACTATCAGACTCCTCCGACGCAAGCGATAAAGTTCCCAACCAGCTCGACCCGGGATCTTGTCTTATCAGATGATTCTAGCTGGTTCTGGCCGGGTGGTGGCAAAGCATGGGAGTGAGCTACGATGTACCGAGGTGCGGTGCCGAGACCTCCAATTGCTCCAATGGCCACGCCCAACGTTCCAGAAGCACGGAGGAAGAACCCTTAAAAAGTTGCTGAAACGACCCAAAAAATTGCAAAATCCGGTTATGATTGGGGAAGGCGCCCAGGCTTGGCGCGCTTAATCATCCGGTGGTGGCTGCTGCCGATTTGGGAAGGGCAGCAAGAAATAGGGTCAGCCTTTCTCGACCTGCTCGTTTTTTCATCCTTGCTTTCCTTCCTCCCTTCGCTTCGTGTGACGGCTAGCAAAGTTGGATATGCAGGGTTCTCCCGATGCCAGCAGTGCGTCTGACGACCTTTCATCCCAGCCCGGTGCCGACCTCGTTCCAGCCGGCAACTTGAAGATCGCTATCCCTCGGCTGGCCGCCCCATCCGTCAAGGCGAATCAGCAGCGCACGGCACGCGCCTGTGTCGCCTGTCGCGCCAGGAAGACCAAGTGCGACGGTCGCAAGCCCGTGTGCCGGCAATGCCGCCGTCTCGAGCTGGTCTGTAACTACGCCGGCTCCAAGCGAGAACGCCAGCAGTTGGAGCTCGAGTCCGTCCGGACCAAGGTTGCCTCCTACGAATCGCTCCTGCGCGACATCGTCGCCGAAAGTAGCCGGCAAGGCGCTTCTGCCATTGGGGACCTTATCGATGTGGGTAGCCCCCCTGCTCTAGCCCCCGCGTGCGTCATCGCCATACTGACCCTCACCCGCCAGAAACACTTCCAAGCATCTCCGGATGTCTTCGCGTCGCTTCTAGCGGCCAGATCCTTATCGGATCCTCAAATACTACCGCGGCCACAACCGGGGATTTCTTTACACCGCATGCACCTAACATTGGCCGCTAAAACTCGCAGTAACAGCACCAACCACTCTCTTGCCGACACTCCTCTGGTCCAGGTCAGCAATATCCAGTTCTGGACGGACCTCGTTAACAACACTACCGCTAGCCATCTCCTCTCCCTCTACTTCGCCTGGGAGAACCCAACATGGCATCTCGTCGACCAGGAGATGTTCATTCGTGATCTGGAGGCCGGGAGGAAGAAGTTTTGCTCCTCGCTTCTGGTCCACACGCTTTTATTTTTCGGCTGTGTAAACGCCACTGCAGTCTGATTGTATGTGTACTGAACGTCGGCCACTAACATTCTCGATAGAGCTCTTCTTATCATTTGGGGCGTATCACAGATCGCCGAGAGGAGAAGGCCCTGGGCAAGAGGTTGTACTCCGCCTTACAGCACCTTTGGCAGTCGGAAAAGGATGACGCCGGCCTTCCAACGGCGCAGTCCAGTATCATGATCGGACTTCTTTGCTGCACCTTTGGCATCGACCGCCTGGGGACCAGATACATCATGCACGGGGCTCAACTCAGCCGGGACCTGGGGCTTCACCGCGAGTCGACCCCCTACTTCTCTAGTGATGTGGAGGCCGATGCCGGGCCGATGTCCCGGTGTCATAAGTTCGTTGCATGTGGCATCTTCGACGTGCAGGCGTGAGTATCCCACCAGTATGACTATTGGCACCGACTGATTTGGGCGAAGACTCGCCGCGCAGGTTTATCGAAAGACGCCAGTCTGGGACCAGCCGCCGGTCGCTAGCTTCTCTCGGGAAGAAGCTGCTGTCCTAGATGAAGGCGACGAATGGAAGCCATATCCTTACCTGACCCCTGTCTTTCGGCCCTTCTTCTACACTGCTTCGCACTTTCGCAATGGCTTGGTAGCGATAGTCAACGAAATCGCTGGCTTCGCGTTAAAGTTCCCGGACGCAACTCTGAATCTAGACGACTGGGAATACGGCCGTCGGACGTATCAGAGGCTACGAGAGTGGCGGGCAGGTTTACCGTCCGTCGTGTTACCAGATGAAAACACCTCGCCGCACATTCTCACCCTCCAGTAAGTCTTCACTGCAAGCTCTTACGTGCCCTTCTGACGCCGGCCACAGCATGTACTACCAAGCGACAATCGTGTCATTGTGCGAAATATTTAATCTAAATATCGATCCGAGCAATCACCCAGCAGATCCTGACTTCGACACACAAGCCATCAAATTGCGAGCTCTGGATATTATTGGATCCCTCATCCTTCTGTTTCAAACCGCCCATGGGCTCAAATCGGTCCCGATCGTGATGCTACACTACTTCTGCGTGGGCGGCGTTCACGCCATCTCGCAATTGCGCCCTCTTGATATGAAGTGGAGTCTCGTTCTGGAAAGCTGCGTGGTCGGCCTGTGGCACCTCAGCCTAGGATGGGGCCGCCTCTGCACTGCATTTCTCCGGACTATTGAGCTTGTCATGAAAGCCACCAAACCGGATCCTACCCTCGTGCCGCCCAAGGTGACAGCCGTCTTGCAACTATTGAGCACCAACCTCTGGACGGCGACGGATGTCTCTTCCCTGGCAGCCGACTATGTGGTGTACCATGTTCCGGCTCTTGCGGGACATGCAGGGGCACAAACAGGGTCTGAGTTTCGTGCTCAAGGACTGGAAAGCCTGATCCGCACAATGGACAATTTCTCTATCAGCTAGTGTGTGGTTGAGCATGACATCTTGCCATGCATATTTTTTATCTTGATGCATGTTCTCAGTACATGCGCACTTCGCATTGTACAGCATTTGCAAGCTCTTCCAGCCACCATGCCCTGAATACACGATTGAACCTGGGACTTTGATTAGCCCAATTCAGGGATGCGTGGGCTTGCTTGTTTAAATCTTAACGCGATTGGCATCTACAGCCGCTCAGCAGATGAGCAAATGAAGGCTCTGTCGCCGCCTTCCCCCACTAAGACATTGGCCGCTCTCGCGCCGATGCAATGCGATCTCCAACTGTCACCTAGCTTGGACCATGTTCAATGCAGTTTGTTGGATATACTTGCGGAGCATTCGATCGGCTAGTTGGGTATGATTAGAACGGATTGAGTGATTGACGGGTATGTGATACATGTAAATACCCTGGGTAGTAAACGTAACCAGAGCTTATCACCAATAGACGATTCTGGGATTCATCAGATTGTACTAGATGAACAATTTTGATGACAACTTGATACTGTCCTCGTATAGAAATAGAAAAATACACATCATTGGCAGAGAAACATCTAGACCAGATGGGTCTCCACCCAAACCTAACCATTTGTACCTTGAACGAAACGCCCAACCCCATCCCATATGATATGACCTTCCCAGAACAAACCCAAAACACCTTCCCGGCTCCCTTACACACATAGCCCCCAAGACAACCAGAAATAAATCAATAAATACCACACAGAACCTCCCCCCAGAAACCAAGATCAGTTCCATCACTCCCACTGCCCCTTCCCACCCAACTGCCCCAACCGATTCCGAGCATGTTTATCCAACAACGCGGAGATCTTCCCACCGCTACTACCCCTCTCCTTCAGCCGCAACTGTCGCTCGCGTTCCTGTTCCCGCGCCGCAGTATAATAATTCACTGCGCCCTTTTTTCCTCCTCCTCCACTTCCACCGCCACCACCCCCGGTACTAACTGACGACGTAGTGCTCGATTGTCTGGACTTGGCTCTCGATGAGATCGTCGAGCTAGTAGCGGATGAGGTCGAGCCGGTGGTGGTTTTCCGGAGGAGAGGTGGACGGGTGAAACCCGTTCCGTCTACGGAGCCGGAGCCGGAGCCTGAGTGGAATGCGAGACGGTTTCCGGTGTTGGAGGTGGCGGAGTTAGAGGAGGCTTGGCGGAGGAGGGCGAGACGGTCGACGACGGGCCCGCGCGTGCGGCGCGGGTGGAGACGTTGGGATGCGGGGAGGATTTCTCCATCTTGTTGTTGGTGGGGTGCGGGCTCGAAGTCTGGGGGTTGGGTGTCTTCGGTCTCGTCTTCGGGTTCGGCTTCGTCTTCGTCGTGGTCGGGCGCGTCGTCCATGGAGGCGTCCTCGTGGAAGGAATCGTAGTCGTGGGTTTCTGTCAGGAAGGAGAGCGTCTCGCGGATTTCGGCTAGCGTGGCGGGTTTTTTGGACATGGCGCTGGCGGGCTTGCGGCGGAGGTGAGGGGGTGGGCGGTTGTAGGTCTCCTCGGACGTGGGCTCTAGGGGGCGTTTTCTTGGGTTGAGGGTGGTGCTGGTGGTGGTGGTGGCGGGGTCTTGGGAGGATTGGTCGTCGGTTTGGGAGTCTTGTTGCTGCTGCTGCTCGTCGTCGAGGAAGTCGAACCCGATGTCATCGTCGTCGTCGTCACGGTCTTCGACGGCGCGGAAGAAGGCGGCTTTCTTGGGGTTTTCGGCGATTTCACCGATCTTTTCGTCGGCCAGGAGGGCTTTGCGCATGCGGGCAAACTCGCGCTGTTTCTCGCGACGACGGGCGAGGAGTTCGTCGTCCGAGTCGTCGAGGTCAAATTCATCATCTGCGTTGCGTCGGCGACGAAGGGCACCGGTCGTGATGTCTTTTAGCAATTTGGCGACTTGTTTTTCGTCCGTGTTGCGTTGGTGGAGACTGGGTGCTTGTTAGTATGAGATGGTCGCATATTGGTTGAAGAAAGGGAACTTACGCGTTCAGAGCAGCCAGCTGTTTTTCGTCTACGGTTTCACCGCTGTTGTCGTTGATCATTTGTCTGTCGTAGGCATTCTCCACATCCTCGTCCTCATCACTGGCTCCTCCCAGACCGGCGTATTCGTCGTCCGATTCCTCGGCGGCTTCTTCGACGATGTCCTTCGCCTTGCTCTTGTTGCGGTCAAAGGGGATGGCAGGCTTCTTCGATGCCTTCTTCATAATGTCGAAGGCGCTGGCGTCGATCTCAAAGTCTCCCTCTCCTTCGCCTTCCTCTTGCTCTTCGATCATGGAGAGGTCGGCCATGCGACCGCGCTTGAGCTGCTTCATCCGCCGAGTTGGGGCTGGGGAGCTGTCTTGGTCGTCTCGGTTGATGACAACAGTCTCAATGGTAGACTGAGGTGTGCCAAGGAATCGTTTGGAAGGATCAAATGGCGAGAACACAAATCCAGCATCCTGAGTGGGGTCTGGGACTTGTGAGGGCTGGGTAGACCGCGGAGCGGGAGATTCGGAGACTCGTGCGACAGACTGGGAATACCCTGCCAGCAGATCGACAGATTCTGCCCTTGGCTCCTGGCTGTCTTTGATGATCATTTGCGAGTCGGATTCTTGGTGATCGAAGCCAGGTTCAGGGAGAGAATGAGATATTGTAGAGTTGCCTCCTTCATTATCTTGGTGACTTCCAGCTATTGTACCTGCAAAGGCCTGCGTCAAGCTCATCAGGTTGCTCGAGCTCTGTGTAGGGAGATGCGGCCGTTCAACGGATCGTGTTGTGGGAGTCACGATGGATTTCGCAGGAGTCTTTGGCTCTGTCTCATCGTCATCTTCATCGTCATCGTCAATGACTGTTCTGGTAGGTCGCTTCCGTCTCCGCGTGGGTACATCCTTCTCATCGACCGACATGACTTCCGTCTGATCATCTTCAGATTCATCCCCCTCACCGGCTTCGGAGTCGACAAGTCCCTCTTCGGCGGCAGGCTTGGCTTCTTCATTCTCTTCCTCCTCATCCCCATCCTCTTCGTCGGCTTCTTCCTCCGAGCCAGAGTAGTCCCAGTCATCATCATCGTCTTCGTCTTCGCCTTTAGACGCTTTTCTTTCCATCTTTGCGATATCCTCAGCCTCTTTCCGTGCCTTTTCCACCAGGTTTTCCAGTTCGTCCTCCATGGCAGCGCGTTCTTCGGCGGTCTCGATATGAATACCCTTAGCTCTGAGCTCTTGGATCCTATCCTGTCTTTCCTTTGCAGCTTGTTGTCTCGCCTTCAATAGTACAGTAGCTGACAATTGGGCGGGGTTCATTGTCGATTTTCGTGTAGGGGACGTAAGATGCGCCAGTGCTTTCAGCTTCATCAAGGAAGCTGATTCTTGAACCTTTCTGGCCGGGACATTTTCAAACGCTGCTATACGCCTGCACTTGGCAGGGGATGTGACAATTTCAAGCTCACTATCTGAGTCGTCTTTCTGTTGCCGAGCAACCTCTTCCCGCGTGAGGCGAACGCGAACTGGCGGGCCCATTACTTCCCTCCTGTCCTTCTTGGTTGATGCCTTTCCAGGCTGTGGGGTGGCCCCATCAATCTCCATCGCCGTAACGACAGTTTGCTCAGGCTGCGGGCGCGGGTTCGCCAGAAGCTCCTCCAACGTAGGGAACTCTTCCTCCTCAGCCCCCGCAACCTCAGTCTCCTTGCCTAAATCTTCACCGGATGCCTTCCCAGTTGGTCCCAGAACAGGCGAAGTACGTGGCGTCTCTTTGCCCTTCTGAGCCTCGGCATCAGATGAATTCCGAGAACCGGCCGTGGTGGATGAATTCTCTCCTGAAGGACCAGCCACGGGCTGCTCTTCTGACTGCTTGGACTTAAATCGAGCAAAAAAGCTTTCTTTCGTAATCTTCTTTTTCGTCTGAGCTTGATGTGCCAGCTGCATATTTCGGCTCATCCGCTGCGTCTCGCGATTCATTTCCTCAAGGGCCTTCTTGCTGGCCTTTCGAGCCGGGCGAGCTTGTTGCGTCAATTTCCGGCCCGAGCCATTTTCGCCCTCGCTCTCACTACCAGAAAGAATCTCCGAGCTGAACTGCTCATGTTGCTTCGCTCTAGCTGCCCTTTTCTCTGCTTCGGCTTTCTCCTTCTCTTCACGCTCCTTGCGTTTCTGGGCAACAAGCGCCAGGAACCGAGAATTAGCCTTTGGCTGTCCTTCATCATCACCCGACCCTGCCTGGCTCTCATCATCATCCTGATCTCTTATCGGAGACGACACGAACAACGGAGAATCAGACCGGGCCGGAGAAGGCGACCGATCCGACCCATTCCTCTCAACTTGTGGCGTCCGACTCGCGGCAGTCATTCCCCTCCTCCTCGGACCAGCCGTAGGAAGATCATCATTAGACTCATCCGCATCATCCATGACCGCGTCACGATCCGCCTCTTGCTTCTCCGATCGCAGTGTCTTCGAGACCCGTTCGAAGGCCGTCTGTCCGGAGTTCGACGCATGGGGATTCTGATTATGAGCCTGGGCTTGCAGGCGAGCAGCCATGCGGCCCTTGGGCATGACGATATCGTCTTCGTCATCATCTCCGTCTGACTCTAGTGTGGTGGTAGGCTGAGTTGAAATAGTGCTGTTTTTTAGCGCATTGCTGAGTGTGGTCGTGGAACGGTCTGGTTTGGACGCCGTGCCCCCATTATCGGAATCGGAATCACTGTCGAAGGCTGCCAACATAGCCTTGATTTTTCGTCCAGGCGTGAGCATCTCGGGTGAATTGGCGCGAGACGCGGTGCGCGCCGTTCGCGGCGTGGAAGGAGTAGATGACATTATGCGTTAAGGGTGGGATATCAAAATTGGGTCGTTATCTGTTGAAAGTAGGGGACATTGCTGAAATCTTGTAAATGGTTTGAGGTCAATTGCAAGATACCCACGGTGGTGGGAATGTAGGTCCACTGTGCAAGACCAGGAAGAGCGGAGAATCTACGGGGCTGTCGGACGCGCCGCGCGCGCGTTGCTATCGCACGTGATCTTGTGATAAGCCGCGTTATCGAAGTCTGGATTGGGCAGTAGTATAGGAAAGTAGTCCAAGCTGACAGTGTACAGTTGATAGGACCATCTGTTGAAAGAGAATATGCTTGATTCTTTATGATACAGTGCCCCAGGATGTGTTTCGTTACGCCAATGAACACCGCCCCATATGAAATACAAACCGACGCTGTCTCAAATGCTTCCCGAAGAACAAAATCGTGCCATTTCCATCAGAAGCCGTCGGCTAGAACGCATATGCTGTGTATATGATGCTATTTGAACCGTGTGCCCAAAATCGTACTTCCTAATTTCAAATTTCAATATCGAGCTCCAGATCCAAGGCCGCAATGTTCTCATCATCCATGTTCCGGTGCCGGATGGTCGCAATGCCACCTTTGCTAGCTTTCTTCTGAGTGCTCGCAGGGGTGGCGCTGCGGGCAGGAGTGCTTGCTTTAGACGGTGTCTCGGATGCAGTATTCTCCTGGCTAGCGTTACTGTCTGGCTTCGGTGTCGAACCGTTTCCATTGACATCGTAATGGGTCCTCGCTTGGGTTCTGACGCGCATGAACGGGTTAAGAGTAGCTTCTCCACGAGCAACCGCGGCAGCAGCTTTACGACTCGCCTTGCGCTCCTCCAATTGGGCGCGACGCACGTTCTCGTAGTTGAGTTTCTGGTTGCGTAGGTTTAGTTCAGCAAGACGTTCGTGTTCAGAGGGCTTGTCCGCACGCGGTCTGGAGAGACCGGTACTAAGGGCAACTTTCGGTGTCGACATGCTAGCCAGTTCACCCTCCAATCGCTCGGCTTCCGCATCATCGCCAGCTGCCCTGGCAAGCTTCAGTTGCTTCTCCGTTTCCACGCGTCTGAAGAACTGAGATTTAGAATCCAATGAGCCTTGCTTGCGTAGCTTCTCATTCAATTCCTCGTTTGTGAATTTGTGATTTAGCAAACGGTTGATATCCGCTACCTTGTTGGCCGCCGCTGACCTCGTAGCCATCTTGCAGTCTTCGACCGTCATGGTTTGACGGTACCGGTTAAACTCTGCCTATAAGACATCAGTAAAACGCCAAGGGAGACACATTAAAGACGGTATACCTCTGTAAACGGAGAGTCGGAGCAAGCGATGAAGGGAAACTCGCGCTCAGCCTTTCCATGTGCCAGGACAGCATACTGATTCGTCACAAATGACCTGCCATTTTGGCCTTCCATTGCATAAGGCTTCCCCTCGGTGAATCCTAGACATATTAGCGACAGAAGTTCCAATGCGACTGCAGGGGCGGTGCCTTACTCTTTATCAGGCAAAGACGGTACTCATTTTGTCCGGTCTCACGATTCGGGCCTATATTGACACGGGCATAGCATCCGGAGATTGCGTCATCAAATCCAGGGTAGAAGCAGACCTGTGCGAAATTAGTTCGACCAACGCGAGCACGTTGAACATCCCTAAGTTCGACAGGTGGGTCGTCTTTAGGGAGGGATGGTGAGCGTTCCCGATCATCCCACTCGACTTCACTCTCGCCCTCTGCGTCCTCGTCGGAGATCCTGTCATCCCGAGAACGGGTCTTCTGATCTTTGACTGGTTCACGGCGGCGGAGCTCGTCTCGCTTGCCTTTCTGCTCTCGCTGGCGCTTGTAGGCCTCGATGGCATCTGAAGTTTCGCCGACTTTACGGCCACCAAGCGTCATCTTCTGTCGGGAACTCTTGCGGTTGCCCTCATCCAGATTTGCCACACCGGCCTTGCGTTTGTTCTTCTTTGCCTTGCGGGCTTCCTCGCGTTCACGGGACGCTAGAAGGCGACGAAGGGCGAGATCTTGATTATGGCGATCGACCTGTTGCGCACGCTCAGAGAGGAGCTGCTCCCGTTGAATCTCGGGCATCGCCATGATCTCCTCTTTATCCTTGGCTGAGTAGTAGAGTTTCTCGTAGGGGAATATGGGACCTTCATCTTCAGCCTCTGGAGCAGATCCTTCCGAATCCGATCCAGAGTCTGATTCAGACATGCTAGCAGAGTCGAGCGACTCAGCAGTGGAGCTAATTAGAGTTATGAGTCAGTCAAATCCTGATGCCGTCGCGGAAAACCACAGGCGGGGTGCCACCAAAAGACATGCTAAATCAAACATACAGTTCTCCATCCTCCTCATCGTTTCTTCGCGACTTCCGGCCTCGTTTGACGGGCCTAGCAGTACCTTTGCGACCCATGGTTGCTGATGTGTCTGGAGACTGAGGGGAGGATGAGCGAGTGGGAGATGTGACCCTCTCCTTGGAGGGGGGAGATGCCTCCTCATCAGAGGAATCTCCCGCGAGCGCGAGGAGCTCGGCGTCGAGGTCGTCAGCCATAGTGAATAATGGCTGAGGTTGCCTTGGATATCAGGTACGAATAACACGAGCGGTAAGGGAAGCGGCGCTAGGCTGCTGGAAGGAAACTGCTAGCAGAGGATTAGGTGGCTTCCGGTCAGAAGAAACAGGTGCCACCTGGGCCGCAGTCGCGCCGAGTGAAAAGGGTGTTAGGTGGCCAGAGGGTATCGAATCGGACAAGATTGCTGCGTAAAAATGTGGAGTACACTGGCAGAGATTGCTGTATATAGAGTCGCGCTATTGAGGGGAGGGCAGTGGAGGCGGGAGGGTGAAAGATGCTGTCGGGGTGGTGTGTTAAGGCGAAGGTGGTGAGTGAAGTGAAAGCAGAACCGGGAAGTGAAAAGAAGCGACTGGAGCGATTCTCGAGGCTCGTTCATGACGTTCCGGTCCAGGGATGGCGTGCCAAGCGTGTAAGCGCGCGGCTGCGGCCTTTCGATTCGGTTGGACCACCTCGAAACTCATGGCAGCATCTTGAAGTCCTCCCGGCATTAAACTTCGCCCTTGAGCCTCTGTGCAGCTTCCAGTTAGTAAATTCGGCGTCTTTCATCAACATGAAGGCCCTCGGTTTGCTCCGGAGAGCTCCGCTTACCCCTTCACTCCGGCCGACACCTCCCGCAGTTCTTGACTTTCTCGCGCCTTCCACGCTGCAAACCCGTCGCCAATGCAAGAATACAGCGACGAAACAGTCCGCAGCGATCCCCACGACATCTCAGCAAAAATCCAATTCGTCGAAACCGAAATATGTCCTTAACCAGGAACAACGTGAGTTCCTCGACAGAGCGCTCCGTGTCAACCAAGCCGGCGAGTTAGCCGCCACCTTAATCTACACCGCGCAGACACCACAAGTCGTGCGTTCTCATCCTCACCTACGGCCATTGATGAAACACATGTATGATCAGGAAGTCGGACACTTCAACACGTTCAATCATCTTATTGCGAAACATCGAGTGCGACCGACGGCGATGTACCCGATATGGGAAGTTGCAGCGACGTTTTTGGGCTGGTCGACCGGTGTAATGGGACGCGAGGCAGCTATGGCCTGTACAGAAGCCGTGGAGACTGAGATTGGATCACACTATAATGACCAAGTACGGGAAATCTTGTCCTGGAAGGCGGAGGCTGAAAGTCGGGGTGAAGAGCTTGATGAGGAACTGGAGGAAATGCTCGTGACTTTCCGGCGGATTCGCGACGAGGAGCTGGAGCATCTGGATCATGCTGTGGAAAATGATGCGAAGGAAGCTCGTCCATACGACCCGCTGGTCAATGTCATTCGCTACGGCTGCAAGGCAGCTATCAAGATCACCGAGCGGGTGTGAACATCAATGGCCATCCTCGAGGTCTTTGCCTTGATACGGCCAGAACTTCCAGTCAAACGTAGGTTGCCTCTTCTCAGGCGAGGCACCACTTTTGACCTGTACGACATGCTGTACTCTATTGTATGATTAAACATATCCGATGTATACGCCTATAGCGTTTCATAAAGAGTTTCACCCTCGAATTGAGACGTATCTGATCCGCTGCCTGAGTCTATAATGGCACAAAACTGCTGGGTATCTACAACCAGACGCGCCTGAATACCTCTATCAAAAGGCGCGCTCTATAAAAGCCAATTTATATGGCCACTCTCTAGTTTTCCGACTCAGAGCCCTGATTGTTCTCCAGATAATCCAAGAAGCTCTTAGTAAAGCGCACCACCTGCTGGTACACCTCCTCGAAACCATTGGCACCGCCATAGTAGGGATCCTGGACCACCTCGCCACCTCCAACTCGCTCATGCAGGACACCGCCGGCACCGAAGTCACCAAACAGACGCACTTCTGCAACCTTGGCACCTGTCTCCCCGCTTGCCGCAAGGGATGCCGCAGACGCTGCTCTAGTACCCTTCGTGCCGCGCGACGCGGGCGCAGACTTGTTCATAGATGCCAGAACGGACTCGCGAACATCCAACAGATCGCGCAAGTTATATTTGTCCATCGCAAGAAGATAGTCAAAATCGAGGAAGTCCTGCTTGGTGACTTTGCGGGCGGCATGCTGGTAGTTGGTGACGTTGTGGCGGCGGAGCGTGGCCATGGTGCGGGAATCAGGGGATTCGCCGGCGTGGTAGGCACCTGTGCCGGCCGAGTCGATTTCGTTGATTAGAGGGTGTGAGGATGCTACGTTGCGAAAGACACCTTCTGCCATGGGAGAACGACCTTATGAGTTGAACAGTTAAAGGTGCACTCAATCGCAGTGCGGGGAGAGAGGGGACGTACAGATGTTGCCGAGGCAAACGAAGAGGACATTGACTTGCCGTCCAGCGGGTGTAGTCTTTGTAACGGTCATCGTGGTTGTATTGTTGAATAGTCTTCTAGAAATCTATAGTTTTCGGAGGAATGCGCTCAGTGAATGCGAAAAAGGGATTGATGATTGATCAAGTGGACGGTGGCGGGGATCCGGTGCAGAATCTTTATCGATAGCGGAGGCGGTATGGAGTACTCCGTACGCCATGCCTGATCCCTGTGGCATTGACTATGCGTAGTGACAGAAGCTTTTCAGAGCAGCTCTTTTTTTACCTTTCCTTTTTCTCTCCAGGCTATGTACAGTGTTTTATGCATATGCAGACTAATGCGCGTTAGATCATAGACAGGCATATCGCGAATTGCTTGCCGAAAGTTATACAGATGGTGTCGACACAGCTGCTTTACAAGTTGGTGCGTATCTTGGAAACGACGTCGAGCTACTCCGTACATGTTACAGAGACTTGGAATATTTCTGAGGGAGAAATGAAACTTGTAGAGTCTTTACCTTGAGCCTGACAGAAAGGACTCTGCGGTTTAAATTGACATGCGCCACTCCTGCTTTCAGGATGCGGCTGCGGTTAGCGTTATAGGTTGGTGTGCCTGATGTGGCACCAAATACGAAATACGAGCCCGAGGACGAACTTAGGCAGCTACTAAGTATCTGTCATCACGTATCAAGTGGAGCAACGTTGTGTATGCAGTAGGGGGCAAACAATAATTGTATTATTCATCTGTCATTGCCTCTTAATAACTAGTTGTAGTTAAGATCCGTACTATATCCGCAGTGGTCCATGCTATTCCCAGTAGTATGGATTTAGGGTGCGACCCTCCGCAAACTATGACGTCGCCCTGCGAGATAGTCCGATGCAGACAGGCAGCTGCTTTTTCTCTCCAATGGGCGGAGCTGGAGGAGACAGCTAGGTAAGCTGCCTAGAGGATAGTTATAAAAAGAACGCGAAGGATTAAGGCGACCAGTCAACCATGCTGTCCAACGTGCCTCAGGACTCCGCCGCACACAGCGGGTGGCTGTGAGGAGGGAAGGCTGATCAGCTGTTGGCCCAGTGATGGGGGTGGAGTCTGGGCGAGCCATGGCGTTGCACAGCGTCTACCCATGGATGGCTGGGCGGCATTGTTTCAGGGGAGGGGAAAATCACTCCGGGTGGGTGAAGGCACGATGAATAATTGTTCTTGAAGAGGAGAGGCATTCGCAGCTAGTAGATTGAATTTGAGCGCACTCATACATGGTACATAGATAGTCGATAGAAGATTGTTGTGTGCCCCGTGGTTGCCTGCAGGATGGCCCTGGTCATCGTCCTGTTTGTTATGACCCCAACTCGGGCTGGGAAGCCGAATGGAGGAAAGTAAGAAGGCGAACCCACTTGACTAGCCTTGTCGATGGTTAGGCCTGCTGATGATCCTCTCCGGCGCCCTTCTGATTCGTACCTGGGTCCCTTCGCCGTCTTCAATCTATCTCCGTCGGCTCGTCGTCACTGATCGTCCCCGCGGTTCCTTGGTCAACGGGCTTCATCCTTTCCCACCTTCATCGCGCAGTCTCCTTCCTGCTCGTGGCGCTGCTACGGTGATTCCGATCCGCCGTCACGAACAGCCACGGTCCAAAAAAGCCGTCTCCCGCAACCATCGGTTCGACCTCTCTTTCTGACATCCAGACTCCCAATTAATTCTTCCGAAATAACTATCGGTCCCTCCCCCTCTCTTGTCCCGTCCATTCCTTTCCCCATAAAACTAGACTCGCCTATCATATCCTGAAACTCCCGCCAGCAACGGAGCTCCCACGCTATCGCAGCGACCTGAACGCTCGTCGATTCACATTCCACCGGAACTCCTGGCGCAATCTCCAGCCCCGGTTCCCCTGGCCAGGAATTTCCAAGGGGTTTGGTTTATTGGAACGGTTGACTGCCCGAGGCACTATCGGCCATTATGTCCTATAATCGCTTGGGTAGGTTCTTAATAAATTCTCCGTCCGTGTGTTGTCTACTTTAAACCGATTGCGCGGCCGTGAGTTGTCGCGCATCTCTCCCTTCTCCGCATCAATTTCCCTCCTGAAACCCTAGTGTTTGGAGCGAGCCTTACCATACAAGGGAAATTGCTCGTATCTGGGCGCGCAGGACAAGAGTCAATTTGACCGTCGCACTGACACTGTCGCGCTGCTAATTTCTCCAATCGCGCATCTGTCCCAGGGTGTTGATACTGACAGTTAACTGCAGGAGAACCCTATGGGGAGGAAGACAGTCACTCCCCAATTATGAATCCTCACCATCTAGACGCTCGATCCCCGTCCCCGGGGCGCCCGTTACATACTTATCAGCTTTCGGATAATCCGTATATGCCCCAAGAGCACTTGGAGATGCCCTCCAGCGATCGGCTAGCAGAACAACCAACCGTGAGCATGTCCCTAGGGCTGGAGGAGTTGATCTGGCTGGCTGACCACGCTCGCGGACTAGTATTCGGTCGAACGTCTCCCCAACTCTTACGGTCACAATGAACTCTACGAGGAGCACCAACCCCATCCCTACCCCGGATACGAATACTCCGTGGACCCTGAAGCGCATCACGATGCATACTATACACAGCCCTACCAACCTGCTGTAACCCCGCACGAAGACTACGATCTGGGGCAATATCCTGAGCATCAGCAGTCGTATACCGACGATCGTGTCCCGATCCTGCAGGCTGATAATCCCTTTGGGCCGGATCCTTATGCCGACGAATATGAAGATGAACCTACGATCGCCCCTACACCGAGTCCGGCGCCGGTCCGCCGATGGAAGACTGTCAAGGAAGTACAGCTCTTCAATGGTAACCTCGTGCTGGACTGCCCAATTGCCCCAACGCTGCTCAGTCAGGTTCCGCACGCCGAGCCTCCGGGTCGAGATGAGTTCACACACATGCGTTACTCTGCAGCCACATGCGATCCGGCCGATTTCTTCGAGGAGCGGTTCACACTACGTCAAAAGCTTTTTGCCAAACCTCGGCACACGGAGCTTTTCATTGCAGTCACAATGTACAACGAGGACGACTTCCTCTTCGCCCGAACAATGATTGGTGTATTTAAAAACATCGAATACATGTGCTCAAGGACGTCGAGTAAGACCTGGGGCAAAGACGCTTGGAAGAAGATCGTAGTCTGCGTCATCAGCGACGGTCGTGCGAAGATCAACCCGCGAACGCGCGCTGTTCTGGCTGGTCTGGGTTGCTACCAGGATGGAATCGCCAAACAACAGGTCAACGGCAAGGATGTCACGGCACACATCTATGAATACACCACCCAGGTGGGCCTTGAATTGAAGGGAACCCAGGTTCACCTCAAGCCTCGCAATGGAGTGCCCGTGCAGATGATCTTCTGTCTGAAGGAAAAGAACCAGAAAAAGATTAACTCACACCGTTGGTTCTTCCAGGCGTTTGGTCGGGTGCTGGATCCCAACATCTGCGTCCTTTTGGATGCGGGTACTCGGCCCGGAAAGGATTCAATCTACCACCTTTGGAAGTCTTTCGATGTTGACCCGATGTGTGGAGGTGCTTGCGGCGAGATCAAGGTCATGTTGTCACATGGAAAGAAGCTTCTCAATCCCCTCGTCGCTGGACAGAACTTCGAGTATAAACTTAGCAACATCTTGGACAAGCCGCTGGAATCGGCATTCGGGTTCATTTCGGTGCTTCCGGGTGCTTTCTCTGCCTACCGTTATGTTGCACTGCAGAATGACAAAAATGGACAAGGTCCGCTTGAGCGGTATTTCCTGGGTGAAAAGATGCACGGTGCCAACGCCGGCATCTTCACGGCGAATATGTACCTAGCGGAGGACCGAATTCTTTGCTTCGAAATCGTGTCCAAGCGCAACTGCCGCTGGCTGCTTCGGTACGTCAAATCATCCACTGGCGAGACCGATGTTCCAGACCGGATGGCCGAGTTTATTCTTCAACGTCGTCGTTGGCTCAACGGCAGTTTCTTCGCTGCGGTTTACGCTATTGCCCATTTCTATCAGATTTGGCGAAGCGACCATAGCTTCATGCGCAAGTTCATGCTCTTCATCGAGTTCATCTACCAGACCATCAACATGCTGTTTGCTTGGTTTGGCATTGTAAGTAGCCAGCCAGACCCGGTCCAACCCTTGCTAACTAAATCAGGGCAACTTCTTTTTGGTTTTCCACATTCTTACGGCATACCTGGGCGATAGTTCCCTGCTGGGAACGGTTGGTAAAGTGCTTGGAGTCGTGTTCGAATGGCTTTACCTTGCGACCTTGGTTACTTGCTTCGTTTTGGCGCTCGGAAACCGACCCGGCGGGTCCAACAAGTTCTATATGACGATGGTCTATTTCTGGATCGGAATCATGATCTACCTGGCCTTCGCTGCGGTATTCGTGACGGTGAAGTCGATCCAAACGCAGGTGGAGAAAGATGGGTTCACATTCTCGGACTTGTTCACCAACTACCAGTTCTTCTCCATCATCGTGTCTCTCGGATCTACCTACGTTATGTGGTTTCTTGCATCGTTCCTCTTCCTGGACCCCTGGCACATGTTCACCTCTGTAAGTTCACTGCTCCTGGCGGTGATGACATTTCTGACGCAGTACAGTTTATCCAATACCTTCTGCTCACACCGACCTACATCAATGTGCTGAACATCTACGCCTTCTGTAATACGCACGACATCACATGGGGTACCAAAGGTGACGACAAGGCCGAGAAGCTGCCCTCGGCCAACTTGAAGCCCGGCGGCAAGGTGGATGTCAACATTCCGCAGGATGATGGAGATCTGAACGCACAGTATGAGGCGGAGCTGGCCAAATTCGCGACGAAGCCCCCGAAGGAGGAGAACAATGTCTCTGAGGAAGACCGCCAAGCCGACTATTATAAGGGATTTCGCAGTGCGGTCGTCCTCGTGTGGGTGTTCTGCAACTTTGCCCTGGCCGCTGTGGTGCTCAGCGCGGCCGGTCTGGAGGAATTCAGCAGTGACAATGACTCGACCGAGAACACTCGCGCCACGATTTACATGGCCGTGGTGCTATGGAGTGTTGCGGGTCTGTCACTTTTCAAGTTTATGGGAGCGATGTGGTTCTTGACTGTGCGAATGGTAAGTTGTCACTATTCTGCCAGTTTTGCCATGCTAACAGGAGATATAGTTCCGCGGCGTTTAATTCATTGGTGTTTTGCATGCCCGTGTTTTACGGGTGAGGGATGGACAGTATACCGCTGCAGGCTCGGTATGGTATGATGATGACGAAGCGACAAGCAATGATGGTTCATGATCCGGGGGTGACACATACCCGATATTGTTGATATGATTAGATAGTACCCGTATGTAACATATTTGATGCATATATCTGCTCGATGCATGTCTGCTCGATGCATAGTCTGCTACACATACTGATACCTTGTGTATGAGTGGTTTTCCCCTAAGCATTACGTATAATATAGCAATAAAGAGAAATTAGCTACAGCAAGAAGCATCATTGGTCTAGTGGTAGAATTCATCGTTGCCATCGATGAGGCCCGTGTTCGATTCACGGATGATGCAAACTACTATTTTTCTTTTTTTCCTCCCGTCCGTCCATCCATCCAACTCTATACCAACCAACAACTCCCTATTCCACAATAACACAAAGTACATATATACCTACTACACATGAACCCTATACTAAATAAAATACAAATCAAGCCTTCGACCCCACACAAAGCGCAATCCCCCCCAACACCAACCCCATCCCCAACCACGTCTCCTTCTCAATGACCTTCCGCTCCACATACCATTCCCCGAGCACAGTGAACAGAAATGCACTGGAGTTCGCGAGGGGGACAGTTAATGACAATTCTATAGCATATCAGCATACAAATACACACATATCTATATCAACATAACCATCTCCCTCCAAATAGAAAAACAACTCCCCAGCAAGTTAATTAACTACAATAAGGGGAAGGGAAAGGGAGAGGGAGGAAGGAGACATACCATGTTTCCCCACCAACAAAAAGAACCACACACTGCCGGTGAGATTCACCACCAGGGGGATGGAATACGCGGGGGTGCGGAGAAGATTGATGACGGTCCAGATGATGGAGGTGAGTTTGGTTCGGATCCAGCTTTGGTTGCGCGTGCGCGTGCGCATCCAGGCGGGTTGTTGTTCGGGGGTGGATGTGGTTGTGTTTGCGGGGGGGAGGGGGTGGTCTTCTTCTTCTTCCTCCTCTTCATCTTCTTCACTGTTGTTGGTGGTGGTGGTGGTGGTGGTGGTGGTGGGGTCGGTTAGGGGGGTAAGGTGGACGTTATCATTGTCATTGTTATTGTTGTTGTTTGGTTGGTTGCTGCTGCTGCTGGTGGAAGCGGCTGCTTGTTGCTGTTCCTGGCGGGCGGAGAAGTCCGCGGCGGCGCGGCGGATGAAGGGGGTCGTGAATCCCCAGGCGACTCCTACCAGAAGGAATGAGAGGATGTAGTTTATGATGGGGGGCTGGGAGGTGCCTGGTTCTGAGGGGTCCATTGTGGGATAGTTGAGAGGAGGTTTGATGATTGGGGTGTGGTTGTGGGGTAGGTTGGGGAGGGAGGAAGAAAGGTAGGTGTTAAGGAGATGTGGTTTGGGTGGTGGTTACGATAAGCTTGGATGCGGATGGGGCGGGCTGGGCGGTAAGGGCAACTGGTGGGTTGGGTTACGTCTGAGGCTGGGTTGGCGACTTTGGGGTTACTGGGTTGGTATTTGGCTATAAACCTCTATAGCCTGGCTTAGTGCATTATTCTCGTAGTAGTTTTTTGATAGCTTTGTTGTAGCTGTGGTATTTCTTTAAGCTGCATCCGGTTGCATTACCACTATATGCCTTAAACAATATACTATGTACATCTCTTGAGATAATGTAGGTTTGAAAGTAGTTCCAAGCTTAAGTATACCCATTGAACGATCAAATGATGCTGTGCAATGTTCCAACTACCACCTCATTTGTTTGTGTCCGGCAGGGCTATATGTTTACATCCGAATCATTGAGATGAATCGGTAGTAAATAATCAGGACGAAAGGTAAAAGGTACTGTTCACTTGGAGTTATATATCAAAAAGTGAGATACTACGCTCCTTAAGTCGCATGGCGGAAGCTCCAGGCGACAAATGCCCAATTTATAATTTCGGAACCGTGACATCGTAATCACAAAGTGTCGCAGATGGTTTTTCGGTGATACTCAGGCTTCCGCTACCGCATCAGACACTTGGAGGCCACCTAAACGTAGATGCAGTTCAGCTGCATGAGGGTGTATCGTATTGGTTTTCGCAAGGCGAGTTAACCTTTCACATAGTTAGGCACTTTTCCGAAGTAGAGCTCTAGTAGTAGAGCTGTACAGACCAGCATCAGGTAGTCCATATCACCTTGAATAGTGTACACCACCCAGGCAACACAGACCAAATTGTTGATTATCATTGTAGATCGCAGATTCATGTTGTGCCTTGAGGCGTCGAAGGAAGAACGAATGCGTTATCGTCACAGAGTATTAGTATGAAGTAACCCCAATGCTGCTGCGTCGTCTGGGTTCGGCAGGTTGGTTGAAATGATAACCTGTCAGCCCCAGGGAAACTATTTGGACTTGAGTCTAGTAGAATCGCAAGCGCTGATAGAGCCTCTAGCTAACACCGAACAAAAGCCTTCGAGGACGGTTCAGTCAGAGTCGGTATTCTTAGAAAGCCCTCGGAGATATTAAGCAAAGATCTTCGAGATACGCATTTCTCGTCGACCAGCCTTGGATAGTATTGTTTGCGGAAGAATTCAAGTGGTTTAGGTCGTGCTCACGGCCCAAACGGTCCGATATGGTGGTGATATTGTCCGCCAAGTTGTTGTTGGAAGCAAGCAGCTTAGATGCAGGGCGAAGACATCTGTGACGCAGCTTTAGTGAGCTAATTCCTTGGACATGTCAGGGCGTCAAGGCTGGCCGACTTGGGGATGTGCCAGGCGCTTGTTTCGAAGGAGTCCATGTCATGGCCACAGAGCCGTCAACGGCAGCGTGGTCTTGAGGTGTCATTGCTTGTGAGGCTTTTCTGGCATTTTGATGGAGTAGATTTCGTGTTCCCTATATGCTTGGATGAGAGCGGTGATAGACATCCGGGTCTCCAATGCTCTTAGCACACTGCGTGATATATAACTGACTCCTCGAAAGACTATCTCACAAGCATCATCACCCAGAGACACCCACCAGCCTCATCGCGTTCCTCGTGGGGTAATGCACCAGTCATGGGAAGGCTCAGGACCGATGACCGCAAATATATATGAAAGGGGGAGTCGTATACGAGCAAGCGCTTGGCTGAGCAGACATAAAACTTCTCAGCAGCAATGTACCCGGGAGAAGATGGTCAGGTCTGACACGGTGACCAGTATTGTTGCCTGTCTTGCAGTGTCCCACTTGCCTTGTATTCTGCATATTGCACGGCTGCTCAATCGCCCATAGGTAGCCTGGTAGAGTCCCTTGATGGTTGTGAACGATAGTAGACCTCGACGGCCTGGAGTGTCATTTATAAAGCTTCGTGTTTCCCATACTTCATGGATAGCGCCGATATTTCATATTTGAGGGATATCAAAGGGAAGGGTTCCAACCGTTAAGAGCAAGTAAGGATGGATACTCCGATTGAGAGCTCGCTAGCATCCTTGAAGAAAGTGGTACTAACCTTGAGAAACTACCTCTGGACGGAACAACGCATTGTTCCCGGGATTTATCCATACACTGGTAGAGGTGGAGTCCATCAAATTAAGTCATCTGAGTTGCATCGATTAGCAGGAGTATTGTGGTAGTCTGGGGCCGAGAGGGGGTGTTGGCAATTGGTCGTTGGACTTTCACTTTTATTATTTTGTAGAATAGAAGAGCTCATCGGTCTAAAAGTTCACTGAGCCACGAAGGGCTTGAGGCCATTGGAACCCCTGACTAAAATGCCATCGTCCAGGCCCTGGGCTGTATTAAAGCTCAAGGCAACTAATTCTTTGTGACCATGAAGAATTTTAGTGGCCTGAGAAATCTTTCCAAAAGTACTCCGCCATTGTAAATAAGTTATTGACACTATTGTATGAAGCAAGAAGATAAGCTTTCAGGTTTGTCCCTATAAATCGAGCTACTGAGATGATATGAAGCTGATAGCGTTTCATTCTAAAGCAAACCCGAAAGACACACAGCAGTGCTTTATCTCTGATCTCATCGCTTCTAGCTTGACAACAGACAATCTTGTCTTTTATTCATTCGTGTCGCCAGTGTTCATTTTAGGACCACGTTCTCGCTGGCGTAGCAGATCTCCTAGGCAGGTGAAAAGTTCATCCAAGGAGATACTGAGACCAATGGACAAGTCACCTGGCCTCCTTTGTATCTTATACACATGAAAGGTCACATTCTTGGCCAATGTTTCAACATCACGGGCATTTGCCCACGACCTTGTCTTTTGCAGCCGGGAAAACATGCGTAACACAGATGAGTATTTTCCATCAACAGACTTCGGATCCCCTCGATCCACGCTTATCTGAATCCTTCCGAGCTGCGCTTCGAGGTACTCAAAACAATGTGCCGGGTCCATCGACGGAAATGAAATGTCTGTCGGAAATCGAGATCGTATCCCCGGATTCCTGTGGATTAGCCTGTCCATACCATCTGAGTAGCCAGCAAGGACAATCACAAGTTTGCGAGCGTATCTGGGCTTTGTCATGCAGTCTACCAACTCTCCGATTGCTTCTTCACAAAAGCTCGAACCGCGTCCAGTGAAAGTGCTTGCCAACCGATAGGCTTCGTCAATAAACAGCACCTTACCCAAAGCTCGCTCGAGCAATTTGATAACCTTCGGCCCTGTATGCCCAACGTACTCGCCAATCATATCCGTCACAGTGCATTCAATGACCTCAGCGGTAGACAAGAATCCCATGTCGTAGAAGACCTGGCCGAGAATGCGAGCCGTAGTTGTTTTCCCCGTTCCCGGGGGCCCCTTGAAGACATACGTAAATGGTATGAACGGACGCGGATCAATCTCGCGCAATCGCATCCCGGCTGCCATCTGCTGGTAGTCCTGGAAGCGGGTAATTATGTGATCCATGCCAATCAGTGTCGAAAAAAGGGATTCACAGGCCTTGCTACTCTTAGAGGCTCTATCATATTCTGGATCGAAATCGGCGGGCTCGATCATCCTTCCTTGTCGGTCAGTGACACCCTTCATCCTTTTGTTAAAGGCCGCTTTTGCTCGACCGAGCAGGTTATCGATATCACCCCCATTCCCAAAGTTGGGCCGATCTCGAGCCCGGGAAAGGACCTCTATGGCTACTTTCCTGGCTTCGTCGGTAGCCGTCATTCCACCACGAGACAATTTCAGATCGAGTATCTTGGCGAGCTGGTCGACGGAGTAGTTCTGAAAGTGAAAAGCCTCCTCCAATGGGAATCGCCGCCGTAGGCCGGGGTTGCTGTTGTTGAAGAACTCCTTCATCTGGTCCGGGTAGCCGTTTAGGATGATGCAACGGTCCTCGCCTGGGGTGCTCGAGATGTTTGCGACCAGCGCATCCACAACGCCGAGCCGATGCGAATCGGAGAGATTGGACCCATGACTAGACCCTTGATAGAGCATATGAGCATCGTCGATAATCAGCACCTTCCCCTCAGTGTTGCGAAGTATCTCAGTGGTGTTAACTTCTGATTGGCCGATATATTGCCCGATGAAGTCAGAGGGATTCTTCAATACAACGTCGCCACTGGAGATAAGACCCAACTCTGCAATAATCTTTCCGTAAAGCCTGGCCACGGTGGTCTTACCGGTGCCTGGAGGGCCTAGGAACACCCAGTTGAGGGATGTCTCGATTGGAGGTAGGCCTTGGATCTCACGGTGATAATTGGTGTTTGCTCGAAGAGCGAGGTCATCAATCATCTTCTTGACCTGCTGAAGACCTATCATGCTCTGCAATTGCTTCCAGGCCTCACTCTTTTCTCTCATGTCCAGTGGGGCTGGGCCAAGAAGATCAAACTTCGTCAGGAAGTGATAGTTGGAGGGCGTCTCACGCCTCGCCGCCACGCCTCTTGATGACCGGCAAAGTCGCGAGGCTTGGCGTCTCATCACCTGCTCTAAAACAGCCTGCAAAGCCAGCATATTGGTGAACTTCTTATTAGAACGCTTGCGGCAGATTCGGCGAGCAAGAATTCTCAAGTTCTCACCATCCCAGCCCCCGTCGACATGAAGTTTGCGCTTCTTTAGTATGCGAACCAACAGGCGGTATATATCGTCCTTGGAATAATCTTCGAGGTCCATCTTCATGGTGAAGCGACGAGAGGCTCCCGTATCACAAAAGTCCTTGGGCGGTCCGATCAAGATCAGGAATATTTGTCCAATATACTTCTCCAGGAAGGTAAGAATCTCATCGGTTATCCTTTGGTCTTGAATGAGCTGATCGGCCCGGCGGATGAAGATGACCTAATGCTGTTTAGTGGGTGGAAATTACTCTCAATAAAAAGAAAGTCTGAACATACGCCAGGATCTGGTTTCCATTTGGCCAAGTTAAAATCCTTTATGTGATATCCCGCATAAGTGCATTGATTTGGCGACACAAGATCGAAGCAAGCGAGAAATTGTGCATAGAGCTTGGCCACAATTGTTTTCCCTATTGTCTGCCATTAGCCAAAGGTTCTTTCGAATAGAAGGAAAGTCTGACCAGTCCCTAGATTCCCAGTGATGACCATGTCAAATCGAGCCTTTTTGAAGTCTTCGTTCCGCGATTTACCGGCTTCGATCCGGGCTTTAAGTTCCAAAAATTGCGCTTTGATATGCTCCTGCCCAACAAGGCACATAACGCGGTCCATCAGTCTTTCCAGGCGCTGGTCGTTTTTGGTGGGGGTTACTTTCGCTAGCTTTTTTTGTCGGAGCCATTCTAGGCGTGAAGGTGAATCATCGTCCATCTCGTCAACGTTGGCTTCAAGGTTTTCGAGGCTTTGATCGGAGAAGGCCAAGTCATTTTCTTGCTTTTCCTTTGTATCTGCGGTATCATGTTCGTCTGGCATATATGCCCATGTTTTGAGGAAATCGTCGCTGTCTGGACTAGACACAGACTTGATGCCCCCATCGCTTTCATTGTCACTTCTGTCGCCATGTTTGTCGTTATCACTGCCGTCTTTTTTGCCATTGATATCCGAACTGCTGTTGCTATTGCTGTTTTCGTGGCTGTTGTTCTCCTGGTTACTGCTGTTGTCACTTCCATCGCAATTGCTGTCCTGATTGTCGTTGCCACCACCGCTTTCGTTGTGTTCATTGTCAACCTGATTGTTGTTGCTATGGCCATTTCCATCATGGTTCCTCTTGTCGTCGTGGACCTTTTCGTTTTCTGCCTCGGAACTTTTCTTTTCGGGCCCTTCTGCATTATCGGCCTGCTTTTCATCAAGCGACTTCTCAGGCTCTTCCGCTTTTTCTACTGCAGCATTCGAATCGGCCCGTTGCCCGTCGTTGCTTTCGCTAGACACATTTGCTTCTGCAGGATTGTCCCCATCAATGCCCGCTTGAAGGTTCTCTTCATCACAATAAGGAGCCTCCTTTGTATTCTTTGATCCCTCATTATCAGTCTGGTGACTCAACTCCAAGTCCGTAGAAGTATCTTGATCCTTCAACGAGTCTCCCTGAATATCGCTCGATATATTTCCCTCAGGGCCTCCGAGCCCAGAATAGTCAGGTAAAGGCAACAACCTATCGCTCGAAACGGGATACCCTAAATGCTGCAAGCCATCAGAATTCGAATCAGCGCCCACGGGCTTGGGCGGATTCGGATTCGGCTGGTCATCGCTTTGTTCGGTGGTTGTGGTTGTGGGAGCCGGTTCTTCGCTGGTGATGACCTCCACGCCAACGTCTTCGACCGGTGGAGTTGGGTCATCTTCCATTTTGCTGTCCACTCTTTCGCTTGTTATTTTCCTGGTTAGTCAGGAAAAATTAGTCAAGAGTCTGATGAATGATGTACTTACTTTACTTATTATCGCGCGATAACCTCGGGGCTACTTATAGGATTGATTCCTTTTGGTTGGTTAAGATGGCCCGCGTTGTTTAGTACTGTCCAAGTGACCGACCAGAGAAGGGAGGTTGAGAGGTTGAAGGGCGGGGAGAGAGGGGGGGGTGTAGTAGGATAAATTCATTGCTAGGCTCCCAGGCAGCGACGCTGGAGCCTGAGTCATGTTGCACATGAAATGGCCGGGCCGCATGGACCATGCATATGCAGTGTCAGTTGGTGAATATGACCTGAGGAATATTCAACAGCATCTGTGCGGATTGTCGCGCCATTTAACAAGCAAGGCAAGTTCCCTGCCGCGCCAATTAGGAGTCTGTGTACCCAAAGTGCATGTCTTCACCTACCGTGGGCACGGTAAACAACCTTCCTGCCAGCGCGTGCTTCACCACTCTCCCTGGTGTGGTGCAGGTTTTGGTAACCACGTAGTATTTAGAGGATCTCTTCTCTGTGCCTTCTCGATGGTGAATTACATGTCTGTGTCAATGGATTGCATATTTTGCCCGGTTGGTGAAGGCTGGGTGGAGAGCAGTACTAATGCGCCCTTCCTAGCTGTCAATCTGCAATGCATACGAAGTACTTTGGACAAGACAAACACAGTGGGCGGTTCTCTTGCGTACTGCGTACGAGTGATGGATAGTAACATTATTATGTTAGGTAGAGGCTGAAAGAAGTGATTAATTATCCCTATGGTAGCAATAAGCCTACACCGCTCGAGTGGAGAGAAATATCAGGCTGACTCCTCTATGAATGCTACGTGTCTCCCTCCAAAAGTACAGCAGTATCTAACCGTGCCTATACTTGACTATCGGCCACAATAGTTCACTGGCCCAAGGAGCATACGAGTTCATTGGCTCATTGGCTTATGTATTAGATCTGAGGCTTCTGTCCAGTTATAATGTTCAGCCGCGGCGCATATCCATGTTCCAATACCTCGTCCCGCAAGTCATTAAGGAAGGCATCAAACTCAGCTGGTGTCTTGGCCACCCCGGGGATGCCTTCAGGGGGCATCTTGTGCCCGAGACTGCGGAACCCACTGACCCACATATGAGCAGAGGGCACCTTCCAATGCTCCTCCCTGGCCTTGGAACCATAGCCCAGAGTGAGAGAAGTCTTAGTAATGTTCTGGAAACCCAAATCTTGAAGCAACTTTTTCAGCTCGTAGGCAATGTAGATGTTCATTCCAAAGGCGGCAGTACTCCATTTCTGCATCTCCGACATTTTGGCGAGTTTGGGGGATTTTATGGGGTCAACGGGCTCATCGCGATCTACCCATTGACATTCTACGAGTTGAAGCCAGCCTCCAGGTCTTAATAGCGAAAGGAGGTTGGTCAGGGACTGTGGCCACTCGTGGCTTTTCAAGCCCCAGATGAGGAGACGTTGGTGAATGATATCGAAACTTTCGCCCCATTGCAGGTGTTCCGGAGCCGGCTCGCGGATGTCCATTTTCTGAAGATGGAGGATTGGGCCGTCCGCAGACGGGGGAGGAAAGAGCGCAGCGCCGAGATCCACGCCATGGAGGGACCCTTTCTGATCGGGATAGAGCTCAGCTAGAGAACGAAGCCATGTGCCTGATCCGCTTTCATCAGTCAATGGGGCACTTTTGATTTCGAGTCAACCCAGTCACCGTCTGCAGCACCGGCGTCCAACACCCGCAAGTGAGAATTTGGCTCCACCGGGGTGGTCAGGAGAAGGCCTTCCGTGGCCGACAACATGAAGTGATGTTGCATCTGGAGACGCTCAAGCTCCCGTTGGTGGTGGGGGAGATGATAGATCCCCTCGGTCCCAACGAATGCATTTCCTTCTGGGATATAGAGAGCGTGGGAGCTTGTGGTATCCATGTTGATCCAAGGTTGGGTCGGAATAGAGACATGTCCCGGCTTGAGTCCTCCGTCCTAAGCTCATATCTAGCCGAAGTGGGGAAGTTCGCAAGAGTGGAGCCCACTCATTGTGTGATGTGACTGGAAGATGTGATGGACCCTGTTTTAATCGCGGAGATCGGAGATCGGAGTACATTGCCTAATCACTTTGGCATGCTCGGACACTTCCCTGCATTCGATGATGGATGGACATTCTCTGTCAATTGGTTCGGTTGTGTATCTTGATGCCGTCGGTGTCTTTCTTGGGAGCATAAATACACGGTCTGTCAGACCTCCAAAACACTATTCAATCCCGCCGAGCCAGCTTTCAATCTGAAGTTCCTTCGATTCTTTCTGTCGTTCCACATCCGAGTCCGCGTCTTCAGGCTCTTCTTCGTCGGTGCCTTCCAAATCTCACCAGGAATGCTAGTAAATGGATCTTTCGTTGCGAGGGTACCCTGTAGACCTTAGCCATGCAAATATTCCACGTGTAGCTCCTTCAGAAAGATCTTGTGAGAAGAAATCATAATGGTAACCGTTGAGCGCAGCCGATATTCTGGCGGATGAGTGCGATGCGTGGTCAGCAGGCTGTATATTTTCTTTTCTGTCGTCCAAAATCGAATAGCCGTTCGTCAGAAGCCATTCCCAGGTATATCCAAAGGGCTTCCAGGGCCAGATTGGAGGTCGTTCATGGCCCTCGCAGGCTGTAAGAAATAGTAGTCGACACTCATCAGCGCGGCTTATTAAATCCTGGGGTTTTACCCATGTTAGAAGTCAAGAAAGTCTGTGCTGTTCCTGTCCAGGCAGAAGCTAGAAGATCGAGAGCCGTGTTTCCTGTTCTTATGTCACGCAAGACAGATTTTGCCACGTCTGTGAGAATCGCACCGAGCCAGAGAGGCCCGAGTCGTGGCTGTCGATTTGCCAATAACGTGGTCAAATAAGCTTTCTTTTGAAGAAATCGAATCAACAACCGCAAAAGCCGGGTTCAGCCAGGCACTGACAAAATTACACTCAATATCTGCATTGAAGAAGGTGCTGCACAAGAGAGAGCGTAGACCCCACACATTGGAACTCAATGTCATGTACTTCGAAAGATGTTTGTCGTGCTCACTGAGAAGATCTGGGATAGAAAGATTAGAGTTGCCGGCATCTTTCTCTACTTCTGGCGGAGAAACCTGTTTCGGAAATGGAAGGGAAACTGTTCGCCCTCTCACAAAAGGGATGTATAATGCCCCAGCAAGAGCGGCTGAGCACTGGGAGTAAATGCGATGGTGCATACAAAAACGAGAGAGGTATTTGACAGCAGTCCCCGATTCCGGGGGATCTAGCTTGTCGGCGCCTGGAACCCCCTTAACTGACAAGTCCAACCCGGCATCCTCTGCTGATACCGACCATGGAGACAAATAGACATGGTCATTATATCTAGTGGTGGCATTCCAGCCACCATCGGAACACAAAATGGAGCGCCACCAGCGAGCTTCTTCCTCACAGACACTGTCGCCGAGGTCAATTCGGACCATGGGTTGCTTGATTGGTTGTTGTGAGTCCTCCATATCCTGAGGAGTGTATCCCATGTGACATTCGTGGTCAGCAGAGCGTCCAAGCAACTCAACCCATCGAGCGGATAGTATATAGGCCCATGCGAGGTACAGAACTGACAAATAATTTCCGTTATCGTAACCTGCGATTCCCTGAACGCCAGGCCAGTTTGAGAAGGAAGAGTCCTTTGATAACCTCACAGTTAATTGAGTGCTCACTCCCAGTAGAAGTTGCTTAGGTAGGACCCGAGGCTGTAGGTCACAAACGCCTTTCGAAACCTTCCATGTTGACTGGCCGTTAACGACAAGACTGTCTTTCCCTTGTCTCAATGATTTCTCCTCACAAGCAAATGAGATCGGCTCGTTAGTGACAATGCCATCTCCAAGGAAAGGCGGTGTCTGACAGACGAGAGACTTCAAGTCTATGGTTTGCCGGGGGGGGGGGCAGGTGATCTCCGTTCTCATCACTTAGATAGGAGGCCCATGTATTGAGGCTCTCTTGGAGGACCTGGCGGAACCCTATCATCCCCCGGACGCGCGGCATCGCCCATTGCGGCAGCCGCAAGAGGACAGATTATGATTGAATGTCCTTGGTCAAAAGGAGACGTTGATATTAAGTGGTGTCGGTTGGAAATCCAGGAGGGGCGGAAGCAGTTCTATGGAGGCTTGTTGATCCTGTGGCGCGGCAACGATTTGCTCCTGCTAGATGATGACCATACAAGCCACGAATCACGTGAATTTTCATGAGATATCATTTTACTCGACAATAGGCTGGAACTTTGGACCTTCGGACTTCATCAGCGAAAGGAATCTGACGGCAATGCACTAAATCTAGGAAACGAACGACTTTCGTTGGCTCATCATATAGTGATGTTAAGAAGCACGGCCTGAAGCTTATCGAAGATCTAGTCCGGAGTCAGGGACGACTAGCCACGGGTTTTGATCAGGCCGAGAAATCAGGCTGCGTATGCTGTTTGTATGGGGTGCAGGAAGACATCAAAATACTGCTACAAACTGTACTAAATTGGCCATGCTTAGCGTATCCTTCCCTAGCCATAACATCTTATTAACATCTGTTAGAAATTACTTATGTATTCTAGGCATGTCATGACCCCATGCTCTAAAGACACACACACACCTATTTACCTCCCACCTTATGAACAGCTTCCCCAATGTACCACCACACTTTACCTACTTTCTACTCATTATAAACACCACTATCCCCTCATCCCCTCTCCCTTCACCTTCCCTACAAAATAACCCGAAACCCCATACTCCCCACCTCCCTTAAACCTATCTATACTCATCCCCTCCCCCCAACCCAACCCAGATCCACCCCCCTCTCAACTAATCCTATACAACCCTACCGACAATCAAAAGCAACCCGACAACACTCCCAATCCCTCAAACCCTTACACTCCCCACACACCAACCCCTTCCCCAACTCCGTCTTCCGCCCCGCATACCAAAACCACCCATCCGGTTGCCCCGCACCCCCCGTAACATCCACCTCCACAGTCCACGGCAACAACGAATGCACCGACAAATGGCCCTTATCCGAGTTAATCGGGGTAGTGCCGAGACCCCGGCATGAGCGGTCGTAGACGTACATCTCGCGGAATTTGACGCTGCCCGAGGGGGCGTAGCTTGCGATGCCGAGGTTGCAGTAGTTGGTGCCGGTGGGGGAACACATGAGCGGGAGGAGGTTGGGGGTGTTGGCGTTGATGTTGATGTTGGGGGGGTTTGGGGTGTTTTGGATGATGGAGGTGGCGGCGTTGTGGGCGGTGTTGAGGGCGGCGGTGATGGGGTCGGTGGGGTGGGCGGTTGTAAGGTTCAATATGGCTAGGAGGGGGAGGAGGAGATTCATTTTGAGATATGAAAGAATGGTGGAAGTGAGGTTGTGGGTGTAGAAGGGTGAGTGGTATGTTTGTGTGAGTGGAGTGAGTGGAGTGAGTGAGTGAGTGAGTGAGTGAGTGAGTGAGTGGGAGATGAGATGGTTGTAGAAGATTCACATCACATATATAGCCCCGTCTCATGGGAAAGGTCCTAGTGTCTGCACTCTTGGTATATGCCTAGTCGACAGAACTATTCTATACGAAACTTGTGACGTGAGGCTGGACAATATCCATTCTGTCCAGGGATTCCAAACCCGGCTACCGAAGCTGACGGGTCAGTGGGAATGCACTCCACACAGGGGCATTGAGAGGGCTGAAACACGTCCCGAGTGACACCATGTATCTGCACAATGAGGTAAGGTGCAGATAAATTGTCCAAGCCTCCCATCTGATTTCGGTCATGCCTCGTTTTCCGAGACAATCATGCGGGGACTGGTTAAAGATGCAATCTCGGCGAATATATACTTGCCAAAGGGACTGTGTGCCTAATCTGTGCTACCTATTGGTATTGGTTGATTGGCAGGTGGTTGACTGTATCAGGAGGTTGTTGCTTTTGCTAGGCTTCGGCTTTGTGCCCTGCATTATGAGTCCGGGTGCTGCTGGGGAGGATTGGAATTCGAAGGCCGAGTTAGGGGCATAAATAACCCTTAGCAATTGGAACGCTACAATTTCAAGTAATATTCATTTCAATCCAGTCTGGTTACGGGCAAGATCCCCAACGCTGATCAAGACAGGCCAACACTCAACAGCGCATGGCTCATATCATCGCTGGTCTTCTCAACAACATCCACCTTGACATCTGACCCCTGCGTACTCACCGTCGCCGTCCACACGGCAGAAAAGCGAGCTGCTGGTTTCAAGACAAGCTGTTGCAGCATTCGTTGCTTCTCTTGTCTGGGGCCCCCGACCTGCAAATCATACTGGTAATAGACCCGGCTATCGGCCTGCAGAGTGGTCCGGAACGGCAAGCTTCCAATAGCGACACTGGAAGGCGAGATGTAGACATGATCCGGCTGACTGCTGTCAGGATCGTCTTCGTCCACCAGAACAAAGTTCTCCGTGTCACTGAACACGCAGCTGTCATCATCCCCACTATATAGCGAGACCGAGACACCAGCCAGAGAGACGTCCTGGCTAGTGTTGTTGGTGCCAATCACCGTAAGCTGGGTAGTGCGTCCCGGGGTTAAGCGAGAAGGCGAAACCGAGTAGTCGAGTCGAGGATCAGGTGCCTCAGTAAACCCATCAATGAGCGGTTTGCCGGTATGGTCGATATACTTCTCCACAGGATCTGGCGGCGCGCCACCGCCAAATAGATGAACCAGGAAGCTTATGACAGTGAGGAGGACCCCAAGTATGATCAAGACCCATCCAGCTACAGGGATGGCGGCAGCGAGTGTTGCGCTCACCGTCCAGAGGCCAGTGCTGATCCCTACATCTGCTATGTCCAGGGCTACCGTCAGGAACTGAACCACCACGGCCAACACGCCCATGACTTTGTCGAATGTACTGAGATTGTCCCAGTCATGAACGAGGCTAAAGGTCATGGCAATAGCGATGCCCAGTCCCAAGGCCGCAGAGAGGATCTTCAAGACATTGCCCTGAATCCGGAACTCGGATGCACTTTCTTCTTCTGCGGGGGTTAAGCCGTCCGGGATCTCGTCGGCAGATTCGTTGAATTCCTCCTCGATCGTCGATTCCGTCGGGACCCCGTCTCCTGCAATGTGCTCGCCGATTGCTGAACCGAGCCCACCCTCACCATTCACCTCCTCCCCCATAGCGGCCAAGTTCGACGCACGCTCGTCAAGTGCACGATACGTTCCCTGGTCTAGCTCCATAGTGTCCACTTGGTCCGCAACGTACATACCTGTTCTCCCTTTCCAGATCTTCCAGGTCTCGAAAGCGTTGTCGAGACCCTTGGTCGTATTTTGCAGCAGTTCTAGAACCGATTTCGATCGCTCATCATCCGTCATTGAGCTCCAGTCATGGACCAGGCCGACCATAATTTTGGCAACCTGGAACATTCTAAAAGCAACCTACAGCAATTGGGTCAGAACAGTGATGAGTGACTGGGCGCAGATGGCCACGGGGGTCAAAAAGCTCACCATGCCTGCCGAGACTATGCCCTTCAGGTTTTTGCTTGTATTGTACTTGTTCTGGAGCTGGTCGAATGTCTGATTGGCCCATTGGTATAATGAGGCGCCATTGTACGCTTCGTCTAGGCCGGCTTGCGCTACCCCGGTAGCCCATTTGCTAGCCTCATCCAGCATATCACTTTCTCGACTAAGAATGTTGGCCGCGCGCTTTTCTGCACTTTGACTCTGGTCCAATTTATTGTCTGTCTCATACTGTTCCACGTCCTTCAGTAGCTCCGACTGGACCTCTCCGGGGATCGTGCCGTCGGGAGAGATTACTTTGATGATCAGTGTGGATATTGCACTCCCAAGGAACTGACGCGCTTCTTCCTGGTCTCCGCTAATTGTGGGACTCTCCAGACCGCGTTGCATCGTATAAGTCATGATCCTCTGCCACCAGCTATCCGGAAGATTGTCAGTGGGATCCAGAACGTGCATGATCGTGGCTTGCTGGTTGATGGCATTGGTTCTCTACAACACAATGATCAGTGCCCGACGAGTGCATGGTATCTGCTGAAGGATTTCACTGACCACTCCCGTTGCGGGTTGAATGGGATTCTGCACGAAAAAGTCCAACACCACAGGGACCTGTAAAACCTTCAACATCCTCTGCGCCCAGTCTTGTGGGTTCTGTTGCAGGTAAGGCATAATCCAAGATTTATAGGATTTCTTGACCGCTTCTGTCGATGCGAGTTTGTTGATGTCGTTGTACTCCGTTGCCTGAGCGAGACAATTCTTCCCATTCCCGTGCCACCAGTACCAGAGCTTCTTTTTCTCCTTGTCCGTGAACTTGCCTGCATACTTGTCGGAGGCGACAAAGGATTGACATAGCCATGCAGGGGCATACTTGGTGCGTAAGAACGTTTTAATATCATCACTGAGCTTATCGGCAAGCTCAGCTGGGAGATCATCTGGTTTGCTCAGTTGCGTGAAGGTCTCCCGATCGTCCTGATTCATATGATAGAGCATCATGTCTTGGATTACTCCTTGGGTAGAATTGTGGACCTAACAAGATGATTTAGGTTAGTCGCAGGCAATTGCGTATGAAGAGTCATGTTGCACTGACAACTTGATCGTTATATTCATAATGGTCAATCAGGCCAGGGACGTCGAGATCCCGATACTGGTCAAGGTGCGTGGTGACCTCTGCCGGCTGCCGGTCGTTAGCCTTCAAGGGCAGCGATGAATATTCTATGAAAGCTCGAGAGATCGTGGCTCGCATTCGCTGAAAGTATTCGCTCTCCGGCTGTGCTCTCGTGATGGAAACATAGTGCCTGTCAAGCGTTACTGTCCTGTATGGCGTGCACCACTTTGGAACTCTTACCGATTCCCCTTCATCCCACGCATGGAGGGATGATATTCGTATAGGACTGCCTTGTTATTGCTCGGAAACAGGGGATCTACTTCCAGTTTGAGCTCCTGGAACAGGCACGGGAGGGTCAGGCCAACATTCAGTTCCGATTTGAAGGTGACATTAAAGTTGTTGTCCTTGCTCCAGTTTTCCGCGAGGAAAGGAACCCACGCTGCCCGATTCATTTGGACCGTATAGAGCGTATGACCGTTCTTGAGGTACGTCTGCGTGGTGCGGTAGAGTGGCTCAAGGCTTTTTCCGTAACTGCTGTTTATCTTCTGCTGAAGATCGTCTAAGAGAGGTATCCGGGCTGTCTGAACGCTATAGTTCTCCTCAGGAGTAACGGAGCCGAAGATGATTTGTCCGCCATCGACGGGATTCTTCACGTTGTTCCAATCCGGAACATCCGCTGGCCAAACCTCTTTATCAAACTGTAGCTGAAATGTGTGGTTAGCCGTAAACGACGGATCAATATCACCTTTCCGCTGTACGCTTTCCTGAGTGGGACAGATCGAAAGGGCGCGGAAAGGATGGACGTTTGCCGTAGCATGGACGCCTGTTGGAATGGCATCAGCCGTAAGGTAAATGACTCCTGAGCCCGATACTCTGTTAGAAAAAACTCGCAAGTATGCGTGTTCATACTCATGCTGATGTGGGATCTTTCGAGTCCATCGGATTGTCCTAGAAGCCTCATCACACGCTGTATGCACTATCACTTGACCGTCGGCGACAATCCTTCCATCAACAACAACCAGGTCTGGTAGTTGATACCCGGACGGTAAGAGTTTTGGATGGCATGCAGTCAATCGAAACCGGCTTTCTATCGTATCTAGAAAATCCCCCTTGGATTGCCAGGCGGTGGGCTGTTTACGCAGGAATACGCGCCACGGGGCTTGTTGGAAGTCAAATATCTCGCGGTCTAACCTGGCTTTGATGGTCTGAATGTCGTGTTGTCGAAAGATCGGTGAGAGCTCCTCACAACTGGCGAGGAACGACTGACGTTTGGCCACGGGTAGTTGCTCCAATTGATTTGCAATTGATCTCGCCGAGTATACGGGGTCGTTACAGGCGACCAGGTATCCATTGGCGTGATGACACTGCACACCCCCTCTAAGCGACACTCCGCAAAGTGTCTGCATAGTCTGAGGCATGATTTCAATTGAATTGAGTTCCACTACTTGATACAAGCCCTCGTGGAGCCTGTATACGCAATGGCCGACTGCCAGTCGTCCAACCCGCTGGAAGGGATTCAACGCGTGCGCTGCACGAGGATCAACGGCACGTAGACCCGTTGTGGTTCTGAATACCTGCGATACGGTGGCAAAAGCGGGTTCTCCATCTAGATGCTCCAGATCAGTACGAAACGAACACTGAACCCATGGTGGCGGCCGGCACTCACTAAATCCCATCAGTGTAACTTTTTGCGACACACGAGACAATTGCTCAACCGCTTCACATCTCTCTGGATCTATCGAGCAGAGCATCATGTCGCCTGTCCGTACTTTCTCTATGGGTGTGGCTCCAGATTCAGCCATAAGCACTTGGGTTTGTGGCAGAAGTTGTGAGCCGCACGGCTGGGTGTCCATTGGATCACATGTCCATAGATGCAAGTCGGGCTCTGTATCGAAATTGGAGTCCATGGCAAGTGCTGACTGTTGTGAGCGAAGGCACCCAGAGAGGGACGAACTACTTACAATGGCCTACCCAGTCGTTAACCTCAGCCCATTTGTCCTGCGAGAATGAGCGGTCCACGGCATTGTTCCATTTGGCAAAATGCAGCGATTGGTAGTTGTCTGAAATTGTCTGGATCCAAGACTTGAATTTGTTAATGACATCCTCTTTATCGCTCAGCCTGGCGAGGCTGTCATGGATTGCACTGGAATAATCCTGGTCTGATGGTGCTCTACTACATTCAAGGCCAACGTCATAGTGGTAGAACTCTTTCGTCACCGTAAACGTCGCTGTGGGTTGTATGAGTCCAGTTGCCGTCTCCGGTACGAAGGCGATTGTGCTTAACTGGCCGCAGTACACGACGTGGTCATCAGTCATCTGTGGATCATTGGCCGTATGTTTATCATAATTCACGCGCGACCAACGTTGCAGAATCTGATAGCTTGGGCGCAGGGTATAGTGGGCTCCGTAGACGGGGATTTCACCCGGTTGGTACTTTAGATAATCCGCAACGAACAACAAGTAGATGGGTAAACGCCAGTCATGATCTTGTTCGGCATTCCATATCAGGTTATCAATGGTACCGTCGTCCTTCAACCAGGCGTAAAGCCATGGCCCAAAGTCTTCCATGGCTCGAAGATCTTTGAGCGTTCGATGTTTCTTACTCGCAAGGTATGCGTTGATCCATTCCCCGAGGCAAAAGGCAAGTAACATAGACATCGCTTCCAGGCACCGTGCGTCTACAATGTCCTGGTGGCTTCTTTTAGCTGTTTTTCCAGGCCCGCTAGATGCAAGTTTTGGCACTCACTGGGGCAAGGCATTTTTTGTAACCATGCGTATCTTTGCTACTGTCGACATTGACAACGCCGTGTGCAAAGCCACAGTTGCTTAGAAGAGACAGATAATAGCCAGCAATATCCAATCCATCAAGGGACTGAGAGTGCTAATCATCCACATCACTGTCCGGAGGATAGTTAGGAGCCGACTCGATATAATCACGAAGCTCCTCCACCATAGAACTGTATTGAGCTTTGTTGTGCAGTCTGTTGCAGAAGCCCGGGAAGTCCGGTTCTCCAATTTCAACTAGGTCATTGACTAGGATCTCACATATGCCTGAATAGTCGGTGGACAACATCGTTGCAAACGGGTGTTTATCGAGTCTGAAGGGTCATGGTGTGCTTGGGGGTTGAGGCTGTCTTCGCCTTATAGATTCGTCTTTGAGAGCTCGAAGTGACAAGATCCGAAATACAACATCATGATATCATCTTCGCGGAAGATTAACCTTGGTTTCCAAAGAGGGGCAATGGAGAGAGGGAGGATTCTCCCAGACGGGAGTGAGTTCCTGCCTCAGGGGTGACTTGGTGGCGCACCTTCACTTGCTCGAGCCCTGTCACCCAGGAGGGCCACACTCAGATCTAGACTTCCTTTGGTATCCAAGGTCTCGATGGGGCTCTGAGGACAGATGACGTCTGGAATATGTAGCGTCTAGATGACAGCATGTGAAATTGCTGACAGTAGGTGGGGGCCCGCGAGTCCCTGTGAAAATGATCCCTGGCCCATAGGTCCACTCCCATGCCAACCATCTCTAAACCATATCCCGACTTAGACTGGACCATCAGTTCTATCGCAACTTTCAGGTCTATGATCATCATGCAGCTGAAAGTCGGTATAAACGGCCTAGCCAGGCTCCTGTCAGCTGTGCTGCTTTCTCATATGGCAGCCTCTCAGGTAATGAGCCCAATGCCGCCTCAAACAGGACCCTTCCTGAGACTCTCACGGTGACAGGTTTCGCTCACGATGGACACTGACTGTGGGTATAGCTGTCAGGATGTCCCGTATGAAGGAGACTGCGTGACAGCATATTGTGGAGACAGGTAAGTCCCACTCCGCTTGGGAAATAACAAAGAATGAGACAACTGACGATGTATCTGCACAGTATAATATCTGGGGCCAGTATCGGAGATGCCAGTTGTGACTTTTATTAGTTAGTTCCAGGACTCATCGCTGAACAAGTCTAATACGCTTACCTCCGTGACAGTGGTTGGTGGTGTTCTGAGGGGACCTTTGATGTGGCAATCGGACCCAGCACCTGCTATAATATTCCAACCTTCGGCGGTCCCTACCCGTATGCCGAATTCTCGGTGAAGTGCTATCCAGTTGACAGTTCGGGCCCAAGCCGGTCTAGCGAGTTACGCAAGCAATAGCAAGGAAGACTTCTTGGCATATGCGATTGATATTGGAGCACAAACAGCCCCTTTTACAGATTGCAGGTGCCTTTGGTCATCAATTGCGTCTTCTTATTGATTCTTATGAGTCGAACCGAAGGCCGGATCTGATGAGAATTGAGATAATGGATTGGTAGCAGTAGCTCATACAAAGCACCCGAATCCGAGCTCACAATCCACCCAGTGATGTTTGCATCCTTTCATTAGATACAGATAAGCCTCGGCGACATCTTCCGATCTAGCAACTCGTTCTGTTGGCTGCTTTGCTACGTAGTACTCATACAACCCCCCCCCTGCTCCTCATCCATCACACCATCCCACAACGAAGTAAAAATCAGCCCAGGACTCACGGAGTTTACATTGTTCAGTTTCAAATCTAGCGCCTAGTTACGTGCGACGCTGCAGATGCCGCCCATGTATCCAGTCATAACTGTCCAATTAGGCAACGGATGCTCCCAGATGGTCCCTGTCGTCAGGATAATTGAAGAATCTGGACCAGAAGAGGGATACCAAGCGCCTATCTTGGCAACCAGTAGTGCCGCAATAAAGCACACCTGGCCAGCAACGATGAGCTTGTCCCGCGGGATCTCTTGAATAGGCATAAATAGCTAGTTTGTCTGCCACGGTGAAAACGATGTCGCCGATCTATCTAGTCTCCTACAATAGGGACTCGATATCTTCTTCGACTGAGTCATCAAAGAGATCGCAAGCATGGCCTTGGAGTTAGGCGTCGGGAAAGTAAGATGTGAGTTTCTGGATGGGGGATTTGATGCGATCGCTTGAGGATGAAGAGATGGTGACTCTGGCTGATGCGGCTAGTGGAAGCTTGGCCACGGGGAGACTTATGCCAGAGATCTGCGAGGAATAATGAATGCCACTCGCCTGACTCTGAAGAAGCACATACATTGCTCGGATTTGAACTGTTGCCCCTAAATCTTGAACGTCATAATATCTACCTTCGGACAATGTGCTACGAACTGACCCCTAAGTCCGCTTAAGTCCGCGACAGCTGGATAGCTCATCCCAACGACTTTGAACCTCAGCGCCCGGACTCCGATTGTTTATCCAGTCTGCTTCTTATGAATGTCGGGGTGACCCCTGGTAGACTTAACTGCACCAGAGATTGAGAGACAATCAAGGACCAGCCATGTTGAAGAAATGTGCTTTCGGATGCATAGGAAAGTTCTCATCGAAGTTTTGTAATCTTCCAGCTGTGTTACAGTCTCCCTTTGAGACACGTGGCGTCCATCTCTTAAAGCTTGATCCCTGTGTCCAGAACCACTTTTAGGTGCTATCCTATCATCGAGTAGACTGATCACTAAGCAGTTTACTGATTGTTTGTATGTCTGAGCCACCGCTCATCTCCGAAACCTTATACCCCTGTTGTGTTTGCAACAGACGCCATCATGCATGGGGCGGCATGCAAACACTATGTTTGTTATGTTTGTACCTTTATTTCCGCTCAGTCAAACAGCCTAAACAAGACAAATGCCACTGAAATGTGTCAAACGAGACAAACCCCCCCATGTCAGATCCTAATCCCAGATTAACTACCAAACCAGACAAATACTGCAAATCCTCCAGGCGTTGTATGGAGCTCAAATGTATAAATGAGGACATGTCCCACGCCAAAATGATGCCTCTACATCCTCATCTCCTCTCTCACTCATACAGTGGTATTCAGTCAAACTTCAACCCATCAAAACGATGCATTCCCCCTTGGTAGAGAACAGACTGGCCGGCTTTGACCTGGTCCAAGCCAACTACAAGACGATCGGCGACCATGGCATCCGGGCCGATTTTCTTATCCCCCAATCAAACTACACCGGCAAGCGGCCAATCATCATTCGCTTTCATGGCGGGGGCTTCGTGAGTACAACCAGATTGCTTGCACTATTTATATCCAATTCTAACATGCAAACCAGATAACCGGAGACTCCCTTTTCATGGAATGGTTCCCTCAGTATCTCTTCGACATTGCGAAAGAGCACAATGCGGTCATAGTGTCTCCAAACTACCGGCTCATGCCTGAAGCCACGAGCCTCGAGATCTTCGACGACGTTGAGGACTTCTGGGTCTGGCTCCATTCGCCTGCCGTGGCGGAGCTCCTGTCTTCCCACCCAACTCCAACCAAGCTCGACCTCAGTCGCATCATCACCGCCGGTGAGTCCGCCGGAGGTGCGCTGAGCCTCTGCCTCGCACTGGCTCATCCGGACGAGATCCGAGCGGGAACAGCAAGCTTCCCCAACTTGATTGAGACCACAGCGCAAACAGAAGCACCCCGCTTGAGCGGACTGTCCCCGGATGAGGCAGATCGCCTTGTCGACGAGGCCATCGAACGCGCAAACCGGGGAGAAATTCGGTCATCTGGCATGGTGCCCGACCGGCTAGATCTGATGCTTGCTGCCATTGAGACTGGACGCAATATCAAACTGTACGAGCGCGGAACCGAGAAAGACCCTCGACGGGCCTTGCGGCATCCTATGGTGCGGTTGGACGAGTCTGACCTGAAGCTCCCGCGTGGAGGACTCTCTATTCGGCATGGACAGGACGATCCCATTGTGCCGCCCGTGATAAGTCAGACCTTTGTGGACAAGGCACGTGCAGCCTTGAAAGGCAAACCGGGAGGGGACAAGATTGCTCTGGCGCTGCAGCCGGGCTCGCATGGCTTTGAGGGTAATACTCGGAGTGATGAGGCGTGGCTGCAGGAGAATCTGCGGGTAGCGCTCGAGGCATGGTTGGAATAGACGAATATGGAGATGGATGCGCATATAGTAATTAATCTGCTTGTATAGCTCTAATGAATAATATCACTGTTTTTGCCAAGTCCGCTCTCTGTGGCTTATTGACGGCTGTTCCGTTTAGGAATTCCCGCACAAGCTTTGACAATGCCTTCGGACAATCGCCTTGTCTTCCTCAACCAGCAAATCCCCTTTTAGCTGTACCCAAATCTCGCCATTTTTATGAGCGTAGTCTCCTCAAAGTGGAGGACATTTGTTTACTTTCTTTGTCATCTCAGTCCTTCTCCCGATTCGCACAACATCCTCCGACGATGGCCCCCTCCAAGCGCTACTCGGAAGGACACGATTGAAGCGCGTCTAGCGCAAGAGACGTCACTTGGTTCTGAGGAAGAGGTCTACAATACAACAACTGAAGACGAACTTCCTGAGGTTGTTCAAAGACATTGGGTATCGCTCAGTGCAATGCTGGAGTACCGGTTTGCTCTTCGCTATGTCAACTCATAAGGTATGTTTCCATTGCATCTCTTCTGCAGCATACTGATAGCATATAGTGTCTACTAGGCCTACTACGAATGGTTTCAACTTCGGGTGAAGAACTTCTTCTCCGCTGCTTGTGTTGGCTCTCTCCAGACTTTCTTCATCTTCAGTGGAGATCTGTTTGGGGGTCCTTTATTTGATTGATGAGATGCAAATGTAGGGTCGTTCGCTATGCATGGATTCTCTCGCATACTAACGCTTTCTTATAGGTGATATTCCAAACCTTGTTGACCGTATATTCACTATCTTCGTGACGGGCATATGCAAGGAGTGTTACCAGTTTATCTGGCACAGGACACAGTGTGGGTCTGGCCATAGCTTCACTATGGCATCGTGGCAGCAACGCCGCAATTATTCAGTATGAGGGGAGCTTCCATGGCCTTGCCATTGCAGGCTACTCCTTTGGAGGTGTCATGCTGCCCATGGTTCTCGAACAGCTGCGCAATCACATCAGTCTCGGGTTCGGCTGGTCTGTTCGCATCTTAGGGGTTCATCATGCTGGGCATAGCTATGTAATCGATCGCAGCGCTGATCGAAACTCCTATTGGACACGTGCTTTACGCACTATGGGCTTGGTTAGGCTTCCAGATTCTGTGGGGTTACCTGTATATTACCGTCTTTGGTGGTGAAACGGCTGGCTGGACATGCTTTTTTAACCAAGGCATAAGACTTCGGATTACTGGCGTAGGGATTGGGGAAAAGTATTAAATGTATATGTTCTAGCGCAAGGTTGAAAGTAGAAAACAGCATCTTCTTTTTCTTCGAAATCCAACTCACGATCCAATCGTCAGCAGCCCAATCGGGGGCACTAGCGACTAGCCGGGCGTTAACCGCATCCTGCTCTACCTCACTCCTCCTCTCTTCCTTGTGTTTGTCACCTACAACCTTCATTTAATTGTCACCACCCATGGAAACTGACAGATCTACTGCCCCCAAACGCCGACGCTCCGCACTGGCCTGCGAGGAATGTCGTCGACGCAAGATCCGGTGGGTCAAACCTGTCTGTCGTCGATTCCACCTGTCTCACCCACCTCAACTACTCCAGATGCGATCGGGAGTCCCCTTGCGCATACTGCAGCCGGTTCAAACGTATCTGCAAGTACACTGCTGGCGCTCGTAATGAAACACCCAGGCATGACAGCACCGTTGATCCATCCACATCTAGATCGCAAAGTCCGCCAGAAGCGCCAAGTCAAAATTCACCCAGGATCCGCGCCATCGCGCGAGAGCCTTCCCATGGATCAGCCGACACTCACGGACTTTCGCATCCTACACCATCAGTAGAAGCTTTGACAGATCGTATTCAACAGCTGGAGCAGAAGCTCAGCGAGGCTCTCAGTTTGCAGGCAGAAAGTCGATCACAGCAACTCCCAACCGTGGCACCCGAACCGACCGCCATCAACGGGACATTTTCCAAGACGAGATTCTTTGGCAATAGCCAACGGTCAATCTGCGAGCGTAAAGTAGGTCCTCTCCATCCAGTTCCCTCCGTATACCGGTCTAAATGAGCAGTTTCGTCACCTGTTTGTCATGTTCTTCCTAGTCGACGCCCCCGAAAACGCGGAGATTCATGCCCTTCTCGAGCAAACCAAGCGTCTCGCACGAACAGCAAAAGCCCAGATCATACTCCACCAACCTGTGTGCGCTGACCTGCGCGAGTTGATTCCCCCCAGGCGGGTGTCAGACCAGCTTGTGCAGACTTATCTGCGCGCCATGGAGTCAGTGTATCGCATCGTGCATATACCGTCTTTTCTGCAGGCTTACGAGCTGTACTGGATCGACTCTGCGGCGGCTGCTCCGGCCTTTATCATCAAGATTCTGCTTATAATGGCCATTGGCAGCGTATTCTGCCAGGACCATACCCAGGATGGCCTCCCCATCTCGCGAGCCGTTGTCCTACGGTGGGTGTATACGGCACAAACATGGCTCAGCTCTCCATTCGAGAAGTCCCGACTGGATCTCGATACTCTTCAGCTCCATTGCCTCCTCCTCATCGCCCGTCAGATCAACCCGGTTGGTAGTGATCTGGTCTGGCTGGCTGCCGGCACTTTGCTCCGAACAGCCATGCACATGGGCTTGCACATCGACCCCCGCCGTATCCCAAACATCTCTCTCTTCGACGCAGAGCTCCGGCGAAGACTGTGGGCTACCGTCCTCGAAATCAACCTACAGACCAGTACAGATGCAGGCGGTCTCCCTCTGATCTCCACCGATGACTACGACTGCGAGCCCCCGATGAACATCGACGACGAACAGATGGAGAACCCGACCGCGCAACCGACGGAAATGTTCACTCACACCTCCCTTCAGATCGCCCTTCTCCGATCGCTACCCGTCCGACTCCAGATCGCTCGCTTCACCAACGACTTCCGCCGCGGCGTTTCCTACGATGAAGCCCTGCGTCTCAGTGCAGAGCTCACCGCGATCTACCGAGACAATTCGACCCTCTTCCAGACCTTTAACAAAGGGGTCTCCAAACCCACTCCATTCCACTCGCGTCTCTTCGACCTCATGACCCAACGCTTTCTCCTCGCTCTTCACGACCCCTTCACCATCCGAGCCAAGTCCAATCCGACCTATTACTATTCCCGACAGATGAGCCTCCAGACGTCACTCCAGATCCTCAGCCCCTTCACCTCAGATGCCCCTGACACCGCTGCCGACCCCGACTACACATCGCTCCTCCTCATCGGCGCGGCCGTCTACCGCGACGTCACCGCCCAGGCCATCTGCGTCATCGCTGACGAATGTCTGGACATGCTAGACAAAAGACAGACGTCTCTGACAGCACTTGCTCACAGCTTCGCGCACGAACCTCAGCTCCTCGCTCTCCGAGCCATCGTGGAACGCAGCACGGCGTACTGTATGAAGCGAGTCCGCGCAGGGGAAACCAACATCAAGGGGTACTTGATCTCATCGTTCTTACTCGCGTATATCGATGCTCGATGGAAGGGAGAGCCCGTGGAGGGGGTGGTACGTGAAGCATTTCGGCAGGACTTGAAGCGATGTGTTGGATTGCTAGAGGAGTTGATCGAGCGAGCGGGGGATTCTACTTCTGTTCCTGCGGGCGAAACCGAAACTAATGTTTCGTTCAGTCCGGAGAACATTGACTGGCTTGCAAATGACGAACTGGTATGATTCCTCTTTGACATGAAATTCCCATTATACTGACCATCTAGATGCCCGACCTAGGCGCCGACATGGACATCAACGCCTGGCTTACGATGCAGGGGATGGTCTAATGTACAAATATATCCATATTATACAATATATAGAAGTTATAACGAACACACTCCAATCATCAACCAAAAACAATCCATCCACAGGGAAATCCAAGCCAATATCCCAACCCAACCCTATTCAAACTTCATCCCTCCTCCCAAGTAGAACCCAATAACCCCACTATATACAAATTATCACCCCATTTCACCCCCCCTTCCCCCTTTGACCCCCACCCCTCCCACTCTTTAATCCTCCACACTCAACCCCTAATCAGAAAAATCCTCCCCACCCCCCTCATCACCCTCATCACCCTCAACATCCCTCACCATCCTCGTCCCCCCCTGCACATCCGACAACGCATACTCCCGCCCCGCCGAATCCACCCTCCGTTCTTGGAAAATCGGATCTTCGCCGAGATTCTGGTATCCGGAGCGGATGGTCGTTGTGCCTTCGGGGTTGGTGTGTGTGGTATGGGCGGAGCGGTGGCCGGTTGTTGTGGGGGTGTTGTTATTGTTGGGGGAGGAGGAGAGGGTGGAGAGAGTGGTGAAGGTGTTGAATGTGTTGGTTGTGGGGTTGGGGTTGGTGGTGTTGGAGAAGGAGGAGGAGGAGGTGGTGGTGGTGGTGTAGGAGGTTGAGCGGTGGTAGGACATTTTGGTGTGTTGCGTGGTTTGTGTGGTGGTTCTCGATCAAAGGACAAGGTATAACACGAATGTAATGATTGACCGAGTGGAATTAATTAAGAAGTGAAATCAAGGGTATCCTGTGTGATCTTTGAACGATTCAAGCTGGCGATGGTGGATATACTTTATACAGCTAGAGATGTGGCGAGGGTGATGTCATATCCTTCCTTGATTCGATCCGGGTATCGCTCTCAGATTCGAGTACTACTGTGTACATAGTACGTATAATCTGGAGTACGTTATGTCAGTAGTGGGTATCATGAGGTCAATTGACGAATCCTCTACTCCATTATTGGTTGTGATTGCTCCATTGTTCTAGAACTCTACTGTCTTCGTTCTACATACTAAGTTAGTAGACATAGGCTATGTCAGCCAACAACAGTATAGTATCTTCTGTCCTGACGGTCTGGCGGTCCAGAGGGTTGTTGAGAGCATGGTCTCCCTGTAGTAAAGAACTGCCATGTAATCCACGTCTACTGGCTTTTGGACTGTAATATATAGGCCAGAAGCCCATAAGCCCGGGAGTCGATGATAGAAGCATATTTCCGTGCCACTTGCTGCAAACGAGCAGAGGATCACAGATCGGTTGAGGTGACAATCGACTCCAAGCAAGAAACTCATCCGTCCCAAATTCTGAGCAATAAGTCTCTCGGGTAGTTGCAGAACAGATGCACCCGAGAGCGAGGCAAATGGCCTTGATCTTCGTGTGACCAGGGAAGCCGCAAGGAGACTTTCTGCATATCGGACTCGGGGAAAGACGGTGGTATACCTAGTATGGAGGGGCATCCCTTCCCTTCAATCGGGTTGACCCGGTGACGGCATAGTAACCAGTCTAGTCACTTCAATCTACTCCGTACGAGGCACGTGAAGGTAGTTCAATTCAGCAACGTTAACAATGGTATCATAAGAATAGAAAGACCATCTAAGCCAAGAGCCGAACCCTATCTAGCCCGCCACAAGAAAAGAACCCTATCTAACGTCGCCCACGGACAAGAAGACTAACTCAACTCGCCCAAAGAAGAGAACCCTATTTAAAACCCGCCGAAAGACAAAGCTAACTAATTTCGCCAAAAGAATCTAACTAACCTCGCCAAAGAAAAAGCAAGCTAATCTCCCAGAAGAAAAGAAACGAAGCGCGCCCAAGAAAAACAAGTCTATGCTCGTAAAAGAAAAGTAAACTCGCCAGAAGAAAACAAGTATCTATCGGAGAAGGACGTGCTTCATATTTCTGCCCGTCCCGATGTCTATGGCATTAAGCTCCCGTCTCAGGGCGTCAATATTTCCATCCATGTTTGTATAATTTCCATGGGGCAGGCCCACTGGAACCTTAGATGGGATCGGTGGGTTGATCCCCTCCGCATATAGGCTCGAGGAACTGGTCGAATATGTTTCGGACATGGATTTCCGATGTCCGTAGTCCTGTGGACTACCGCGATATAGTGGGTTGCGGAAGCGCACGACGACGCCCGGCTTTTTGGTTTTGCGTTCAGGCTCTGGAGCCCATGTGTTGGTGGGTAGATGGTCAGAGGGATCAATTTCGCGACCGTCATCACCAATAATCGGGCCCGGCTCTCGCGCCGCTTCAGTCCCGTATGAATCCGGTGAAAAGGGTGTAGGAGACGCTCCCCGCCCCCTCATCGATGGGGGTCGGGGGCTAACCGACTTTCTCCGAGGGACAATTTGGTAATCGGGGATTGAACGGTGAACAGGTGGGGGTGGTGGAGGCCCATCTTCTTCTTCGTCCTCCACTCGTGGTTGCAGCAAAGCATAAGTAGAATTCGAGCTATCAGAGAAAGTCGTAGGGCTATACCCTCGGGTTTCGCGCTCCCTCGTATGTCGATATTGTGAAGGCACGGGACTAAAGCTCTCCTCAGAGCTAGACGGCAGCCTGTTGTATTTCACGTTGTAATGTCGCCAGGATTTGACAAACCCCTCCTCGTCCAAGAGTTTGTTCATGTCGGGCGAGCTATAATAAGTGGTTCGAAGGGCGCTATCTGAACTTTCCACGCTCTCCGGCTGAAACATCGACTTGCGCTCTATAGGTTGCAAAAGGGGAGGACACTCGCTGTCTGAGGAATTATATGGACAGCGCGGGATGACTTTCTTTTTGGGCCGAACAAATGGCCAGCCGTAGGAGCTTTCTGTGCCCAGCGAATCGCTGCTTCCCGCATAATCACAGTGATCAGTATAATTAGAACACGACTCCGAACCAGAAGTCGTGCTGCCAGAGGTCGTGCTGTCAGGGATTGTGTTTCCAGGGATCAAGCTGCCAGGGATTTTGCTTCCAGCAATCATGTTGCCAGGGATCAAGCTGCCAGGGATCATGTTGCCAGAGGCCATGTTACCAGAGGTCATGTTGCTAGGGATCATGTTGCCAGAGGCCATGTTACCAGAGGTCATGTTGCTAGGGATCATGTTGCCAGAGGCCATGTTGCCAGAGGTCATGTTGTTAGAGGCCATGTGGTTATGGATCATGTTGCTAGGGATCAGGTTGCTAGGGATCATGTTGCCAGAGGCCATGTTGCCAGAGGCCATGTTATCAGAGGCTATGTTGCCAGAGCGAGGGTCCGAAGGCAACGGGCGTCTCTTCACGTCCTTCAATTGTCTCGGCCCCGAGAGGGAAGAAGAGCTGGTCGAAACTGGACCTGAGCTAGTCTTCTTAGCGTGAACCTTGTCAGCTGCGTGTGTTCGTCTTTCGATCACGGCCTCGTCTTCGGGCCTTGTGTCGTAGTAAGTCATCTCGAGGCGTACTTCGCCGGCGTATTTTCCACGAAACTGCAAGGGATGCCAGTGGTCATTCTGACTGCCACCGGGAATGATGAGATCCTTCAGATCTATCCATGTTTCACCGATCAGGTCGGTTTTCTTCTCGTCATTAAAGACTGAGACTTTGAGTCTGAAATAGTCCGGAGACCCGTGGACGGTGAAGCGAAGTTCTTGGTCCCTGCGTAGTGTTAGCACCATCTCGTCGACACTTGAGGCCAAGCCCGTGTTCATCACAGCAAGAAACATACCATCTGGGGGTTTGGCCACCTCTAACGTCGGTCTCCGTCTTTTTTGCTTCCTTTCCAAGGCGAGCAGCACAGTACGGGTTCTGCTTGCCCATGGTTTTTCTGTTTGGCAAGTTTTTCGCGCGATCAACGATGACCACCAGCGTGCCAATAGCTGGGCCATCTACAGACATGTCCGCGAAGATTCCGGCCGCATGAGCAGCATGAGCCATGGAGACCCGTTTTTGGGCTCTGGCATCCATAACTATCTAGGATATCCTGATCAGAAAGGATGTGGGTAATGAGTGTGAGAATGTCACGAGAATGTCACGAGAAAACGAGCGACAAGATGAGCTTTTGCTTGGATGATTCTTGATTGAACGAGCCCAGCAAAGTAATGAACGACGATGTGGGTTCGCTTGGTGTTGTTGTTTTGCAGAGAAAGTGAAGGAAGGAGGGGAGGAAGGGAGAAGGTCCGCCGGCATAGAGTACTTCCCTACTAGTAGGACCACTCGCCCTCGAGCAGCTACCCTTATCGATAAGCCGCGGGCACTGATTGGGCGGCAACCTGGAGTGGGTCCGGCGGGAATTGGGGGGGCTGGGCGCGGTCCGAGCGAGGATGTGGCTGGGAGTGGGGCCCTGATTGGCCAGGGCCGACGGCTCTGACGTCCGCATTAGGTCGATACGAACCCATACCAGTATGCTTTGTTATTTACGTCCCAACAAGTTTCTCATTGGACTGACTGGCCTTTGCTCTGACACATATGACACTACCTAGTACTAGGGTCACCCCGTAACAATAGCTCAACCTAACCCAGCCACGGATTTCCAAGGTCGGTAGGAACGAGTATACAATGAAGACTGCCGCAAATCACCTGGATTCTTTTCTTCATTCTCCGTTTCATCTTTCCCCGATCGACTGGATCATGTTTCCGACTGTTCGTGCGACATGCTCCACAGTCTAGGAAGAAGCCAAATCATGGCCCACGACCCGACAGGCACGGGATGCTGTCGACGCAATGCGGTGTCTGTGGATATCAAGAACATCATCCGATGCTGCGACCGCCTTGCTATTTGGTTGCAGCCCCGTTGCAGAGTGTCAGCCTCCACTCCCTGAGCTGTCGCTGCAGGTTTTCATTTTTTCTGCGACTCCATTGCATACGTCAGTCCCAAACTTCACGGACTGCATCGATAGTGCAATCCTGGTGCCTGTACGGAGTCCCCTGTAACAACTAGCAACGCCCGCTTGGCCCCAGCCACTGTGAATCAGCTTGGTTTGTAGAAACCATAAGCGAGATTGGACATGGCGTGGGCTGATGTCATGGAGCGGAGCGATCTCGTAGGGCGCTATCGATAAATCTTATCGGGCGGTTTTCCACAATGATTTCTGAGTGGGCGTTCGAGTCGAGAAAATGTCTACTGTGTACAGCCTACGGAGTACTCCGTATACTCTACTCCGTACTGACTACAGGATGATCACGGTCTAGACCAATCTCGGCCTTGCACCCACGTGGGAGTGCAGACTGTTGGCCACTTAGCCTGGGAGCTTGTTGGCATTCCGAGGATGATCGGCGGATGGCAGCTGGGGTGTGGCTGATCGGCTTCTGCACGGCCGGGCACGAATGATGGGTCGGGCGCTTACCGGCGTGCCTGGCCAGCCGGCCAATCGTCACTATTCTGGCGCTACCTGGAAAGCCAATGGTATGGAACTGACTTCCACAGACAGCTCCGAAAAGTACCACAATGGCAAGAGACGGGGAAACCTCGGCGGGAGACCAAGGTGGTGAAGATACTAGACCAAGCTCCCCACAATTGAGGCGTCGCTGGACCCCATGTCTACCCAAGACCCAAGTATAACTCAAAATCCTGCCCGATCATGGTGCAAACGGGCCGTGTCTCACTCCTCAATGGTCCTTGGCTAATTTAACTGCCATTGCCTGACGTTGACGTACAAAGTCTCGGTGGACCAGGTAGTCGATAAGGCGGCTCGAACGGGCTCGAAGGAATTGTCACCTCGCAGTCTGCCGTCTCATTTGGTATAGGTGGATATCATTCTGTTCGAGACCTGGCATCAGTGTTGTTCAATACTTGTGCTGGCTAGCGGCTCACAGGCTAGACAGGCATGGGATATCCGAGACAAAACTCCCAGCAGAATTGATTGAGTGATAACGATTGGTCCTACTGTTGACCTACTACGCCAACCTAGACCGGCTCAGTCAATTGGTAGTGAGCGTATCAGTGCTTCATTGCTTCGCTCGTGACGTGTTGGGCTTTCAGCGGTGAGGTTACCTACATGCGCAGTGGTCTTGCCCAGAGGGAGGAAAGCTGCGACCTAGCACCTATTTCTCATATATTGGACAAGATACTAGTATGGTCCAAGCATGACTGCACTCAATTGGCAGGAATCCAGGCCGATGTGTGCCGTATTGTATTATTGGATTGTACGAGTAAGATGGTATAAGCTGTGATACGGCGCTAATCCCGATTAGGCTCGCGATAGACTTTTCCCGATGCGATTGTCTCGTCCAAAAAATTTCCCGCAACTTCGACGCCGACCACGCTTCAAGGCCGATGGGTGCTGGTCGATAACTCCTCCTATTCCCCCAAATCCGCCGTTTCGAATCTCGGCCCCCCGCCAGATCAATTCATTTTGACCTTGGCCGATAGCAGCCATGGCTGCCCCCGTCCTCCCCCTCCAGCAGGTCAAGCTTCCGGCCCTGCCCTCGACCCGATTGACGCCGGAGCAACAATACTGGAAGACCTTCAAGAATCCTCTCCTGATCCCCTCACCTGCCAATGGCCCCGTCAACCTCATCACGCAACCCTCCGCTCCATCCTCCGCCTCCGCCTTCCCTTCCCTCACCCAGCCCCCCGACGTCTTCACCGTGACCACCGGCGCCCGAGTCCAGATCTACTCCATCCGCACTCGCAAACTCCTCCGCACAATCACCCGCTTCGATGACACGGTTCGAGGCACCGATGTCCGTCCGGACGGGCGCGTCATCGCCGTCGGTGACGACTCCGGTACCGTCCAGGTGTTCGACGTGACCTCCCGGGCCATCCTGAAGACCTGGAAAGACCACAAGCAACCCGTCTGGGTCACCAAATTCTCGCCCAGCGACCCCACATCCGTTCTGACGGCCAGTGACGACCGCACGGTGCGCCTCTGGGATCTCCCCAGCCAGACCAGCGCCAAGGTGTTCCTCGGCCATACCGATTACGTGCGCAGCGGTGCCTTCATGCCCGGATCCCTGGCCTCCTCCGGCCTGGTCGTCTCCGGTAGTTACGATCGGACCGTGCGCCTCTGGGATCCCCGCGTTGAGAACCGTTCCGCCATGACCTTCAAGATGGGCGCCCCGATCGAGACCGTCCTCCCCATGCCCACCGGCACCACGGTGCTCGCCGCGGCCGACAACAAGATCGCCGTGCTGGACATCGTGGCCGGCAAGCCCTTGCACATGATCCAGAGCCACCAGAAGACGGTCACCTCCCTGGCACTGGCATCCAACGGCGAGCGCCTGCTCTCCGGTGCGCTGGACGGCCACATGAAAGTCTTCGAAACGACCGGCTGGAACATGGTCTCCGGCTCCAAGTACCCCTCCCCCATTCTCTCCCTGCGCGCCATCACCTCCGGCGTCGCCCAAGAAGACAAGCACATCGCCGTGGGTATGCAATCCGGTCTCCTCTCCATCAAGACCCGCCTCTCCGGGCAACAAAAGATCCGGGAGCGCGAGCGCCGCAAGGAAATGCAAGCCCTCCTCGAGGGCAAACTCGAAGAACACGACCGCAAGGTCGCCAAGCAGAAGAAGGTCCGCGGCTCCGGCTGGGAGAAGCGACTCCGGGGCCGCGATTTCGTCGGCGAGGGCGTGGACATTGTGATCGAGGGCCGGGACCGCAAGAAGCGGAAGAAGGAGCAAAGCTGGGAGCACGATCTGCGCAAGGCGCGGTACTCCGCGGCGCTGGACCAGGTTCTGGGGACGAGCGACAAGACGGCGCAGTTGACGCTATTGACAGCGCTACGACACCGCTCGGCGCTACGGGCGTCGCTCCAGAACCGCGACGAGGTGACTCTGCAGCCGGTGCTGCAGTGGGTGCACAAGAACATCACGGAGCCGCGGCTAGTGCAGCTGAGCGTGGAGGTGGCGATGAACGTACTGGACATCTACTCGGGCAACCTGGGACAGTCGGCGCAGATCGACAAGATGGTGGAGCGGTTGCACCGGCGGGTACGCGACGAGGTGGAGATGGCGCACCAGGCGTGCCAGACCAAGGGCATGTTGGAGATGCTGCAAGCCGCAGCATAGGGTACAGCATTGCATTGCATCGCAGTGAAGTGAGACAGTCTTACAAAAGCAGCAACTGTTACAACATTATGGATACCTGGGCTGGAGTTTAGGTTTGGCGGCCAAGCATATAGCAATGACATATACACACACACACTCACACATCTAACCTACTGATACAACCTCGAAAACCCCTCCCCCGTAGGCTGCAACCAATTCCGCTCATCATACGTCCACCCCTCGGCCCCCTCAATCACATGAAACGTATACGCAAAACGACTCCGATCCCCGGTATTCCTCTCACTCTTATGGAGGACATTCCCATGAATCAACACCAACGACCCCGCCTTAACATCCAACACCTCCAAATCCTCCTCCCTCCCCACATTCTCCCCCGCTTCCTCCTCCTCCTCCACCGTCCCAAGCGGCACCCTCCCCCCCTCATTGCCCACAAACCCCGTCCCCGTCCCTGTCCCCTCCTCAGACCCCAACCTCACAAACCGCCTCTTCACCCCCACCCTCTGACTCCCCCTATACATCCCCAACGACGCATTCCCGCTCCCGGCATCCTGCAACGCAAACCACCACCCCACCGCGCTCGGCGGATCCGTATACAAGAACTCGCTATCCCGATGCGATGGCACCGCGCCGCCAATCCCCGGCTGCTTGCAAATCACCATACTTTGCAAGACGCGAGGATCCTTAAAACCCAGGGACTTGGCGATCTCGGCGTTCTTTTCGGAGAGGCTGATGGCGCGGAATGGGGCGGAGAGGGTGTGTAGCGAATGTCCGATTTTGTTGATGGCGAGGTGTTTGGGTTTGGTGAGGGTGGGACGGGAGGTGGGGGAGGTGGGGTCAGACGGGGCAAAAGCGTCGGGTTCGAAGAAGAACCGGATTTTGTCGCCGGAGGTGAGGAAGTATTCGTCGCCGACGTGTTGCGTGGTGGTGGTGGGGTTGTCGCCGGTGGTGAATTGGGTGAGGGGGTGGGTGTCGAGGGGGAAGGTGTCCAGGAGGTGGTGCGTTTCGGTGAGGCAGGCGGTGATTTCGGTGGGGGTGAGGTAGTCCGGGAGGACGAGGTAGCCGTTTTGATGGAAGGAGGTGAGTTGTTCGGGGGTGAGGCCGGGCATCTTGGTGGTGGTGGTGGTGGTTGCAGTGGTGGGTTTGGTTTGTGGTAGACGTAGAGGAGAGGGAGGGGGGGAGGTGGGCGGGGCTTTATATGCGGGTGGCTTATCGGCTGCGGATGGGGTTCCTATCAGTGAGGGGACAGTCCAGTGAGGTGGGCGCCATTGCTAACACCTGGTCTTGGGATTGGCTTCTTCCGGGCACAAGCCTATCAGTATCTATTGTGAGGTATTTATGACGGTGGTGTTCAGTTACTGTCACTTGGCACTGCCTTCACTTGCTGTAGATAACATAGCTCCTCGGAGGGTATATGATGCAGGGAGAACTGTGTGGGTCAGATGGAAACATCCGAGGTGAAGCCTCATCTACACTAGAAGTATATTGAGAGAGACACCATGGCGACCTACACGTATGGTACAGGGTCAATGGAGGGCCTTGCACAGTGACTCATTCTTTCCAATGAATGCTTTTGTCTCTGCTCACAGCTATCCAGAATTCCACCTCATAACCAGAAGCCACCTTCACTCCCTGTATGTCTTCCCAATATAAGAATCCCCAACCCATCCACATACACCCATGAGAAGAGCAGAAAGCGCCAATCATGCACTGAAACCCACCCCGCCATCAGCAAGGTCAGAAAGAACCAAGCATGAACACCTCCTCCCTTCTCCATCCTCCCCATCACCATCCACTCCACAAACCACCATCACAGGTATCACCTGCGAATACCAGCCATCCTGCACCCTACCCACCAGCCCGGACAACCCAAGCATCGGCATCGCAAAGTCATCTCCCACATCTTCGGGCGTAACAAGGTCTCCACCAGGCGTATCCCCACCACGCGTAGATTCACTACTGCCGGAAGCATTACCAGCGGGTGAGGTACCAAACGTCCAGCTGGCCCTTGCTGCAGTGTCAGCTGGTGCTGGAAGTCTGAAGCGAATGGAGCAGTGCAGAGAGATCCGGGAGTTTGACGTGAGGTTGAGGAAGATGGGCGGGGAGGTAAACGAGGAGTGTCTGGTGGCTGGCTGACGAAGGTGGGGAACAAGTCGTTTGCGGAGGTTAGGGTATTGGTGCAAAAGATCCGAGGGAGTATCGAGGCACTTGGAAGGAGAAAGTGAGGTTTCCGGATATTGAATTCTGCCAGTCTTTGATCGCATGAGTATCATCAAACACGTCACACAGACTATATTAATCATCGTTATACTGTCGTACCGACTATACGATCTACCACCGTTTTCAGCGAAAAGACAAACAACCCACAAACATGGCTGGAAAATGTCACATACTGCAAACATCCACCAACGCCTCTCATTATCATATCATCGCATCATCATACCTCCGTCGGTCCAGTCAATACGCCTGATCCGGGATCAACTCATAGCCTCCCTCCGAGGGCAGTGTATGCGCCGCCAGGATCAACACCCCCGCGCAGAACAAACTCAGGCACCAGCTCACAGTGCAGTAGACCCACGACTCGCTCAACTGCCAGCCGACGAAGAACCGCTCTTCGTTGTCGAACAGATATGCCTAGCCGTCTTAGTACACCACTGATCCGGTAGAGGGATCACACTCACCACCAGCGACATGCTCGCGGCCTGTACCACCGCCGACAAGATAATCAACAGGCTGAGTACCTTCCACCCCGACTCCCGCAGTCGCTTCCCACCCGACAAGACAATCAGATATGCGACCACGCTCATCCCTTCCAAGACGACAGCAAAGGACATCAGAAACCCGACCGAGCGCCACATGGAGCAGAAATAGCGGTCGCCGCCGCTGCAGTCGGGGCCCTGGGGGAAGGACTCGCATTCTCCGGTCACGGAGGAGCAGCGACGGTGGAGGCCGTAGGAGTAGTGGCGCTGTAGGTTTGTTAGTGACGGGTCGTGCACGGGAGGGGAATCTTAAACACCGACCTCTTCATCATCATAAATGGCCCATCTGGGTACGACGATGGAGGACACGGTTAGACCAAAGGCTGTGGGTGAGATTAGTGGTCGTGTGCGCGACGCAAGGCATGCGACAAAGCATGGCGGTAGCGGTAGCTGCCGCCACAGGCTAGCTCGCTCGCTGGTAGAAAGCTATCCAGTCGCGGATGACTTACACGCAAGGAAAACAATCAATGTGGCCGTGTAGACAATAGTCTTGGTGAGGAACCCGGTGTAATTGCGGTCTTCCCCACGAGGCACCAGATGGAAATCCATCACGGTGGGGAAGCAAGCGGACTAGAAGGCGATGACGACAGTAGGCAGAAAGCCGTGCAGGCAATGATGGAGGGAGCGGGTGAGGGGAGTACAGATGAGGGGAGGGGAAGGATAGAATGCTCAGATGCTGGGATGCTAAGTAGTTGATCTAGGGGGATAAATTTGAGAGTGGTCGGGATCAAGACGAGGGGAAGACGAGCAGAGAAGAAAGAAAGGAAAGGTGGTAATGCTGGTGGTGGAGCGAAAGCCGGTTTGTGGTTTGTTGTGAGGCAACGGCGAGCAGGTCAGCCCAGGTCAGGTGGTGACAGCCAGGCTCGGGAGCTTATCCCCGTCGCATCATCAGTTCCTCGTCTTTCCCCGTCAGCCAATCTGCCCCAGGATCTTGATAAGACGTCTCTTCCACTCTCTTTCAGGTCCGCTCGGGGGAGATGAGGACCAAGAAATACCTCAGCATCCCAAAAAGGCCCGGGAGGGGAGGGGGGGGGGGGGGGGGGCGGGGGGGGGGGAGAAGAAGGAAAAAAAACACCCCCACGCCAACGAAGGGGGGGGGGGGGGGGGGGGGGGGGGGGGGGCCGCCAGGTGGGACAGACAGGCTGACCTGGTCGTGGATCTACTGGTATGATATCTCCCGTCCGACCTCCATCGTGCCATCGCCCACCAGCCCTCCACCATTAATTCCCTCATCGCCGGCGTGCAGCGTCCGCTGACGAGTCGAACATTCCAACCACCAACTGACCGTCGATCCATCGTCAAAGCGCCCTCCCAGGCTCCCACAGCGGGGTTGGCCTGCAAACAGCACCGCCAACCTGTTCCCGAACGTTGCACCGCAGCTGCTGCCCGGTTTCCATCGTGCCAGCGTCGGGAGCAAGGGGCAGGTCGCGCTCCGGGTCAGCAGAGAGCTTGTTTACAGCAATTGAGTCTCTAGCATCTTGCCTTCGGGTGACATTGGCCTATGACCTCCCCCGACCGGATGGCCCGTCCTCAAGCTGCTGGTGGTCCACCTGCACCTGCACCTCCCCGGGTTGGTCTGATGTATACTACACCCTACTATAGTTGCCAATGCTCACCATGATTGGCGTTATTACCGGTCCAATATCAAACCAGGATTGGGCCCCATGCGGATACCCGGCCTTCCATTCCACTTCTCGTCCGCCATCCCCTGCAGTATTAAAAAAACCCCTCCCTCGAAGAGTCACCCATCCAACTAAGAGACAGTTAATCTACATTCAACTTCAGCCTGGAGCGTGGGATAAGGCTATGATAATACACAAAGCGGCAATGCAACATCAGCAAGAACATAACAACATCAGCACCGGCCGGAAGAAGGTTCCAAATCACATCACGCGAAGTCGAAGTAAAAGTCATTAGCAAGCGGAGAGGTAACGCCGTTCCCGCCATGCCATCCAGTGCGCCGCGCCCTCGCTCATCCCGCTCGACTCCGCTGGATCATCGCACGGAAGTCATCGTTGCTCTTTTTCGTGGTCTGCCCCTCGCCCGGGGTTGCGCTGTCGGTCGTCATCGTCGTCGTCGTGGTCGTCGTCGTGGTTCGGCCATTCTGCGAGCTGGTCGCCGCGGCCCGCTTCACACCCAGGCCGCCGCGTTTGCCGCCTCGCGTCCCCGGCTGCGCCGGGCGCTTGATCGGCCCCGCGAGCGGAAAGAGTCCGCCCGGCTTGTCCTTGGACTTGCTGCCGACTTGGCTGGGTCCGTTGCCCCTCTTCTCCGCCGATTTCTTCAGCATCTCCGGCACCGTGCCCACGTGTAGCTTCCGCCCCGGCGTGATCTCCTGCCCCTCCAACTCCAGCGATGCTTTGCCCGCTTGGTGGACATCCGCAAACTCGACAATCGCGCCTTGGTGATCGGGCCGCAGCACGATCTTGATCAGCTTGCCGTACGGCTCGACGAGCGCCCGGATACGCGCATCATTGACCGTGTCCGGGACGTTCATCAGACCGAGGGTGCGTGCCGTCCGTTCACTGTTCGGAACCTCTTCACTAGGCTCACGCCTGGCGCCGTTGACCTCAACCGACGGGGACCGGGATGATCCCACTCGAGACAAGATGGTCGTCGCGCTCCGTTTGGCCCCTTGCGGGGTGGACAGTTTCACATGGAGGGGTCGCGACCGGAAATCCTGCTCGTGCATAACCAGCGCCGCCTCGGCTTCCTCCTGTAAAGGGGGGTTAGCAGGAACCTTGGGCAAACCATCCGAAGCACTTACCTTAGACGAGAAAACCACGTAGCAAAAGCCCTTGCTGCCACCGTCCACCTTGCGCGGGATGCGCACCAGCTCCACAGTTCCGAAACGTAGGAACAGCTCCTCCACGTCCTGCTCGCTGGCTTTCCAGTCCAGATTCGACACATGGATCTCGCGTCCCTCATACATTGGCCCATGGCGGTCCTGCCGGCGAGTCGGATCCGAGATCTTGGCAACCAGATGCAGGCCATTGCCCACTGCCGCCCCGTCTAACTTCGTAGCGCTGTAGGCTTCTCCGGCCGTCTTGAACTGCACGTAGCAGAATCGCCGGTGCGTGTTATACTTGAGTGATGGGAAACGGATATCGATGATTTCGCCGTGCTACGGTCGGTTAGCCAACGTTTGCATCACTGTAATATCGAGGGGAAGTCACCTCACGGAACAGGTCGCGAATGTACTGTTCATCGGCTGTAGCGGGGAAGTTGGTAACAAACAACGTTGACCCCGACCCGAATTGAACCTCAATCGTGTGCTCATCAATGATCTTCTGGTCGCGGGTCTGCGCGACCACCGCCTCGTCCTTGGAGTTGAACTCGATGATGGCCGTCTCCGACTTTCCATCCTCGCTGGAGAGCATCTTGACGCTGTTAATCGTACCACACTATGACACGGTTAGCTAATGCGACGCTACAGGACCTGGGAGCGACTCACGTGACGGAAGAACTGTCGGACCTTGTGCTCCGTGATGCCCTGGGGCAGATTCTTAACAACCACCGTCGCATTTTCGCGATCGCGACGAAGCGCGACCGGTTCTGCGGTGGTGGAAACCAATGGTGCGACCTCCTCTGCACGAGCTCGTTTGGCAGGCAGCCCGTTCACGCTGGTCTCTTCCTCCCGCTTGCGCTTTTCGACCTGCGTGCTTTGCTCCATTGCTGCAGCTTGCTCAGCCTGCCGCGCGGCCGCCTCCCTTGCATCACGATCGCGGCGGGCGGTCACAGCCCTCATCGCTTTGCGGGTCTCTAGAATCGCCAGCTGTAACTCATCCGAGTCTTCGTAATCCTCGCAGTGGGCAATGTAGGTTTGCATAATCTTCTCGGGCCAATCGAGGTCCGTCCGCTTGATGGCCTGCTTCAGCACGGCGGTGGCGTAGCTGGGGTTCGGGGTGCGCCGGGCGGCATCAATCGTGGTTTCGTTTTGGACAAACTTGCTCCAGGAGATCAGTTCCCATTCGTAGTAGGTCAGCCAGAATTCGTAGCTGTTACCCCGGCGGCCCACGAGACCCTTGAACGTCTCCCGTGCGCTGTCCCAGCTGCCACTCTCACTCAGATAGCGGATGTAGATGCGCTCCAGGCGGAACAATGGGTCGCCCTGGTAATTCCGGCCGTACTTTTTCTCGCCCAGTTCCTGGACGCTTTCAATCGCAGAGCGGATGCCCACCTCGGCCACGTCAATGTCTTCGTCGGTAGAGTCGGACAAAAATGCGCGTCGCCGGAGATAGCTACACCATGCCGTATGCACCTTGAGCACTTCCTCCATGCCACCGACGTCTAGCAGGCCCGTGCTTGTTGCCTTGTGCTTGATGTCGGCAATCTTGGAGAACGACTGCCCTTCCCGCTCTGAGCTGAGCAGGTACTGTGACCAGAGACTACCGGAACAAGGGCAGTGCCGAGTCGCGCGGTCGAGCGTAGAGATTGTGGTAGTGTTGGTATTGCCGTGCATGGACTCGTCGATAAGGAACATGATGAATTCTTCCCATATATTAGCCTCGGTTGGAAAGCGCAGCACGGCGCGCTGGTAAAGCGCATTGACCAAATCAAAATTCGTGTGCCGCTTCCTACGGTTGCGGCTCAGCTCCCATTCAATGTACTCGGTGAATAAGGCCCATTCTTGGCCCATGTCACCCGCCTCGGACACATTGCGCAACCGAATTTCGAAGTCCTCGCGGGCGGAATACGTGTCTTTGCTAGCCTTGGCGTACTTCCCGACTGCTTCCGCCATTATGTTTTCGTAGTTGGCATTGTAGTAGGTCGAAACA